ATCTGCTACTTCACGATAGGACGGGGGGCGAAATCCTCGCGAGTCTAGGTCAAGAATGTATCGTACGATAGTTTGCTCTTCAGATTTAGTTAGCTTCTGGCAATTTGGCTGCGTCGTAGGTCGAAAGGTGATTCCTTGAAGCCGCCGAGAGATCTGCTGATGATGGACGTTATAGGCTGCTGCAGCGCGTCGAATGCTCTTAAACTGGCCTGTACGATAGGCCTGAACTGCTAGAGTAAGCCTACCCTCTTGCTGAGTAAATATCACGTTCTGTTGTTGAGGCATTGTCTTTCGTACGTGAAGTTCGCGATGCCAAGAAAAAGTGGCACTCTCGGTGGGGTGGCACTCTCGGTGGTGGAATACGTTATACAATGGTACAAAGAAGACCCGCCGTTATCGCTAAATAACTAAGCTATAGCCCCCAAGCCCCTAGCACAAAGTGCACAGACAGTGGTGCAAGTCAGCGATGCAGCTGAGTGATCGGTACGTTTCTGATCCGCATCTCTCTTCCCTCCCTTTCTCAGATAGGGTCTAGCAACAAACGGTATGGAACATGTACCCAGAGCGCATGCATTTCAGACGCACGACATTTGGGCCAGGCTCACACTGGCGATTCCGCTTAACGCCACGCCCAAAGAGGGGGAAACTGGGTTATCGAAGTCAGGGTCTAATAGTCCGGTCTGCGAGTTCGTGGGGTGAAGTTCACCAATGAGGTAGATCCGATGGCTCCAACCGGGAGTTGCGAAGATGAGGCGTTCAATGGATGTCAACTCATATCGCAGCGCGAGTGAGGTATAAAGACGGATGGCTAGGGATGTCTCCGAGCATCTAGTAGCAGTGCAATCGCTTCTAAGCCCATCACAACTCCTCAAGCCGGGCGTCACGGCGCCAAAGTCGAAGACGAACCCGACAAGTTCTGTGGCAGTTGCGTTTGCGAGGGTTGTACACTTTGAGATGGACAAGTATATGGAGCGCTACTAGGCGCTGTGATCCTAACCTCGATGATACTCTTGTGTACGGCTTCAGTCTCGAAGCCCTTCTCCAGGTCTATTGTCTCCATGATGCCTGGGCTTTCCTTTCGCCGCTTGCGGTTCGGAAGGTCGATAATGATGGCAGTGAGAATCATGAGGCCGAGGAGCGCGGCTATAATGCCCATTGCGATGAGCGCGAGTACCATGGTGGAGATGCCTCCGGCATATTCCATGGACATGGCTGTGGATGCGTGGCGGGGAAGAGGAAGCGGTGCTTGGTTCGATGATGATACGGAGATTGCTGAGAGCTGCCCAGATGTTTGTGTAAGAAGTGGCGTGCTGGTTCGTGAGGAAGACGTTCCTGGGGTGAAAGAGTCCTGGCTGGAAAAGGACTCTCGGTCGAACCCGATACCGCGGAGACGTTGTCACGTATGAACACCACGGCAGCGCATCTACCTCCCTTATAGACGGTTCCCCCCATTTTCTCCGTCCCCTCTCAGTACGGTAGCCAAGCATAGCGTGCTCACCAGACCACTCCAGCTGTCCAGTCTCCCAAGGAATGGTAAAGTTCAGCTAGCGGCTTTTCCACAGCACAGATGCAGTGACGGCGGATAGTTGTCTTTCCTGAAGCCATCAGCCCCAGTCACATGTATGGGCGGCATGAACACCTTTGTGATTCAGGCCAGGCGGCTAGAATGCGTTGTGATTTAAACGTTGTTGATTATTTCAAGCGTGTGCTTTGTCACTGCGCAGAAATATTGTACGCTCAGGGGGCAGTGTCGAGGAGCGCTAACGTGATAAGGAAGTATGCATTTAACGATAGTATCGATTTGCGTGCTTTTTCTCCTTTTCTGCGGCTCCACGGGCTGGGGCGCATGACAGATGAAGGATTTGTTTTGCTGTGCTTTGTTCGGTGGCATGATAGACTAGTACCTGGCCAAATTCAATCTGACACGGCTCGCATTGCTGATCAAGGAGTTTTTAGGGAAGCCTGTTTCGTTGATATCTTGCGATTTGGGGATACAGCCGTTGTCGGGAGTTACAATAAGCGATGATACATGATGCACATGTGATGATTGGCACACTGTTGCTATACTAAATCGGCCCAGAACCATGCAAAACAGCGCAGGAAAGTGGTGGATATCACTATCTGCCATTTGTGTCATGGATGGTTGTGCATTTTGCGACATATCCAGGCTAAACTGGTAGTTGTACAATTAACAGACATGAGGGGGCTCAGCAACAGCGCCAGCAAGTATATGTCCTCGCTACTTGGATGTTTTGGTCTACTTTCTGAGCTTTACGAGTGGACTTTCAACGCGGAGGTAATAGAATTCATAACAATGTAGGGTATACTATCGAAGAAAACAACAGGGTATTCCAGTATTCCAGCTAGCACCTCGTATACAATAAACAGACGTTGTATTCTACACAGTAAATGGTTAAAAAAGGACAAAAGCTTGTAGCAAATACAAGACGTATGAGTGTACCGCTGACGACAGCTCTATTTCTCGTCCACATCCATCCGATCTTCGCCCTGCGTTTTTCCTGACCTTGGAGCTATCACATGGATTGTATCGCTTTCTGCAGCTTCTTCTTCATCTTCGTCCTTTTCATCGGACAGATCGTCGGCCTGTTCGGTTTCGGTTCGCTTGTCCACAGAGCTTGACCTCGTAGCAGCTAGATTAGGGAATAAGGGCTTGTTCAATGCAGCAATCGAAGCTGACCGGCGCAGAGCGTCATTCTGCACTTCTTGGTGGATTTCCTCCACCTCGTCTTCATCCAGTTCACTGAGCTCGCTCTCGTCATCAGCGTCATCGTGAACCGAAGCGGGCGCACTGGGCTCAGGCTCAGGCTCAGGCTCGTCGTTATTCACACTTGGAGCAGCAGTGGCGGTGCCACTCTGGTCAAAAGAGGGTTGCAATAGTTCGTTCGATGTACTCGGCTCAGCAGCAGAGGGCGCAGCCTTGTCCGGTGATGCTGCCCTGTCGGTAGCGGCAGGCAAAGCAGAACTTCCAGGTGGGGGTGAACGGATCGGCATTGAGGTGGATTGAGCAGAGGCACTAGCAGTCTTCTGAACACATGATTCAGCTCTGCGCGCGATTTCCCTACGACCCACTGCCTTGGCTCGGGATTTTGCTGGTTGTTCAGGTTGCGCCGCCATCTGAGGCATTGGAGCGGAAGGCTGAGGCTGAATCTGATTCGAATGATACATACTAAAGGGCGTGCTAGGGTTGCTTTCTGATGGACCATCAACCTGGACTTGCATCAAAGATGAGATTGGTACAGCACCCGTGGACGTTCCAGTAGCCCCAAAAGAAGGTGGGGGAGGCTGTGAGGGTAAGGTTTGCTGCTGCGCTTGCTGTGGCTGTGGCTGCGGCTGTTGCTGCGACTGCTGTTGTTGTTGCTGCTGTTCTGATGGAAGCGGAGACAGAGTAGGGCCAATTAGAGTATACAGCATTGCATACGTATCCCCAATGAGGTCGTCGATGAGGAGGGATTTCATCATACCGTTGTTGAGGCGCTTGAGTTCGATTGCGTCTCGAAGAACGTCTAGTATGGGGTGCTGAGTACTTGGGTTTTGACACCACGCTTCCAAACGCAGAGCCAGCGCGTTGAACTCGTCATGGTTGACGGATTTGAAAGCCGAGTCCTCTTGTCCCTCAGGCACATTACCAATTCTCCGTAGTAGTTTGAGGTAACGGGAACATAAATCCTGCCAGAGTTTCTGATGTTCGAAGAAGTCTGTCTGTTTTCGCCTTACGCGCTTAGCAAGTGCTTCAAAGTTGGTCTTGTCTACAGTCAGGTCCAAAAGTTCAATAAAGAACTTGGTGTAGCGAGTAGTGTACACAAAGTGCCTGCCAGGTCGCTCGTTTTCGGGCTTCCAAACTTGAACAGCCATGGTCTTGGTGAACATCTGTTGCATGAGTTCATGCTTAGCATCTTGAGCCACAGATGAACTTTTCTCTTCATCGTAGATTATATGAGCAACGCGGGATATGACCCGATGGTGCCAGCTCGACTTGTCCGCCGCACGCAGTGCTTTCAAGACACTAAGAATGTACCGTTGCCAGTCGCCTTCGTTCTTTGGAGGTTGTATATTCTGGGCATATGTTGTGTTTGTCAGGATCTCTACTGCTTTGTCATGGCTGATGGCTCTGCGCTGGAAAAGCTTGTGGGTGATGGACACTAATTTGTAGTGTGGTTCAAGAACAGGCTCGCCACCGCGTCCTTTCTTTCCAGGTAGTGTCTCGATCGCACTAACAAAGGCCTCGATGACAGACTCCCAGTTTGGCCCCCGCTGCGAGTTTGCAGGCGCACCAATGGACATTGCGTACCGCATGGCGCTGTCATTAGCTGACCACATCTTCCACCCACACTTCCCGAGCATGTAGTGATTCCACCATTTGTTCGGATTGCCTTTGATAGCTCGCTTGAATAGTGTACTTGCATACTTCCAAGCGGTATAGGCTTGCAACGGAGCAAATGCGACCTCTTTGTACAGTGTTGCGTTGGTCTGGAGATTGCAGAATCGCTTCTCGTTCTCTCGGATCTGGAAGGCTTCCATCCTAAAGGGCTCTCTTGAGGATGCGTATATTCGGTTACCGAATTCCGTATACATTTGTGCAATCTTGCTTTGCGCACTCGACCCCACTTCAGGATCGCGTACAGCACAGGCTACAGCCATGATGTAACAGTTGATTGCAGCACGTTGGAAGTTGACCACGTCCGCGCTGTTGCTGTTCATCTTGTCCGCGTTCCATGATACCGCCTCTTCAAGCTGTGTATCGTTCGCTTGCGCAAGACGATACCACGTCTCCCAACGCTCAATGGAATGCTCCAAATCCTGCACAAAGAAAGCTTGAGCATAGTTGAGGTCTTCTGTAGGCCCTTGGGTCATGCGCTTCTGTGATCGAAATTTGCTAAGGGCGATGTTGCCCATCATGTAATACCAGCCCTTTGACGCAGCCACGGCATCCTCCACAGGAACGTGCTTGGTTGGGAGAGAACCTACGCCCTTCAAGCAACCGAATAATTCGACAGGGTTGACGGGCGACTTGAAGTATGACGAGATCAATTTGCGATTGAACGTGATATCATCATTTTGCTTGGGCCGACCTAAGGCAGCGTGTATCTTTTCGATTGTCCCTTTGAGTTCTGTTTTGGGTAGGTCTTTTAGATCGACCTTGGCAACTTGTGACATGGCAAACGACAAGATGCTGAAAGCGGTCTTCTTGTCTAGGGCATCCGGCGTAGTTTGGAAATCCTGGCATTCCAAAGGTTCGATGAATAATTTGAGGCCATAAAGATCGTAAAGAACCTGGCAGAGCTCGGTGGCATGACTTTGCACGTCAATGACGTCGTCAATGCGAAGTAACTCGTCTCTTGCAAGCCTCAAGAACTGACGAGTCGACAGATGACAGAAGCCGCGCACACCAGTAGCATGGTGTACGTGACGAAGGAATTCAAAGAGATCCTCGGAAGGAGTAGGAAAGTTTTCGGGGTCTTGGGATATACCGTCCTTGAGCAGATGATACTGCAGCATCCATAGCCGTAGATGAATGTCGCCGAGCCGTGTCATCATGTTGGCGAAGGCTTGGCTCGGATGCGATTCAACTCGAGGCGCAGAAATGTGGTTGATGCGGATATAGTCTCTGAGCATGTCTGCAGCCGACATGATATGCAGCAATTTGGCAATGGCCGACATGGAAGATTGTACATGCTCATAATGTAAGCACGCGAACGGGTTCTCGTCATCGCGTATTATCTGAAGTGTCTTGATAACCATGTCGTCAATGACTCGGTACCGTGTCAACAGCTTGTGTTGACGCTCGAGTGTCGATAGTTCCTGGAAGACTGAAGATCCGAGATCATCAACAAGAGCCTCGATACTTCGCAAGTAGCAAGAGAGAACTTTGGATGGATAGTCGATAGCTTCGTACGCAACACGCAGTCTGTTCCAGAGGGAAAGACGCACATTTACGTTTGCAGAATCAAGAAACTTCCGCATCTCCAAGACAGGTGATGAGCGACTGAGCTGTCTATCTGTGGATGAGTCGGCCTCGATACTCATGGTGGGTGAGCTGTGTGTGTCAGGCGCACCTCCATCAGACACAGCTGGCTCACCAGGCGCGCTGAACTCGCTGGCATTTTCATACTCTAAGATTGGCTCCAGACTTTCTATTACGGTCACAGGATCCTGCTCGTCTTGGTCGAAAACCTTGAGGAAAAAATCCTTCATGCTGATGCGAACCAGTTCGCGGTCAATAGCAGCAGTCGATAGTTCTGGCATAACGGCGTTGTTTTGTAATTGGATTGTACGGTCGCCCAGAGATTCGAACATAGTCTTCAAATCCGCCATGGCAGACAAAACATGCTCCGGTGGTAACTGGTCACTGACGCTCATTTGGAATACGGTGGCCCAGATGTGGCGCAGGGCTAAGTCATCCAAATCCAAATCCGGCAGACAGTCGGATCGCAACTGTATGACTTCGCGGGCAAGGGCTGACCATCGTTCCAGTCGATCGCTTTGGAGAATCCGCGTATTGGCATCTATCGTGCTATGAGGGTGCTTGATAAGCGAATAGATGTCCAGGTGCAGTTCAAATAATGCTTCCACTATTTCAATCTGTGCAACATCAAACTTGGACAGCTCGTATGTTCGAGAGTGGTGAGTTGCGTCCAGCATCCTTCGATTGAGTTTCTCCACGCGGTCGAGCATGCGCTCGTAGATGAACTCGTCAATGTGAACAATGACCTGCACAATACTTCGTTTCAGATCATCCGCCCATCTGAAATGTAGGTAGCTCGACTCTTCTGTAGATTGAGATCCAGAGGGACGGCATGAGCCCGGAGAAAAGAGGCTCTCGATCCAAGCGAATGCAACTTCCTGTGTGGTGAGCCAATTCTGGTTCACACTTCTGGCAAAAGTGTTCAGCCCCTCACTGTCTAAGACTGGCTTGGTGCAGGCTTGACTTGAGGTCGACTTGGAGAAGCCCAAGAATGCATTCAGGCCGTGCTCTCTTGTTACTCCGAGCAGATCGAAAGATTCAGAACTCAGCAGTATCTGCCCAGTCTTCATGTGTCCACTTCGGAGAGCTCTGAACATGTCGCAAGCTACCTTGTCAATAGGATTTGTGGGTGTCGCTTCCGGAACCGCGGTGACCAAGTTACGCAATTCAGCCGGGTCTTTGATACCTTCGATGCTGAGCCGCCAGTATATGTCCTTAACGATCTCATAGAGGCATTGGTCTGCATGTGTGTAGGGCTCCAGCTGAACATCAAGCTGCTTGTTAGCTTCTTGCGCAGCACTTCCGGCAGCAGGTTCAGTGACCGTTTCTCGGCCCCGAATTCGTTTACTACGGGATCGCCCGCCTTCTGCAGTTTCTGGTAGCCCGGCTGAATCCGTGGACCGCTTGCGTGACGGGGCCGGTGCGACTTCTAGGGGTATAGTCGAGGTGGTTTCGTCGTTCTTGACCTCGGCTTCCGCACTTTGGTCTTCCATGATGGTATCGTCGCCGTCCTTTTCGGTTGTGGCAGTGGCAGGCTCCTCGATCTGCAGCGGAGGCTCCGGTGCTGCCAGCACGACTTCTTGCGAGGGCACTGTGGGTTCAGATTCACGCTTGGGCTCACTCCGCTCAGGAGTGGCACTGCCAGGGGGTATGCTGAATACTGTATTCGATCCTGGAGGTACGCTGTGCGTCATTCCCTGCTGCTCACTCTGAAATTGGCGGAGAATGATCTCGCCCACACTGGCCCAGTCCCACTTTGTCGGGCTCAGCGTAACAGTCTCTGGGGCAGACTTCACATTGTGGAGATTTTCGGCGAGCGCAACGTCGGCAGGAAGGGGTGCAAATGGAAAGGGGTTGATCCGCTTCTTCAGCATCTCCGATAGCTTCTTTCGCTTCATGAAGGACAAAGGCGCTTGTCGTAAAGAAACATCATCCTCCAGTCGCTCCACGAGTTCACGCAGCTGTTGCCCAGCAAACCCTTCCTCCAAGCCTGGAAATCGCAGCAAATTCTCCCACTGTTCATCGTTGCCATCAAGCACCGCTTCCAGACAATAGCGCGTGATGCGCTTGCTGCCCATCATGGCGGCAACCGAAGCAGCTCGCAGCCACAGGTCAAGATCGGTATCTTCCTTGTCCAGCGCCTCGGCAAAGTAGTTCAGAGCGCTGCGGATCTTGGTCCAGGCTTCAGTCTGAGGCGCAGCACCGTTCACTGTGATCCAATGCTGCATGGACTCGAGCAAGAATTGGCCATGGTTCTTGTAGGACAGATGGAGAATCTGCTGGAGCGTGTTTGGGGCGCTGTCGGCGGCGCCGGTAGACTGGACGGGACCTGCATCGTATTCGTCTTCCAGGATGGTGTCGAAGACGAGGTCATCGCCAAAGACCTCATGCCGTTGGTATTCAGAGAGGGATTCGGCGTATTTGAAGATGTCCGAGTCGAACAGGGCCTTGTATGCAGCCGCCGTCTTCTCAAAGGACGCAGGGCCTTCGGAGTGGAGCTTCAGCGCCGTCTGGTAGAGCTTCAGGGCCTCTTCGATCTGGATCTCTTGCGTGTCGTCGACTTCCTCTTCGGCCGTCTCTTCGGGGATTTCGACATTGTATGGGTGCCATACCGAAGCTTTCGACTGCGCCATGTCAGGGTGAATGGATGCACATGGCGGCAAGGGCTGGCTTTATGTATGCGCACTCGACTTACCATGGTGTGGGCTGTGGTTGGTTGAACAGGGTTGGGGGGGGAAAGACCTCTCAGGGCGACAGGACGAATTTGTACAGCATTTCCCACGGGAGGACCGCCGCGGGGTGGGCAATGGACGGGAGGGTGCAAGCAGGTGAAGATGTCGACTCGGCGGAGGGGGGGCGGTCTCGCAGCGTCGGGGTGACGCGACGCGACAGTGAATGATGGGAGCAGGGATGGCGCGGCTTGGCAACGGCGCTCCTCCGCAACGGAGCTGTGCGTGTCTGGCCTCGAGAATAGTCGACCAGGACACGGAATTCTTGTCACGCATCTTCCGGGAGCCCCAAGCGCATGCGACGCCCCTCGTCCGGCCTTCACCCCGCTACACGTCCCTCTCTACCGCGCCCGCCGCCCCCGCCCCGTGTGGCCTGCAATTGAGCCATGGTCACCTCGCCAGCTGTTCCCGAGTATGCTCTACGTCCACTAATATACTTGTCGACTGCATTGCTGCATCTATCCATGCATCTATCCATGCGCCCGTCTACGCCACCCCGTTGCATCGCTCACGCGTGCCCCTTGCCGTCGCAGCGCTTCCTCGTCTGCACAGCCTCTCTGACCATGCCGCAGAATCTATGAAGACGAGCTACACTCGGCCATCGAAGCGCGCTCAGAATCCCTCCAGACGCTCCGAGAACTCGGCCCGCCCGACCTGGTCCACCTGATAAAACAGCCCATCAAGTCTGCGACAAAACAGGTCCGTAGTGCCTTCGGCCGTGCATGCCTGCGAAGAATCGCAGTTGACGTGGGATTAGATTGGGGTATACCATCATGTCTGCGGCATAGACGCTTCCTCGTCGGCCAGCCTCGCCGCCTACATCAACACACTCACCTACTCTGCGCACGACAAGCAAAACAAAGTCGTCTCGGGACTATACTGGTACGCTGCCACGGCCTGTGGCGCAGTCAATCGCTGACCAAGCAGCTGCTACAATGCCTTCTCGCGGCTGGACATGCGCGTGCAGGTCTACATTCCAGGAACCGTGGAGAGCTACTGCATCGACGAGCGCGGCGACAAGCGAGTAGCCAGCGACGAGCTCTGGCTCGAGACGTATCTCTGCAGCGTGCTGCGTGCATATTCCTACGCTGACGACGGCTCGGGCGATACCATCAAGAAGATTGTGGGTGTGCGGAGGTTCAACCCCATCACAAGCACGGAGAGCGAACACAGGTTTCTGGATGCTGCGGAGCGCCTCTTTTTCAACGGTGGGTTAGGCACTCCCGACAGTGGAAGTGGAGCTGATCCCATCTAGGCTGGCAATTGGGATCCGACCCTGAGATCCAGGTCCCCAATCTGGTTTCGAATCACCTCACAACAGGCCTACTCCACTACATTCACACAACCGGCAGATACACGTCAGGCATCAACCTGTTTGAAAAGCTGCGGACTCGTGATCCCGAGATCTCGTCACTCCTCGCCCGTGTTTACATTGAAGCAGATGAGGAGGTCAAGGCTGTACAACTACTACACGATGCGATCCAAGAGCTGCCCATGGACTATTCTTTACTGGATTGCCAAGCCGATTTCTGCAACAAGAAAGGCCGTGGTGATCTCGCCCTCGAAATTGCAAAGAGGAGTGTGGTGTCCGCACCTAGTGAGTTCGGCACATGGGCGCGCTTGGCAGAGATATACGTCAGCCTCGAGCAGTGGGATCTTGCCTTGTTGACGCTCAACTCATGCCCAATGTTCACATATCAGGACAAGGACGCTCCACGGATGCCGGAACCCCAAAGAGTCTTCCTGCCAATCATGCCCGAAGCAATGTGTGATGAGATAGAAGATTCCAACGTCGACGACATGGAGCTCGTACACCCAACGCTAAGGAAACTGCATGCAGCTGGCTTCAAAGGCACCTTCCTGAAAGCCTACATGCTGCTTACAGAGATCACAAAGAAGATTGGTTGGGATCAACTGCTAAAGATAAGAAGCCAAGTGTTTGTCATGGAAGAGGAATACCGCCATGAAAAGACTGTCCAACAGCCGCACTCGCGCAACGCCAGCACAACAGCCCTCCGCTCTCCATCTCCAAACACGCATGCCCAACAGGTGAATGGCAATGAGCATGGCGAAGTCGAAGAACGCAACTCCAGCGACCAAAACAACCACAACGGTGAATCTTCCGGTCCCGGAGTAGAAGCTGATCTCGAGAAGCCTGGCCACACAGTCGCCTCTGAAGTCGTCAAGGCCGGCAGCGAAGACCCCCACGCACATGAAAGCCAGAACAACACCAGCAATGGCAACACGGCGCAACAAAACTACACACACTTCCAGAACAAGCGCTTGTGCGAGCGCTGGCTCGACAACCTCTTCATGGTCCTGTACGAAGACCTGCGCGTATATACGATATGGCGCACGGAAATGGCTCAGTACCGCCAGCAGCAGTTGCTGTACAAGAAGAGCAGTGAGGAGTGGGAAATCCTAGGCGAGCTGGCTGAGCGGCTGCACCACAGCGAAGAGGCCGTAGAGGCATACGAGAACTGTCTGCAAATCAAGTTTTCGCCAAAGGCCATGAAGGGCGTCCTCAAGCTCGGCGAGAAACGCAAACAAGTCCGCGATGTCACGGCCGCGCTCATTCGACTCATCACATGGCAGTACCGCTGGTACTCCGAGGTATGTCATGTTTGCCCTTTTTGTCCCTTATATGCCCCTCCGTCCTGCTAACACTCACGCCAATAGTTTTCCCCCTCGCTCCTGTACACCATCCGCAAACTCATCGAGGAGGAGGGCGCCGTCAAGATTCGCAGCATCGTCCAAGGCACTTCGCTGCCCCAGCACGTCCTCGACCTCACCCACCAGTATGCCGCGTTATGCGCTGCCTTCAGGAGCAGCGGCAGTGACGGTTAGGTGCGCGAGCCTCTCAGCATGTATGGGGGTATACGAATTAATAGCGTGCTATCGTTTTACGCTGGTGCCAAAACAAACTAGAGGGTGTGCATTGATCAGTGACGGTTTCAGTGAGAATAATCCTGTCCAGAGAGCGTTGGCGTTGAACATGGAGGCATGGACAGTTTAGTTCGTAGTACATTGTTTTTTTTTCAGTCACATTGGCGATACGGGAAAATGCCTGAATCGGTATTGATTGATCTGGGTTGGCATTCACTTGTCCCCTGACATTGTCATTTGCACGTGTGGTATTTGGTGTTTACTTCTCACGCTGTTGGGGGTCCTCTATTTTTTGTTGTCTCGCGTGTTCTTGCAACCAATGTATTCATTTTTATCGTCACAAGCCGCGGGATCGTACCAGGCAGCCGTTGCGCGCCATGTCACGTAACCTCGTCCTTGAGGAGTAGATAGTAGACAGTAGAAGACCCCATGAAAAAGCCCAGGATGAACACCGCTCCATGCTCCCCCATCCACCCTTTCTCTCTCTCTTGTTCCTCCGCCAGTAAGCCAGAAAGCGCTTAACGGTAAGACTTCTGGTACCTGGCGCGGGCACCTGGACCACCAAACTTCTTGGGCTCGCACCGCCTGTTGTCGGCAACGAGCAGTGTGCGGTCGTACTGGATGAGGGCCTGCTTGAGCTGGTTCTTGGAGTGCTCGTCGACGTACTTTTGGTAGTAGGCGATGATGGATTTGGCAATGGCTTGGCGGATGGCGTAGATTTGCGAGGTGTGACCACCACCAGAGACGCGAACGCGGATGTCGACATCGGCTGCGAGCGAAACATGTTAGCAACTCCGTGTTCGTTTCAATCCCCTCCTTCTCTGTCTCTCTCCCGTCTCGTCTCCCCCTCCATCTATAGGACTATGTGCAGTGTGGTGATCGTGTGTGTGCGTACCGAACTTGTCAACGCCGAGGATCAGGATAGGCTCGTAGACCTTGAATCGCAGAATCTCGGGCTGGACGAGGGAAAGAGGCTTTCCGTTGACCTTGACGAGACCCTTTCCGGCCTACAGCATCCACGCGTTAGTATTTTCTGTGTTTCCGTGTTGCGCATTCGATTCGGGTAGGCCATTGCGTGTGTACCTTGCAGTGGGCGACAGCTGTTTGAGGTCATGTTAGCCATTGTCTCGCGTTGGATCAAAATACTGGCGTCGGATAGGGATGAGGGGGGAAGGCATCGTACCAGTCGCGGTCTTCTTCTTGCCGAAGCATTGCACACTCTGGGAGGCCATGTTGGGCGACTGTGGGATGTGCGTGCGGTTAGTATTGGGTGGGCGTCGTCGGTTTTGCGGTCGGAGTGGAGTGGAAGTTCGTCTACGCCAGCAGCGAATATTCAGTGGGCGTCCGTGCGCCCACCCATCCCTGTAAGCGACTAGCGTTGCCGGTGGCTTAGCGCACTCAGAGGAGGCCATCGCAAAGTCACACTGGACTTGGATTCCTTGCCACAGTGCCCTTGAAATTTCCAGTGTGATATCGGACAGGAGCCAAAACACTGAAAACAATGAATTCCGACACTGAAATCTGCGATTGAGTATTGCATTAGCAGATCCTGCTTCCTGCACCATAAACCCCTTTCAATATGCCCTACGAACTGCATGTATTCGGCAGTAATGGAGAGGGCCAACTTGGGATACCCGCTGCAGAAATTGTCGATGTTCCCACAAAAGCATCGGGTACACCACCGCTCGAAGAAGTGGCTGCGATACGAGGTGGTGACAACCATACCTTGTTTCTCTGCAAAAACGGGGCTGTCTACGGTGTAGGAGACAATCGCAAGGGCCAGTTAGCCGCGCTGGGCAAGGAACCTCGAATCAAGGCTTTTGAGAGAGCATGTGATAGTGCTTCTTTCGCTGCGGCTACCTGCGAGTCTTCGGCATACGTTATGAGCAGTGAGTCCGGACAGAGCTGCATCCACATTGAAGGTACGGGCCAATGGGGAGAACTGGGTCGCGAACAGCAAGGCGGCCCTAAGGCATCAAGACAACAAAGCACATTATCGCTTCCCGGTAGAATCATGAATTTTGCCGCTGGAGTGTGGCACTACGTAGCCGTTCTCGAAGACGGTTCCGTCTACGGCTGGGGGAAAGCCCGCCTGGGTCAACTCGGCGACAGTCTTACCGGCAAAGTCACAACGCCAACCAAGATCGAGGCGATACCGTTCAAGCCCGTCAAAGCTGTCTGTGGAAAAGACTTTACATATCTCATCGGGGAACCGGCTCGTGGAGAGCATGTTTTGCTAGGCAAAGACAAGTTCAACATCATCTCCGGCATGCCGGAAAACATTCGGGGCTGGAAAGACGTTGGCGCTACATGGCATGCAATCTTCGTACTGTTTGACGACGGAACGCTGACTGCGTGGGGTAAAGAAAATATGTGGAAGTTGTTGCCACCAGATCTGCCGCGTCTGAGTCAGATTGCTGTGGGTTCAGATCATATACTTGCGGTGACATTGGATGGCGAACTGATATCTTGGGGCTGGGGCAAGCATGGGAATTGCGGTGATCTAACCCGTATCAAGCATGAGATTAAGAACGACATGGTCAGCGGATTTTGGAACAGCATTGATGTGCCTGGTGAGATTGAGATGATTGGAACTGGGTTTTGCACCAGCTTTGTAATTACCAAGTGATTCACTAAGGAAATATTAGCATACCAGGCTTCTGCCTGTCTCTCACACTGTTCAAGGTGAAATTGAATAAACTTGCATGTGAATTAACACTGAAAGCAAGAACCTCAACTCGAAGAGATATTCAAAAACGGCAATGTTTCTACGCACCAGTAATAAAGAAAGCAGCAAACAGTACTCTACACATTGAGACTTGATATCATTACTGTTATCAAGAACTTAAGAATGAGAAATTTTATTTTACCAAAAGAATATGTACGATGTATACCCAATACCACTAAAAGGAAAAAAACACACAACACCATGTATCCCATATACCCAACTCCCAGCATCCAACCATCATCCATCAATCATAACACCATTTACAAACGCCGTGAAAAAAAGGTTTTATGTAAAGAAAGATACTCAATACCCCTCTCTCACCAAGCTCCACTCAGCAACCGTAGGCCCATCCGTCGCATCATGCGCAAACTGGTTTCCGCGCACACCCAGATGGGCATATCGTCCACTCCACACGCTTTCTTCCAGAGTGATGTTTGTCTGGTTGCCAATGTACGGCCTGATTTCATATGCCGAGACGGGGTCCCAAGGCGCACTGAGTTGCACATCGCCGGCCGTCACGCTCCTTACGTCATCGGCTAGTTGCTTGGAAAACGGCGGGAGCGTGGCGTTGGAGAAGAAGATTTCGAAATGGGTGGGTGGCTGGTTTGCCCAGTCCATGACGATCTTCTTGATGGGGTAAAAGGCAGAGGCACCCAGGTCGACAGTGAGATAACTCGTCATATTTGCGAGCTCAGGCTGCCACTTTGTACTTGAAGCACCGTCGATAGCGGCAATGGGGAATTGTCCTGGTTTGTTGCCTTGAGGCGGGGCGAGGAGGGACTTGCATTGAAGAATGTTTCCGCCCACCGTGAGGACCTCGCCCATGGGTCGGTTGCGTACCACCAGGGGCTCTTCGCCCAGATAATATGTCGTAATGTTGCGGTTACTGCGGGTGCCGACTGTGACGGGGATGGGCTTATCGAAGTAGGTTTCGTTTGCTGATGGGAGCGTGTACTTGTCTCGTGGCAGACGCGCTAGTGTAGTGTGCGTCGAGTTTGAAGTGGCGTTGATGCCGTGGCCCATCCAGTAAAAGGTACGATAGTTGAGGTATTCGATTTGCGGTGGTAGAGTGGGATCGATATCCAACTTGTCGTAATACAATCCCAGGCCGAGGTAACCGAAGATGGCGACCCGGTTGGTTCCACCCATACCGGTCAGAAAAGGGAATGCAGGATGTGTTCCTCCGTTCTCTTCCACGTTGTCGATGAGCTGCTCGGAATACTGATACCACGGTGCACGGAGGTAGGGCGAGGAGGAGTAAACGTCGTATGTAAAGCTCGAGCATCCAGATGGGGAGACCTCGTTGGCTACGACAGCAAACGAAGAGTAGGTCATTGCAGGCCCATCGAGGGATTGTTTTGCAGCATAAAAGTCCAAGTTAGTCAGGCTGTACCTGTTTGGGTAATGTAGTAAATCATCAATGAGGACTACATCCGCTTGTTTGACTGCAACAGATCCGTTCATGCCGGTATACTCAATAATGATGCCAGCATTGTCGTTGACAGGAAGCCGCATCTTTGAAGCCTTCTCCGTCCAGCTGTCATTCTGACTGCGCCCAAACCAAGCATTGAATTCATTCGTCTCGAGAAAATGCTTCTGTATCAGCGCAGTGGTAAAGCCTACGTTGTTGACCTGGTTGGCATATTCGTCGGGATCGGTTGCATTCCATAATTCCCAGGCGCCAGACGTCTCATTAAAGTCCAGGACCTGGCCAAAGAAATGTGCAATGGAGTTGGATATCGGTAGCAAGGTGTCGTTAAAGTATTGGCTGTCGCCCGTAATGATAAGGTGGTTGTTGAATGCCAGGCTCATATCGCCGTTGAGATGATATTCATAATCGAAGCAGGCCCCGGTGCCCGTACAGTTTCCAAATCTTGCACTAGTCCAAGGATACACGGCACCTCCTGGAGTAAATCGACCCGTCTGGTTCTTGCTCGAAGTGAAGGCTGTCTCAACGTTTCGCTGCGCTTGCTCAAAATGATCCACGTGATACTTGATGACGTTTTGCGCATGCTGAGGATGCGACACCTGTATTCCTGGAGCCATCCAAACAGTTGCGTCCCAAAATATCATACCGCCATAGCAATCTGAACCAAGGCCGCAAACCGGGATGCTGTAGATGTCGAGTTTTGTATTATTCCCAGCTGCGGCCACAGCATTGGGACCGACCATGTTGGAAAGAAGATAGAACGGGTTTGTACGAGCTAGAATATGCAACTGCCGCACCTCTGGGTCTTCCGGGAGAGAGCCGTTCGGTAGGTGGTAGTCGTCGATAGCATCTGGTGTCAAAATGGATTCCCATTCTTCGATATGGGAACGCATAAGCTTATGGAAGCCTTCTTTTGCGCCCGAAAGCGAGGCATCCCTTGCCGTGGCCTGTGGATCGGGAAATGCATCGGTTGATGCGACTCCAATGAACTTGGTCACTTCAGTTGGCCGGAAAGCGGTCAGCTCGACTGATATAGACTGCGCAATAGTAGACGCGTTGCCACTACCAAATACACCTTCTGGTACTTGGGTACGGGAGCTGAGATCGACCCAATCACTAGCGCCTAGAGTCGAGTACACATACGCAGTAACATTGGTGATGTTTCCCGGGCTCACAGCTGACCAGATTGTCGGTGTGTCTTCTTCATACTTTTTTGCGACAAAGTCGGAGCGCACGGCACACTCTCCGTCCAGAATGTCGTACACGGTCACATTGTCATCCCGAGTGGACGTAAGCCGCAGTCTGACGGCAGCCTTGTTGACGTAGAGCTTGTGCACAAACAACTGGTAGTTAACGTCAATGGTTCCGTCGCCAAAGCCGCCGGGTTTCCAATTATATCGCCAGCTCGCAATACCAGCCTTCACATCCAGGCTTGCGACAAAGTCGGAGATATGGTCAGGATTGACGGATGCGTTCAGAAACTCGCCGTTTGCCTCGACAAGGAGCCCGCTCCAATGTGGAATACCAGCAATGAAGCTCTCCCACCCGTATTGATACAGCCATGGATAGTTGGATCCAACTGTCCGCGGCTGGCTATTCCAGAAGCCTGCGATGGTCGAGAACGTCTGTCGCCTGCTGAAGAGCGGCCATCCACTTATGACGTCGCCGTCTACTGGTTCGTCGACTTCGAAAAACGGCCCTGCTGCGGCGACATTTATGCCAAAATAGCCGTTTGCGAGGGTCAACCGGGACTGATAATGGCCTTGGTCCAGCACATGGGTTGCAATGACCGAGTTGTCGTCATCCCATGTTACGTGCTTGAATTGGTCGTGCTCGCTGCTGGTCGAGGCAAAGGCCAGTCGTGTTGATGTTAGAACGGCAGCTGTAAGTCGGAGGACTCTAGTCGCGACCATCTCTCGGGCGATGGAAGAGGAAAGGGAGCTCAAGGCAGAGCCAACAACGTGCCAGGCATGACCGTCTTAAATCGAGGTACAAGGCCATGTCGATCATCCTTGCAGTGACTAGTTACGCCCACGGGGGTGCTAGCCGTTCGCTTTCTTTGCCTTTTTTTCCACACCGCTAGGCATGGGCTGGCTGATCCGATAGCATGCCATGCGGGCGCTAGCTTGTGCTTGTGCATTCTGGACGCGCCTAGTAATGGGATTAATACTCCGATTTGACAACCGCATGGCTGGCCCTCTTTCGTCTGGCCGAGAGTAACAGTAACGAGCGACAGGTTGGAAGGATTGCGATGCTCTGCCCCCAAGACGTGGATGACTCAAAAAAGACGCGTCGATAAGACACACCGGCGGGATCGTGCGCTCTTGACGTCATGTGGCCCTTGTCCACGGTGCCACCAAATGTTTGGCTTTGCTGTCTACCGGCCATCCAACAGCATTTACCACGTGGCAGGGCCTTCTCATACCACATTATCATCATAAAATCACAAGCCGTTACTCGTATTGAGCGTCCAAGTCTCCATGTCCTTGCGGCTCCGATTTCTGCCCCTACACGTGCTGCTGACTCGCACGTGCTAAGCATGCACATGTTACCCGAGCAGCCAAATGACGGCTTACCGGCTATCCCAGCAGCCCAGCATCCCACGGCCATGGCTCATAGAACTGTCTCGAACGTCAACAGAACTTTCTCAATCAACACTGGCCAGGTTTACTCCACGGTGGCTGGGATTACGATATCTGCGCGGAGCTTTGGCGAGGTTCTAGAACCAAAGTCTACTATTGTCGGTATCTCCGACACGTCAACCAACAAAAACGTTATTCTAAAAGCTGGTATTGCGTGCTGCTCTCCAATAATCTCTTTATCGCTCTCTGCAGGCATTGGTAATCTGATCAGCTAATCCCTGGAAATAATCATCCGAGTTTGATTGGTGTTTCAAAAGTCATTTTTACATGGATTGAGAAAGCAGTGATATTCTGTACCCATGGCCTTTCGGAATAAGCAGGCAGTAATTTATGCCTCAACACCATATGTTCAAAGCAAATGGCACAATACAACACACAGTCAAAGAATTCTATAGTGACTTTCACAGGTGCTAATGGAGTTGAAGTTACAGTATGGGACATAACCTCCCTAGGCTGGAAGATCAGCTCTATATGTACTACAAGTTCTAACCATCTACTGTGTAATCAAACCCAGATGTTCACTCTCTTCTCGTCGTTTACTTGATGTATACAGACCTCAGCTCAAGGTGTAGTGTCAGAAGGCAGGTCATACTCACTGCCCTCTCGATAGTACGGATACCTGATCGTCTCATGGACCAGCCTGCCTCTAACCCAGACAGCCACGGTATTCCGGTCATCACCGCTATACACCCACTTCTCCACCTTATCGGGCCAGCTCTCCCAGCCAAAAACATCAACAGGCCCATCCTCAAACTCCCCAGTCTCATTGCCATCTTCGGCGACAGGACCCAGGCTAATCATCTGCGCATCCCACTCTTTGCCCACCTCAAACCCCCCAACTTTATCCTGCATGCCAACGACGGCCGCCCCGCCCCTCGTAGCAAGATACAGCGCCTCTTCCGTCGACAGCTTGACCGCCTCCGAGTCTGTCTGGATACATAGGTGCCTCGACACCCAGATTGCCTGGCGCACATTCTCGAGAATCGATGGCGAAAACCCGCCAGACACATCGGTGCCCAGCCCAATCGTGTGGCCCTCGTCCAGCAGACTGCGGATCGGCGCGCACCCGGATGTAATGGCCGTGTTGGACGCAGGACAGTGGCTGATCTTGCTCTTGCGCGCTAGAATCAGTTTGCGCTCGTCGGCTCCCAGATACACGCAGTGCGCCAGGATCGTCTTGTCCGTCAGCAGCCCGTGCGTGTCGTAGACCTGTGCGTAGCTCTCGCTATCCGGGAACAAGCTCTTGACCAGCTCGATCTCGCCCTTGTTCTCGGAGATGTGCGTCTGGATATGTGCATCGGTTTCCTTAGCCAACTGGCCCATTGCACTCAGACACTGCGGCGTGCATGACGGTGCAAACCGCGGCGTGATGATGGGCTTTACAATTTCGCCTTTGGGGTCCAGCGACCGGATGTACTCGATGCTCGCTTTTGAGTCGGCGTAGCTCGTCTCGACGCTCTTGTCGCGGTAGTACTCAGGGCTGAGGTCGCTGTTCATGCACACCCTTCCCACGAGGGCTCGCTGGCCTCGCTCCCGACAGATAAATGCGAGTGTATTTGTAGCTTCCACGTGGATGGTGGCGTAGTATGCAGCCGTTGTAGTGCCGTGAGACAGTGTCCTCGACACAAAGTTCTGGTACACACGTTGTGCGCGACTGGCGTTGGAAAATGACGCTTCCATGGGAAACGTGTACTTTTGAAGCCAGTCGAGTAATGTCGTTTTGCCAAAAAGACCTGTGTTGGGGTGTTGCGGCGCGTGCACGTGGGTGTCTATGAAGCCGGGGAAGAAGAAACCAGCCGTCGTATTGGGTATCGAGACGACTTTTGCGTCTGTCCAGTCTTCTTCTTTGGCGGTTTGCAACGAGGATAGCAGGGCCGGGAGAGAAGAGACATTCCTCTCCACGAACCGGATGACTCCGTTCGAGTCTACGCCGATGGCGCCCTGCGGTTCGATTTCCAGTGTCGTGAGTGATGTGCTGTGGGCAAAAGGCCCAAAGTAGATTGTTCTTGATATAGGTGCTGAGGCCGCCATTTTGTAATGCCAGTAAAACCGTCTACCGTGACTTCTTTCCTTTGCTCTTATTGATGCCCTCTGTTGCTCCTTGGATTCGGATACGTTGACGTCTTCGCTACGAAGGATAGTTACCGAGGTACTCCGCGGACCTTCTTATGGCAGAGCTTACTTCCAGGGAAAAGTGATTGTGAATGCGTGGGAATTCAAGGATACAGCCACCTTGGGAAACACTCAAACTTGAAGACTCAAACAAATGGGGGGGTATAGGTTGAGAGGCAACAGGCCGTTCTTTATCAGTTCTGGAGAAGGGGTGACAGGCTAGATACGGTTTAGTGGACTTCGCTAACACCTACTGCGTGGAGCCAACCGGGGCCTACTTTGGGACTTCGGCGTACTCCGATCAGCCTTCACCACCATCATTAGGTGAAAAAGCAAGAGTAGGAGGGGTGCTCGCTTTCGCTTCTTCACACATTTACTCACCCTCTCCGCATGCAGGGTGAAACGATAGAAAGCAAAAAAAGTTGACATGGTTCTTGGACTAAAGGGTGCCACACTTTGCAATGCGCCGCTAGCCTATCGCTGTGGCTGGCATCCATTGCTCGTTGCTTTCGATTAACTCTTACACATCGATACACCCCCCCAAACTTCCTTTTTGGGGCACAAGCAACGCCAGGATATCCCCCCAGTTTACCTCGCCTGAAAACTCCATGATGGCTTTCTCTCTGAAAGCAGAACATAAATGCCCATCTACCTACTAAGAGTCGCTATCCAGAACAGAACACGTACACATGATCATAGGCTGTAGTCGTGGATGGCTTGAGGGCCTTGGTCATTGTAGTCTGGGCGCGTCATGTAGCCTTTACTTTGACCCTGGTCGACAACAAAGATGACCTTGGCCGCGACCTGGGCGCCGAGGAAGGTGGATTCGTCAAAGCCAACCTCCTTGAACTCGGGAAAGTACTCCGGGGGCTTGACAAATTTGATTGAGGTGGGTGTCTGGCCGTGTGACGAGTGGGTGTTGTGTGACATTCCGGGAATACCCCCGTGTGGCACCATGTGCTGCGTCTGTGCTGTGGTAGCTGCCAGTAGGAGGGGGTTGACCTGCGAGGCACCATGCGGACCGAGTTGGGGCTGAGGTGTGTTTGTTCCAGTCCCCGCAGGTGTCGAGACATTGGATGGGATCTCGGATGTGAAGATAGTGGCTGAAGAGGGTGACACTAGATACTTAGTCTGAATGGTCTGCAGAAGAGCTTCCCTAAAGCCTAAGTCGGGATTAGCGGGCTACAAAAGTACGTTGGTTTGTAAATGCGGGCTCACCTCGCAGCTTTGATCCGTTGCCACAGACGATGAGCTGATCCCAGAGATCACTTCGCTTGCCGACTTCGTCAATAGAAGAGATTGTCCTGTATATGGCATCTGCAATCTTCTCCAGTGTGCCGTTGCCGTCTGCCATGAATCGCTCGGTGCCAACCTCTATTTCACGTCTTATCGCTCCTGTCCGTTTGGATGTGCTGTTGGAGTCGGTGGTGCCGTTTGCCTCGGCTGCAGAAGTGGACTCACCCTCTTCCTCGCCTTCGTTTGCTTTCCGGGAAGGGCCCTCGTCCAAGGCACCTTTGGCGTCGGCCATCTCTTGCGTGTTCAGATTCATGTTCTTCAGGGTATCCAGGAGCGCGTGATCTTCGTACAGAAATGTAGCTTTTTCAACCTTCGAGTTGGGAAGCTTTACAGGCCTATTCGCTTGTGGGGCTGGGGCGCCCTTCTTCTTAGCATTGGACTTTTCTTGCTTCTCCTTCTCTTTTTTAGCAAGGTATTCAGACATCTTGCCCCCAGCTACAATGCTTGCGACGTCTAGGACACCTTCATCTTCGCCAGTTCCTTCCTCTCCGACCTCGGTATCGATGCCAGGGCCCCGTGGCACGTTCCCAATCGCAGTTGCCGCAGCAGCGCCAGAACCCGGTGCTCCAGTTGAAGCTGCTGCCGCAGGGTTGCTCACGACGTCCATCTGCGGCGCATCTGCTGATCCTGGCAGCGGAACTCCTGGGGGCAGAAGCTCGCATATTGGCGACCTCTTGAGCTGTTCGCACATGTCCCGGTTGAAACCTTTGGGCTTCAGCTTGGCGAGGAGGCCCTCGGTAAAGGCTTCACCTCCACATCCGGCCAGCGAGACGACTCTGCCCTGTATGTGCGGGATAAACTCGCTGACAGCAGTGATATCGGCCTTGTCTTTGCCGACATCAATGACAGTGGCCGTGTGCACACCATACGCCCATGTCGTCGCCAATGCTGCGTCCATCAAGCCAAAAGCGGGGACCTTGAATTTCTCAAAGAAAAACTGGGTGAGCTTCTCGTGCTCTCGTGGCGTCCATGCGGGCTGAGTGATGAGGAGGATCGGGGTGTGAAAGGGCGGGTTTAGCGAATTATAAACATGCGTGATGAGAGCGAAGAAGCACGGCCAGTCGACGATTCTGCCCTGCTGGATAGGCCATATTGCGCCCTCCTCTGAGACGCGGTCCTCCTCCCATATGACTTCTTCCTCGCCCTCGGCGGGCTTGTTGTTCTCTTGTTGCGCCTCATCCTTGGCCTCGCCCTTGTCTGCAGCTGCCGCTTCCTGCTTCCGTCGTATCTTGTACGGCTCAAACTCGCCCTCCTTCTCAGCGGGGAACATGCGCGACCTTACGCGTAGGCGCGCCGGGGTGAAAGACTCGGGCAGGCCCAGCTGTGCGACGGTGGTCTCCGAGCCGGGCGAGATGATCTGCAAAAAAAGGTCAGCGCATGCATGACGCAGGAAAGCGCACACGTGAGACTCACGATAATCTGGTCATCCTTGAAGGGCGGCATGGCGGCGCAATGGGTGTTTGTACATATGTACAAGCTCCGGCGTGGGTGAGAGCTCCCAGCCTACCGCCGGCCGACTCTGCGACGAATGGCGCTAGTCCCACCTCGGCTAGCCAGACGCGCGCGGGTGCGGGCACCCTTCACGACTTGGCACCCGCACCCCCACATGCCCATGCCAACTCTCCGTCTCTCTCTCCAATGCGTTCCCGAAGCTTCCAACGTGCCCACGCAACGGCTCGCCATGGGATACCAGTCTCTACAGCAATATTTTAGCACCGCCGTGGCACCGTGCCCGTGACCTTCGTCCCCCCGTCGCCCAACATGTCCTCAATAGCTGCCCTGGGAGCTGCTGTCTCCAAGTCAGCTGCCCATGAAGCAGCAGAGGCTCTCTCCACATCTGCGGTGGGAATGAAGACAGCCGATGCCCCTCCCCCTGCCAGCTTTGGTCTACTGGCTCGTGTTGTTCTCTCCGTCTTCAGCGTACTGCCCACCGTCCTGTACTGGGTGACATATACCTTGCCTACATGGCTGTTCACGCTCTTTTCCATGAGCTTGACCTTCACCATGAACTTTACAACCTTGTACGTCTCCTCGGCCGCTGCACGGCTTTTGCTGAACCGACTCCCAGGATGCTCGTCGTCGTCTTCGCTGTGTCCACGGTCAGCTACTTTGTCAGGTACCGGTACATGACCATGTACGCGAGACTGCCGCCTGAACCACAACGTGAGGAACCACAGGTCGAGGTTTTCCCTGACAGTGCCGAAAGCGACTCCAAACGGGGCTTGTCCAACTACCTTGATGAATTCCTAAGCGCTATCAAGGTCTTTGGCTACCTGGAGCGCCCGGTATTTCACGAACTTACGCGCACCATGCAGACTCGCCGCTTGGTGGCCGGGGAGACTATTCTCTTGGAGGAGGAGAAGGGTTTCTGTCTTGTGGTGGATGGCTTGGTCCAGATTTTTGTCAAGTCAAATCGCGCAGAATCGGATTCGGATGAGGAGGAGCAGGGAGTGTCTGCTCAGCAAGGCCCCCGCCAAGGCTATCAGCTTCTGACAGAAGTGAAAAACGGAGCACCAATGTCTTCCTTGTTCTCGATACTCTCTTTGTTTACAGAAGATGTAAAGCTGCGTCACGACGAAGAGGATCAAGCAGGTCTGAGCGTACCAGTATCGCCACATGCACAAGGCAGACCGTCCATATCGCGAGCAAGCAGTTTTGCCATGGACAACTCGAGACCCCATACTCCTCGGGAGAGTTCAGAATCCAAGTTGCATCTCCGAAGAACATCAACGATGAACAGTCCAACAGCAGGCGGACGGCTCGAAAGCGTACCGCCTCTGTCGTTGGACATGGATGGGTTCGGGGACGAACGTCTCAAACATACCAAAACCCGAAGGTCACCCCAGCACTCTACAAAGGCCAAGTCTGCCCACCCAGACATTGTTGCACGCGCCACTGTAGACACAACCATTGCCATCATACCCGCTACTGCATTTCGTCGATTGACGCGCATATACCCAAAAGCGACGGCGCACATTGTACAGGTCATCCTTACGCGCCTGCAAAGAGTCACCCTCGCAACCAGTCACGAATATTTGAGCCTAACGAATGAGGTTCTTCGGACGGAAAAGCTGATGAACAAGTACACAATGTACGATCTACCGGGGTTCCTGCGGGATGCTCCGCTCGAACGACTCAAGGAAAAGTTTGCCCAAGAGACGGAGCGTATTGGCCCGGATGAAGGCATGAAAGGCATCGCGCTGCACAACCCTGGAGCCGGCCGTCGACGAAGATCGAGTGTGTCGCTGAGAAGAGGGACAGCTGCACAAGCGCGACTCGCTGCTGCGCGCGGGGCTCAACTCGATGCTGGTATTGACATACGGCCCAAGATTGCCTCACCAGACCAGGGACCGCGCAACGATCGTATAAGCGCAGGCGATCTCTTGACCAATTCACAAATGGCCCGGACAGTGGGTCGCAGTGGCCGCAACAGCTTCTCCCAGCCATTTCAACAGGATCGCCGCGATATTCGCACGCCGCTGGACGCTGGCTCCTTCAATCCCTTTGCTTCTCCCTCCCTGCGCCCTAAGACGCTTCACCGTCAAGAGTCGATTGACGAGGCCACTGTTTTCAGAGAGTCTATACTTGGGTGTATGTTCAAAGCCATTGGGCTCACCAACCCGGAAAACCCGATGCCCAAGCCGACGGCGTCAGTGGAGCAGTCACCTCAGCTTGTTTCGTTTGACGCTACCAGGCAAAAGGCCGTCTTCACAAATGCATTTGGCTTCATCGATCCTTACGCCGCCTCTCGCGATGGAGATACCGAGTCTGTTGCATCTGCGTCAGGCATGTCCGGCATGAGCGGTGCAGGGTCGCACAACATCCTTGAAGAAATTGTAAACGACGTAGAGATTGTCTTCTTCCCGAAGAATTCGGTTCTTGTGGAACAGGGCGAACGAAACCCGGGCCTGTATTACGTGATTGACGGATTTCTTGACGTGAGCGTAGCAGTGGAAGAAGAGGCGCGTGAAACCAACCCGCTCGGATCTGTTCTGAATGGCCCTGTGTCTACCGAGGAAGAACTCTTTGGCCCTCCGCTCCGACCGGTGGGCCCGACTACTCCTTCGTGGCCTGCGACTGACAGCGCGAAAAAGAAGCGTACAAGACGAAGCTTATTCATGACGAAGCCTGGCGGCCTTGCAGGTTACCTTGGCGCAATATCATCGAACCGGTCTTTCGTGGACGTTACCGCTAAAACCGACGTTTATGTGGGCTTCCTGCCCCGTTCGGCCATTGAACGGATAGTGGAGCGCTACCCAGTGGTGCTACTTACCATGGCTAAGCGCCTGACAACACTTTTGCCGCGGCTGGTTCAGCATATTGACTTTGCACTTGAATGGGTTCAAGTGAATGCTGGGCAAGTCATCTACAATCAAGGCGATGAGAGTGATGCCATCTACATTGTTTTGAATGGACGATTACGAGCCATCCGCGACGCTGAGACCAGTGGCGTTAAGGTCATTGGCGAATATGGCCAAGGCGACAGTGTCGGCGAGCTCGAGGTGCTCACCGAGTCCTCTCGTCCGGGGTCGTTGCACGCCATTCGGGATACGGAACTTGCAAAGTTTCCAAAAACGCTCTTCAATAGTCTCGCTCTGGAGCACCCTGGTATCACGATCAAGATTTCGAAAATCATCGCGTCTCGGATGCGCGCCTTGGTCGACGATCCACTGTATGAGCAAGGCAAAGATCGGAGCGCCAAAGCCACGCGGGCGAATGTATCTTCAACAATCAATCTTCGCACGGTTGCCGTTCTTCCGGTATCAGCAGGGATTCCAGTGGTTGACTTTGGGAGCCGTCTTTTGAATGCACTCACGCAAATTGGCATGCCCCAGGGTGTCGTCTCTCTCAACCAAGCCGCCATTCTGAATCATCTCGGCCGACATGCCTTTAGCCGAATGGGCAAGCTCAAGCTTTCACAGTATCTGGCTGACCTGGAGGAGAAGTATGGAATGGTCATCTATGTCGCCGATACACCAGTCAAGTCGCCGTGGACACAAACATGTATCAACCAGGCTGACTGCATTCTTCTTGTGGGATTGGCCGAATCATCGCCAAACATTGGTGAGTATGAGCGCTTCCTACTGACGACGAAGACGACTGCACGAAAAGAGTTGGTGCTTCTGCATTCGGAAAGATACTGTGCGTCTGGTCTGACGCGGAAGTGGTTAAGAAACCGACCTTGGATCAATGGCAGTCACCACCACATTCAGATGTCGTTCCGCGCGACGTCAGAGCCAGTTCATCATGCCGGGCGACGGTTCGGAAACGCACTCAAGCAGCGAGTGCAAGTCATCCAGGCTGAGATCCAAAAGTACACGTCGAGAAAGGTTCGCCAAACGCCGCTCTACTCTGCCGACACACCATTCAAAGGCGACTTTCATCGGCTTGCTCGCCGCCTGTGTGGTAGGTCGGTCGGGCTTGTATTAGGCGGTGGGGGTGCTCGTGGTATAGCGCATGTTGGCATTATCCGAGCTCTCGAAGAGGCAGGGATTCCGATTGACATTGTAGGGGGCACATCGATTGGGAGTTTTATTGGCGCGCTGTACGCTTGGGATGCAGATGTGGTTCCCATGTTTGGCAGGGCTAAAAAGTTCTCTGGTCGCATGGCCAGCATGTGGAGATTTGCACTTGATCTCACATACCCGTCGTAGGTGGTGGATATACCTTGTGGGCGGGAAGCATGCTAACTGTGGGTAGTGTTTCATACACAACGGGCCACGAATTCAACCGCGGCATCTTCAAGACATTCGGCAACTCTCAAATCGAGGACTTTTGGCTCGAGTTTTACTGCAACACGACCAACATTAGCCAGTCGAGATCGGAGGTCCACACGTCTGGCTACGTCTGGCGGTATGTTCGTGCGTCCATGTCGCTTGCCGGATTACTGCCGCCGCTATGCGACAACGGCAGCATGCTTCTGGACGGAGGCTATGTTGACAACTTGACCGTGGCACACATGAAGGGTCTTGGCGCCGACATCATCTTTGCAGTGGACGTGGGCAGCCTGGACGACAATGCACCGCAAGCGTTTGGCGACTCGCTGAGCGGCTTCTGGGCAACGCTGAACCGGTGGAACCCATTCTCGAGCTTTCCCAACCCGCCGACGCTGTCAGAAATCCAGTCTCGGCTGGCATACGTGTCTAGTATCGACGCGCTGGAGCGAGCAAAGAATACCCCGGGGTGCAGATACATGCGGCCGCCAATCGACGCTTACGGCACGCTTGACTTTGGGAAATTTGACGAGATCTACGAAGTCGGGTACAAGTACGGTACGATAACATGAGAATCGGGCCGGCGACAGAATTTTCGGTACTAACAGCGGTGCAGGCAAAGAGTATCTAGCGCAGCTGCGAGAACAAGGCGTGCTTCCTGTGACTGAGGAGACGGAGAAAGAGAAGAATCTCCGACGGACAATGGCGCCGCGACGGGCGAGCATCTAGCGTGCTTTGCTTGCGCAATGCCCGCAAGCTGCGGAGAATGCTGGCACTAGGCTGGCTGCGGGCAGAGTGGATATCAGGTAATGGAATGCATGGGCGCTCAGCATTCCTTTGCCCAATGGGTGCTAGGAATGCGTGTGGATGCACCGACGGCCGCCTTGGGGTTTGGTGCGCCGCTTATCGCGTCCCCTGCCCACGACCCGACTGCGACTGGGGCGGATACTGACGGGCTAGTTACTCGACAGCATAGATAGCAATCCATGCCCTCGTCTCGCTCACGGCCTGCACGCTTGACCAGAGAAAAAAAACCAGGCCCTTGAGGTGTCCGCCGCTTTTTTGTCCTTCTTTCACTTCGCCCTTTTTCCGTTCCTTTTCGACTGCGGCAAGTCCGGGTCCAGCCCACTATCGACGTCACCGCGGCTGCAGCAGCCAGTCTTTGTACTACTGCTGCTCCCCCAACATTTCTTTCTGGGGACCATTGGCCCCTCGCCTCCCCCTCGATAATACCACCACAGTTACACAGCCAGCATGCGCACCGCATGTATCCGGGCTGCTAGCACCGCTAGTAGGCTCACACGGTCGTCATGTGTCGCACAGCTGTCGCGACCACAACTCGCAGGTAGCTCATCGCGAGTCGCCGCCTACCAAACCCGCCAGAAGCTGCAAAAGCGCGCATTCCAGCAACACGCCGCATCCTCACTGCAGGCGGCCGCGGCTGTCGTCGAGGCTGCCGACGATGTATTCGACACCCCGCCTCAGCAGACGGCCCAGGCAAAGCCGCTCGAGGCTCTCGATACCTTTCCCCGCCGACACATTGGCCCCTCTGCAGAGTCGGCTGAAGCCATGCTGAAAGCGCTCGACCCGCCCGTGGGCAGCCTGGACGAGTTTGTGCACCAAGTCATCCCCGCCGACATCCTGTCCGGCCGTGAGTTGAATATTGGCAAACTCTCGCAACACCACGACAGCGAATGGCAGAGCAACGGCGTGCCAGAGTCGGTTTTCCTCGAGAATGCAAAGGACATCATGAGCCAGAACAAGCCTGGCAAGAGCCTGATCGGACAAGGATACTATGGCACCAAGGTGCCAGAGGTGATCAAGAGAAACGTGCTCGAGAACCCCGCATGGTACACGAGCTACACGCCATACCAGCCTGAAATCAGTCAGGGACGCCTCGAGTCGCTGCTCAACTTCCAGACTATGGTGACTGATTTGACGGGCCTCAGCATCGCAAACGCATCAGTGTTGGACGAGCCTACTGCGGCCGCCGAGGCCATGACCATGTCCATGGGCATGATGCCGTTGTCCAAGCAAAAGAGCAAGAACAAGACGTTTCTCGTATCTGACAAGTGCCATCCACAGACACTTGCTGTTCTGCACTCGCGCGCTGAAGGCTTTGGCATCAAGATCGAGGTGGCCGATATACTCAAGGACAACAGCAAGAGAGTCGAGGAGATTGGCCAGGACCTAGTTGGTGTCCTGGCCCAGTACCCGGACACAGACGGAGGTGTCAACGACTTCCGCGGACTCTCTGAGAAGGTGCACAAGACGGGTGCCCTCTTCAGCGTAGCCACAGATCTCCTCGCCCTTACTCTGCTCACTCCGCCAGGAGAGTTTGGCGCCGACATTGCTTTCGGAAATGCACAGCGCTTTGGTGTACCTCTGGGCTTTGGCGGACCACATGCCGCCTTCTTTGCCTGCGACGAGAAGTACAAGCGCAAGATTCCTGGCCGCTTGATCGGTCTTTCCAAAGACAGGCTCGGCAACCCAGCGGCACGCCTTGCCCTGCAGACTCGCGAGCAGCACATTCGCCGCGAGAAAGCAACGAGCAACATTTGCACGGCCCAGGCTCTTTTGGCGAACATGAGCGCCATGTACGGTGTCTACCATGGACCCAACGGCTTGACTGCGATTGCGAAGCAGGTCGTTGCCAAGGCCCGCCTTATCCAGCAAGCCATCGTGGATAACGGATTCAAGACTGGCCAGCGTGGAAAGATGGACAACACCCCCGTCATGTTCGACACTTTTGTTGTAGAGACTGACGACAAGACTGACGGGATTATTGCCAATCTCGAAAAGAAGGAACTGCTCGTGAGAAGAGTTGACGACAAGCACATTGGTATCTCTGTTGACGAGACCACGAACGCGCACACCATTACCAACCTGTTGGGAGCGTTCCGGACGTTTGGCAAGGGCGACAAGACATCTTTCAACGAGCCTGTTGATATTGAGCTCCCCGCGCCATTCAAGAGGACCAGCCAGTTCATGACGCACCCAGTCTTCAACTCGCACCATTCCGAAACTGAGCTTCTCCGATATATCAACCACCTATCTTCAAAGGACCTCTCTCTCGTACACTCTATGATTCCCCTCGGTTCATGCACTATGAAGCTCAACGCTACCGCTGAAATGGCTCCAGTCTCTTTCGACACCGTTTCCAACCTGCACCCTTTCCTTCCTCTGGAGCGCGCCAAGGGATACACAGAGATGATCAAGCAATTGGAGGATGATCTAGCCGACATTACTGGGTTCCACTCGGTCTCGCTCCAGCCCAACTCTGGTGCACAGGGTGAATTCACTGGTCTTCGCGTCATTCGCAAGTATCTCGAGCAGCAGCCTGGCAAGAAGCGTGATATCTGCTTGATTCCCGTCTCCGCTCATGGTACTAACCCCGCCAGTGCTGCCATGTGCGGTATGCGCGTTGTACCCATCAAGTGTGACCAGGCGACTGGCAACCTCGACATGGCGGATCTCAAGGCCAAGTGCGAGAAGCACAGCGAAGAGCTTGGTGCTTTCATGGTTACCTACCCCAGTACTTTTGGTGTTTTCGAGCCCAACGTCAAGGCGGCCTGCGACCTTATCCACCAACACGGCGGTCAGGTCTACATGGATGGCGCCAACATGAACGCACAGATTGGTCTTTGCTCGCCCGGTGAAATTGGTGCCGACGTGTGCCATCTCAACCTCCACAAGACTTTCTGCATTCCCCACGGTGGCGGTGGTCCTGGTGTAGGACCCATTGGTGTCAAGGAGCATCTCTCGCCGTTTCTCCCAGGCCATCTCCGTGGCGAGACTGGTGGTGAAATGGCCATTCATCCTGTCAGTGGCGCCCCATGGGGTAGCGCCAGCATTCTTCCCATCAGCTGGGCCTATATCAAGATGATGGGCGCAGTTGGTCTCACTCAAGCCACCAAGATTACGCTCCTCAACGCAAACTACATTCTCTCCCGCCTCAAGCCACACTACCCCATTCTTTACACCAACGAGCAAGGACGATGTGCCCACGAGTTCATTCTCGACGTACGCGGCTTCAAGGACAGCGCCGGTGTCGAAGCCATTGACATTGCCAAGCGTCTCCAAGACTACGGTTTCCACGCTCCAACCATGAGCTGGCCCGTTGCCAACACGCTCATGATTGAGCCTACCGAGTCAGAGAGCAAGGCCGAGCTCGACAGGTTCTGCGATGCCCTCATCTCCATCCGCAAAGAAATCAAGGAAATCGAGGACGGCAAGCAGCCCAGAGAAGGAAACGTGCTCAAGATGAGCCCACACACTCAGCAGGATCTCATCACCGGCGAGTGGAGCAGGCCGTATACCCGTGAAAACGCAGCGTATCCTTTAAGCTATCTCAAAGCGAAGAAGTTCTGGCCTGCTGTCGCGAGGTTAGACGATGGTAAGATGTCTCCCCCCAAAACCTTCATAATGCAGTATGACTAACTTTATCACAGCCTACGGCGACACTAACCTCTTCTGCACCTGCGCCCCCGTCGACGGCGAAGAAAGCGACATTACCGGTGCCGCTGCGCCCAACCCAACCTAAGCCAAATCGCCCTGAATTCGCTGATCCCGGATCAACTCCACCGCTACACTTTCATCCTCCTTTCTACTTTTTCGCTTCTCCCTCTTTTTTCTTCCCCCATCTTTTTGCATTAAACAAGGTGTGCGCGGAGAGGACACAATGGGCACATCATCTTCCTGCCTATTGCCTCCCCAGTAATAATCTTCAACAAGCCACCCTCCCCCTCCCCCACAAACAAAGCGTTGGTGTTAACGGCGTCGATAACCTTGATCTTTTCCACAAAAATACCGTGTCATCTCTCTTCGACTTGCAACTTTTTCAACACGTTGCTTGGTTTTTGCGGTATTAAAAAGGAATCTGGGGGGGGTTTTTTTGCATAGAAACGGCGTTTTCTTTTTCTTTTTCCCTCTTTTTCTTTGGAGCCTGTCCGTTTTAACGGGCCATGGACGGAGAGTTGGAGGGGGAAGAAATGATCTGGTTACGGTACACACTTGGATGTATACACACATATATAGTGTGCAAGTAGCACAAGTACAGATACAGATACACATACACATACACATGAAACAATCAAGTATACATGTTCAATATGCAATGTGTAATGAATAACACACAAGTTCCCCCTCCCCCTCTCACACACACATATACTCTCTCTTTTCTCGCTTGCTTGCTCAACTTGATGCTTCGCATACTCTGTATCACCATGGCTGCACACAACCTCCATCCATCCATCCATCCATCCATCCATCCAATTTACCTTTTCGACACACGTGATGATTTTTAATACATACATGCGACTATCGGTAAAACACACACACACACGACTGAGTCTAGAATTTGCCCCTTCACACACCCCATACATCTGAACCCTTTTTGACCACTGAATAAGTAATATCAGGTGAGTTAGTGTGTTTACCAACTAGCGAATATCTACTTTTGTATATCTATTGTTATTCTTTCTTTTTTCTTCTTCTTCTTCTTCTTCTTCTTCTTCTTTTAGGTGGTGAGTACTTATATAGACACGCCATCTAGCTAGCATAGCGGAGGAGGAAGAAGAAGAAGAAGAAGAAGAAGAAGAAGAAGAAGAAAGATAACAGCTCTTTCGCTATGTATGTATAGTTGCTTGACTCTCTATCTCTGTCTCTACTCCTCTCTCCTTCCAATATCCTCTTTGCTTTTCATATCAACAAAACTAAAATACATCTACTACTCCGTTTACTTTTACTTTTACTTTTACTTTCCCCGTATCCATGTCTGTGTCTAATAGTTACTATGAAATACACGGTATCTAGCCTAAACTCGAACCCTCTATATAGTCTTGCCCCCTCCCCCCCCCCGAAAAAAAAGAAAACTTCTCTTCTCCTCCTCCTCCTCCTCCTACCGTACTGAACTCAAGTCCAGCACGTCTGCAAAACAACACCAACAACAACAACAACGCTAAACAAACACCCAGATTAAAGAGAATCAAGAAAAGAAAACAGAGGAGAAAAGTGGTTATGTAGGATACATATTCAAAAGAGGAATAGTAAAAACATGAAAGAGGTACAGGTGGGTAGTATCCTATAGGCGGATTGAATACAAAAAAATAACAAAAAAACCACACATTTTGTACTCGTACATCCCATTCGCATGTAAAAACGCCTCGTAAATGCTTCCAAAAAAAACACGCATACATCCTGGTTATCCCCAGTTTCGTTGCTCTGCTCTTCATCACCACATTCTGGTCTTGGAGCAAATCCCAATTTTTTAATTGTATTGTCTGCTCTTAGCAGCCCACTCGTCTTCCTTAGCCTTCTTCTCAGCCTCGAGCCTCTTGATTTCTCTCGTGACGCCTCCGGATGCCCTCCACCAGAGATCAGTACCGCTTCTAATCAGGCGTTCAGCGGCACTCGTAGGCCCATCAACGGCAGGTCTGACGTCGAGGTAGAAGACGGGCTCGCCCGTGGCTTCGGGCGCACCCTCGTAATAGTCGATTACGTAGCGAATCTCCTTGCAGCCCTTTTCGTTGCAGCGCTCGACGAACCAGTCGTGGCGGTCAAACGGCGGGGCAGTACCGAACCTCTCTGGCATAACGTAGCCCAGCCACTGCAGGATCTGGGATTTTGGCGTCGGCTCCGTCGGGCGACCGGTGAAGCGGAGGAGTTTTGGAGGCGGAATGTCCTTTTGGTCCCATGTTGTCGTGTCGAATGGGTTCTCGGCTGTGCCGAGCATGAAGTTGGCTACGTCTTCGCCTTTCTTGCAGATCTCGTAGCCTTCGGCGAGGCCGCGAGAGAAGCGGCGTTCCCAGCCCATGATTTCCGCCCATGCGCCCTCATTTAAGAAGTTGTGCACGCCCACCATGCTTTCTACGGCGGTAATGTCCGTGTCGGTGTATCCTTTGCGCAGCATGGCGTTGTACATTTGCTGGGGTGAGGGGTATTCCCACAGCGAGCCGTCGCCCTTGGGAATCGTAGACGTTTCGCGCTCAAGAGGTAGGGTTTGGGCTTGCTTCTCTGCGCGCTCGTTGGACAGGTCCGAGAACATGTTGTTTAGAGGGTTGAGTCGGGCGAGTAGGCCGGTCTTTGGTGGCGGTTCCGATGCACCAGCGGAGGATTTCTCAGGTGGGACGTAGGGACAGGCGCCTTGCGGGGTCTTCTCTGCGACAACGGGCGGCGCGGGCTTCTTGTGCATTGGACATTCGGGCTACAGCAATGTCAGAGGCGCACGAGGATAGAGAGAGATGATACGTACGGGAGGCTCCATACTGCCTCGCGGCATGGGATGCGGAGCAACGCGCGCAGCCGGCGCAGCAGGTGTGCTGTCTGCCCAAAACCAACCCATTTTGTAGTCGTGTAAAGAGAAAAAAGTGTCTTTGGGTATAGGCAGGTAAAAGTATGTAGGGCTGGAGAATGCGACGGGTGGCGGAGATTATCGGGAGAAACAAATTCGTGCAGGGTTCGCTCGCATCGTCATCGCTCTGCTGTGTCATCTCCACTCCGATTGGCTGGACACTCCAACACATATGAATGCAAGGCAAGACTAAACCCAAACGTGGGTTAAATTGATTGGTCTTCATGGATGACGTATGCACGCAAGGTCTGTTTTACACATTTCGGGTCACAACATCTGAGCTCTCATGGTCCGCGTTCCTCTATGACCCCGCTACCTTTGCTAGCTGCCCAGTGCCTCGAGAGCTGAAGATGGCCATGATGCCAAAGCTGCCATAGAAAAGAATCATGGGGTATGCCACCAAACCTCGCATTGATGTCATGCGACCTGTGATAAAATTAGCGTATGCTACGTTGAACTTGGGGAAGCAAACCTACCAACAACAGTGAACATGGAACTCGAACTGTAGGCACACCATGTGATCGCCAGACTCGTAAGGAGGTAGCCGAATAGTCCGTCAAGCGGTACGAAAATGCCGAATATGGCTACCAAGACAAGGGGGAGCAGGCAATAACCCAGGACAGATGCGGATCGCGGGAATGTCAGCGAGGAGCCTAGGTGTGAGCCATGCGAGTGGCTGTGGTCTCCAGGCGTCGCCTCAACTGCATTGACAGACGGCGACATGAGTGAAAGGATTTGGTGAAGCAGGATAGTGCCAACAAACGCCAATCCTGTACAATGTCAGCCAATATTCGTATTGGTTAAGTAAACAGGCATACCGTAGATGTAACCGAAGTGGAGCTTTCCAGATAACTAACAATGGTCAGCATGTTCTCCTGTAACAATGCGTTGTACATACTAATAACGATGTGCCGAATATCAAGAAGAACAGGATAGGGCCTGCCACGTCGCTGTCATCCATAATGTGCTGGTCGATGCGGCCAAAAGGGTTCAAGACGGCCAAAGTCTATCCGATGTTAGCCAAAACACAAGCCAAGTATATCGATACCCTACCTTCATCTGTATGTGTTTGAAGTTGACTCCTAGCTCTTCCACTACACTTTGTCAGCCTATCCATATACTTCGCGTGTTCGACGTTGCGTACGTAGCGGTGGTTCTCCTTCGTATCTGCCCATGATTAGTACTGCCCTATACAGGAGCTGCATTCACATACCCCTCTGTGCCAAACGCCGCCAGCCATCCTGTGCGTAGGCCTGAGCTGCCCACGCCCATCTGCCCGCTCACTTGGGGAGCTGAAAATCCCGCGCCATATTGAGGCGGATATGCCTGACTTGTCGATGCGCCATAGTTTGCTTGGAACGGTGTCGAATGTCCAGATACTGGTTGATTCGAAAAGGACGAGGAGTAGAACTGGAGGTTTTGCGCATTACCTGCGCCATACTGAGGGTTCTTTCCATAGCCGTATTGCGACATGGTAGGAGTCTTCGCGCGCGCGAGGGTTCTTGGAGTGGGGAAATGTGTTGAGAGGTGGTCAATTGGGCGGGAGGTTAAGGAGGGTGCCTGGCGGAGCTCGAGCAGTGGTCGCGGTTCAAGTTACGTGGAGCGAGGGTCGACGTCACCAGCGACTATGGAAGGGAAAGGACAGATCGCATCGAAAGGCAAGATCGGAGTAGGATGGCGGGTTGGTTTGCTGGGATGCTACAGAGCAATTGTTTTGTTCGCGGTGTTGCGACGCAAAGTGACAGCCACATGTCATCGTGTGCATCGGCACTTTCTTGTCCTGATTCGCCGACGCGGCTTAGTCACGGCTTTCAGTTTCAGGCAAGATCACAACACGGCTCATGGAGTCAACACTTGTGTAATCTCTATTCTGAAATAAAGCACCATCACATTCACAATGTTGTATTTTTGCGTATTGGATATTTTTCTCAGATAATTGAGAGGGGGTGTTGAATATTGCTACCAAGAGGAGAGTTATTATACTAAGAAAGTCATTATTCATGTGCCAGCATCAATCATAAACAGCGCCTGGCTGTAGCCCTATAGCGGGCACGAAAACCCTCGAGGTGCTGCGGGGTCAATTCAATACATCTCTACAGTCCTTCGCGACGTGTAGTTGCACCAGTCACACTAGGTTGCGTTAGCTTGTAGAGAGCCTAGTGCCGTCCAACGTACCATGGTGTCAGAAGAGGCATCGTTATCCTCACGGCAATACTCATTCTTGCATTTCTTGCATGTCCGGATAAAAAGCTCCTTGCAGCTTATGCACTACTCCCTGTTAGCGTGGCTTGAATGAAGACGCAAAGATGCATACCGTATGGCCACAGCCGAAACAGTCACGTCTTACACCGATAATCTGTAATTCCTCACGTCAGCCTGTTTCCTGCTTCGAAATTCAGCACATACCTTGGCGCGCAAGCGGCAATTTCCAGGTGCAATTATCCAATAACCAGGCTCCACGGCTAGTCTAGAGAAGACTAGTTTCCGGAATCCAGCTACTTCATAATGGCCTCCAGGTAATATAGCTTCTCGCGCGCCAAGGTAGATTTTCATCACCACATTCCATTGCTGCCAGCGCCAGCCATCATCTCTGAAGGCAGGCACTCTTCCACACAGAGGTCCATAAGTACCTTGGTCTTTTGCTTTGGGAGCATGCAACTGGTCCCGTCGGGCTGAATGGTCTCTACAATATCCGTCTGCTGCAGTTCGGTTCTTTGGACGGTACTTGGAACCACGTAACAATCCTCATCCCACCACTTGTGGCACCTCTCGCACCATCGGCCTCGGAGGCAATCTTCGCATCGCACTATGAGAGGCGGAGGAGCAGAGCCGTCAAGGGTGTGCGGCATCTGGGCAGCACGGACCGAGCTCCCATGGAGCGGAACAGGGCTGAGCAATGGATGGTGAGATGGGCTAGAGTAGCCAAACACGGCTGGTCCTTCGGAAGAAGAATGGCACGTCTCGCAACCAGATGGGCCCAATGCGATCGTGGCAACCGACGGGCGGAGGAAGGATGCAGGATGGTGTGCTGGTGCGACGGCAGGGTCCCTGATGTACGCTTTGCTTGGGTCGTGTCGTGGGCCTCTGCAAAGCACAGCATCAAAGGCAATGATGCCCTCGCATGCCTGGAGCACTTCTGCCCATTCTGGAGAGGGCCGCTTCTGGATCATCTTTCCAGAGGACTGGTACCACTTGTCTGCTGTGCGCGACAGAGCAGCGTCCAGTGCGTGCTGAGACTTTTCGTTCCATTGTGCGCCAATCTGCGCTCCCCTGGAAGACATGACGCCTCTGGAGACGGGCGATGGGAGTCTTTTCCTCGGAGGCGAGGCGGGGCGCGGTGGGGGGTCGCGAGGCCCAAAGAGGTAGATGCCCTTGACGCGCGGGGTGCCGGCGGGTCTGGACGGACGAACCGCATACCGCAGGTATTGCTGGAGCTTTCGCTCGTTCAAGTGCTTTGTTTCGCGAATGGAAAGCAGGCGCACGTTGAAGCTCTCTTCGGTGAGCAGCTCTTTGACGAGCTCTGCTGTTACGCTGAGCCCGTCCAGCACGAGGGTGTGGACGTTTTGGAGGACATGGAGCTTGTCGAGCCTGTTGAAGATGTGGCGTAGGGGGCCGCTGTAGAAGTCGTCTTCGGTAAGCGCCTCGTCCATGCGCTCAGCGCGGAAGTTGATGCCGCCTACATCGAGGGGGCCGTCAAAGGGCACAATGGCGGACTTCACCGGGGAGAGATCCAGGTAGCGAAAGGCCTCGGGCGACTGGATGACGACATGGTGGAGGGCCTTGCAGGTGCGGGACAGGTTACGAAGAGCAGACACGGGGAGGTAGGGGGCGGTTTGGCGCAGGATGAGCGTGTTGGAGAGTAGGTCGGCCAGGGATGTAGGAAGGGTGTCACAGTAGGTGGCAGGGCCCATGGCAGGCGCTCAGGGGGGAGAGGCAGAGAGAAGCAAGCTGGCCAGCTGGTCAGAGGGGTACTCACCGAATCTTTATCACGGCGAGGCGAGGGCGCCCAGGCGGGACACGTGCCCGTGATGCGATGGTGCAGATGTGCGTGTGCTGGGGGAGTGGGTGAGGCAAAAGCAAGGGCTGGCAGACGTTGGGAGGGTGCGGAGTTTGGGGATGCGCCGGCGCGTGGGATGATGGGATAGGCGGCCCCTGCGGCGATCGCAGCGACAAGACCCTGCCAAGCGGGGTAGAGAGGCATCGTCGCGGCTTGCTGCAAGGCCAGCCGGCCATGAAGCGTGCGTTGGAACGCACATTGCAGCCAAGCCCGCACACAAAGGCTTGCCTGTTTGGCTGCGGGAACAAGGCCTCGCCGCCGCCCCAAGCCCCGACCAAGCCCGCCCAAGCCCCCGCGACGTGACCGGCGGGCGATGCGACGCAGCCGGACAGGCTATCTGCCCCGCCTTGACCGGTTACCACAATGAATCGCCATATCGAAGCCGCCAGCCCATGCACTCGAAACACTGCCAATCCCCACACGGGCCTTTTGCCTGTGTCCGCCCCCTGCCTGGTCCTGCGTTTGTGCTCTCGCGTAGCGCTCGGCATCGAAGGTGTATGGGTTGAAAGGGTCGAAGGCGGTGGCATGCGGCCGGTTCGCATCGACATGGACTATGGGGGCTGCGGCGAGCAGCTGTTCCAGGGCCGAGGGAGGCAAGAGGACCTTATCGCCGGGCAGCGTGTTTCGCGTTGCATTGGCGAGTGTGTACTGGGCAGACCACTTGAGTTCGGGCGCGGGCTCTGTTTCCGGGTCCATGGTGGAGGGAGGAGTGCAAGGGGGGGAGGAGGAGGGAAAGGGAAGCGGTAGAGACCGTGGGCGCGACTACATGGAGCAGAATGGAGGCGGCTGACATATGCGGCTCTGCTCGAAGCTTCCACTTGGGTGCAGGTGAAGGGTGTGGCGTCATAGCTTACCTACGCAGGGAGCTGCGCCACAGCGGCGGTGCTTATCGATAAGGCACCGTACCCGCACCGTACCCGCGTGGGCGACGCGTCCAGTCGACGCCCACGCCCACGCCCACGCCCACGCCCACGCCCACGCCCACGCACACGCACACGCACACGTCGACATGGCTGTGCATATGTCACCGGCGCCAGCGGGATTCCAGCAGCTGCCCCACCCTCTGACCTTTCGTCTGGTGAATCCACAAAATGGGAGGGCTGTACATGCAGGAATCCGCGAGTTCTCGGCCGAAGAGGGCGAGATTGTTCTGAGCAGCTTTTTGAACGAGGCATTGGGCATTGAGGAGCGGTCTGCAGAGCCCTCGCGGAACTCCAGTCCGAATGGCCACACAGACGGAGACCATACCATGGAGAATGGCAGCAGCAGTGACGCCCCAAAAATCACAGTACACGCCAAGCAGCTACCCAAAGGCACCTTTGTCAAGCTGCGGCCGCTGGAAGCCGGCTATGATCCCGAAGACTGGAAGTCGATGCTCGAGGAACACTTGCGCTCAAACTTCACAACGCTGACAAACGGCGAGGTCCTGGTCGTGTACGGCGGTCGAGGGTTGGGCGGCAAGCGCGAGGAGTTTCGCTTTTTGGTCGACGGCTTCAAGCCCGAGGGAGACGGAATATGCGTTGTAGACACAGACCTCGAGGTTGACATTGAGCCTCTGAACGAAGAGCAGGCTCGCGAAACGTTGAAGAGAATAGTGGCCAAGAGACACCGCGCGCCCGGCACAGAACAAGGCAGTTCAACCGGCGGTACAATCGACATATTCAATGCGCAGTCCGGACAAGTACTTGAGGGCGAGTACGTCGACTTTGAGTTGCCGTCATGGGACCGATCTCAGGGGCTGGAAATCCTGTTGGATGAGGTAGACGCCGAGGACGACATTGATCTCTTCGTCAGCCCGTACTCTTCTCGCCAAAGAGTTCGCCCGCGGGAAGACGAGCACGTTTTTGCCAATCTCTCCAGTAGTTACCCAAAACGCATACGCCTACAGCCTACCAACGTCGAACTCGATGAAGCAGAAGCAGTATGGATCTCAGTACACGCATATCCGGCGGAATCGCCATCCAGCACGCCCAAGCCTTTCCGCTTAAAAGTTTCGATATTCGACCCAAAGACGGAGGTAGATAAGAAAGCCAAAGAAACCCCAGATGATTCACATACAGTCGGCGAAGACGAAGTGGTCTGCAAAAACTGCAAGCAGATAGTGCCCAAGGGATCTCTCTTCCTCCACGAGAATTTCTGCCTCCGGAACAACATACTCTGCCCCCAAGGCTGCGGCCAAGTCTTCCAGAAGCGCTCTCAAGATTATCAGAATCACTGGCACTGTCCTCACGACACGTTTACCGGCAACACGCCTCTCAGCCGCCAGAAGCACGACGCCTACTACCACACTGCACAAACATGCTCCTCATGCGGCCTCGAGTTTCCCTCTATCCCCACGCTCGCCCAGCACAAAACCACAATCTGCCCCGGCAAACTCATCCTCTGCCGCTTCTGCCACCTGCAAGTCGCGCAAGAAGGCGACCCCAACGACCAGTCCGCCGAACTCCTCCTCTCGGGCCTCACCCCCCACGAACTTGCCGACGGCGGCCGCACAACCGAATGCCATTTGTGCAACAAAATCGTGCGCTTCCGCGACATGGCCACACACCTACGGCACCACGACCTGGAGCGGCTTTCCCGCGCGGCCCCGCGCCTCTGCCGCAATTACCCGCACCACCATGACTATCTACATTTGGGAGGTGGGGGATTGGGAGATTGCTGGGGAAACAGAGGGGGGGGGGCAACTATGTGGGCTTGTCTTCTGTTTTTTTTTTCGGTGTGTGTGTATGTGTGTATGTATGTGAAGCTGTGTTTCTTCAGAGTTGCGCTTGGGGTTCTACTCTGCTGTATGAAATGCGAAAGGGAGGAAGGGAGAAAGGGATAAAGGAATGGGGGGGAGGGCTCCGATAGACATGCATGATATCAATCCAACTTGTGAAATTCGCTCTGGCCTAGTTGTTGTTGTTGTTGTTGTTGTTTTTCTTCTTCTTCTTCTTCTTCTTCTTCTCGAGACAGAATTTGATGTTCTAGGGTCTATCAGGAACGTTTGTTGGTTATATAGGGATATTCTCATGGGAATATACAAGGGTATGGGGGTATCTTTATCTCTCTCTCACACACACACTCTCTCTCTCCAATCCAATCCAATCCAAGCCAACATGCTACATACAACTAACAACCATCTCTACACACATATACACTAAACAGACAGATACAAATCCAAAAAACAGCCGCCCCCCTCCCTATCTCTCTCTCTCTCTCTCTCTCTCTCTCACTGCCCCGCCTCAGCCCTCTGCGGCGCCCACGCCTTAAGCCACGCTCGGGCGCGATCCAAATCCGCGGCTTCAGCCTCGAGCGCCGCAACACACCACTCAAGCGCATACCCACCTTTACCCTCTATGCCCGATTCCGCCGCCAGCAATTCCGCCAGGACCCTTGCTTTGTGGGCTCTCTCGTCGACGCAGAAGTGCAGGGGGGTATCGTACCCTTTTCCATCTACACCCTGGAGGAAGGGTTTAACCATTGGAATGGCATCTTTGGTTGCAACGGGGGTGTCGGGGTGACCCTTATTTTTGCGTGCGGAGCGACAGTAGGGGTTTGCGCACCAGGGTTTCGCGCAGCCGGTCAGGAGCTGGCTGAGGTAGCGGCGCTCGATGCGGCGGCGGAGCGCTTTGGCGTCCGGGTCGTGTAGAGAGACGTAGAGGGGGCCGAAGCATACGCTGCAGAGGCCGATGTCGTTGCCGGGGCTCTGGCCCTTGCGGGTTCCCGCGCGCGTGTCGCCGGATTTGCTGGCGCCGTCTTGCGTGCGGCCGCAGTTGATGTCGCAACCAACAATACAAAAAAAAAAGAAATTCGCAAGATCATGTGTGTGTGTTGAATGTTCTGCTTTGGCTGCCCGTCGCCCAGTCTCTTGGTGCACCACGACATATGTTCTCTTCTTTCGGGTCCTTCGTTCATTCATTTCCACATGCATTCCGTCTGGCCTTTATGCCCGGGTATATATGTATATCTTTGTTTTTCGACGGAAAAAGCAGTATTTTCACGAGGCTGCCCGCGTTTGTCTACGACTTTGACTCTGCCTCCTTGGAATGGCGGTCGTGCTCATCGATGTCGCTGTCATGTCCAGATTAGCCCATGTACATTACCGTCAAAACCTGTAATAACATTAAGGAAAAAAAAACATACGTAGCCTCCCAAGGGTAGTTGATCCAGACATCGCCAACAGTCCTTGCGGCAATATATCTGCCCTTGAGAATGTCCTGGGGCAGCTGGCCCTTCTTAGCCTTGTCCTTGTTGTGCAGGACAAAGATGGAGAAGTTTGTCTTTTCGCCCTGGCGACCGAGCTTCTCGACGGCGGCTTCGACGTCTTTTTCCAGCTCGCGGACGGCGTACTCGAGCGTTGTGCGCGTGTCGTCTACCTCGTCGACAATGAGCACGTTCTTGCCAATCAGGTTGGCCATTTCGAGCGACGACAGGTCGAGCCACTGTGTGCGCGTGACTTTTGTGCCGGGCGTCTCCACGTCGGCGTCGGGGCCCGAGCCGAGCTGCTCGTACAGCGAGAGCCCGATGGCTTGGATGGGGATGTTGGGGCTGCCGGGCTTCTTGAGGAACGATCTGGTGTGCGTGTATTAGACGTATGCGTTGTCGCAAGTTTGGTACGAGCGCATACCGGAGAATGCGCGCGGGCACGTAACCTCCACCGCCAATGGCAATCATGAGGTTGGGCTGGAAGTCATTGAGGATCTGCTCTGCTGCCTCCTGGCAGAGCTTGTGGACCTGTGCGACTTCATGTCAGTGTTGTGCTGGAGGCTGGCGCGCAAAAGAGGCTTGCGCTAAGTACTTAGGCGTCAATGAGTCAAGAAACAGAGTACATGCGAATCTGCCTCTGACAACCCAAACCACACATGTGGTACATTAAAAGGGTCGCATAAGCGTAGGCACAATGCGGGGGTGCATACTCGCACATGCGACAGTTACTACATACCTGGTTGTATGTGACGTAGATTTTCTCAACCATTGTTGCAGATTGTGGCGGTTTGGGCTTTGTTTGGGAGGCTGGATTTGGAAGCGAACGGAGAAAAGGGTGGGCAAGGCTATGGAAACTATGCTTGAGAGAAGAAGAGAAAGGAAAAAAAAAGTCAGTAGCCGCGGCAGGGTACAAGTGGTTGCCTACTTGGGCAGGCCTGGCTAGAGCGGCGAAGGCCGAAAATCCATGGTGGGGTTGGCCGTGCCATGTGCCCCGCGGTGGGTGATGAGCCAATCAAGTGCGTGTACGGCCGTCCGCTTGGTAGTCATTCACAAGCATCAAGAGCATGCGTATCGAGCAAACACTTGGAATTTGTCGTCTATTACGTGGCAATCGAGTAGAGCCGGATATGGAAAAACCAACAAGTTTCACCCGCCTTCTTCTTGGATACCAAGCAAACTGTCCAGCCTTTGGGAATGCGCAAAGGCCTGGTTTGGCTTCGTTTTTAGCTTACTTCGCGGTTGGGCAATTCTTCTCTCGGAGTTCGCCGAGAGCAAGGTTATTAAGGTACCCGAGACCAAAAAACTCGCCGCCCCTTGGCCGATTGCGATTCTCTTGGAAGGTTAGCAGATAGACTGCATAATGTGCAACTCTTATGACATAGTGCTCGTTTAGCTGTATAGGCTCATGCAACGGAGGTTTCTCGAAGACGATTTCCCTAGGTTCGCAAACGTATGGAACATAGGCTTCTGCGTCACGAGTACCCATGTAGGCAATCATGTCTCCTTTGGCGTCTCCTGTGTCGGATCGGAATCCGTAGCAAGTGTCTTTCCACCATGCTGTTGAGTCAGTGAGACCATCTAGAGGCACGCGAGTGCGAAGTTTGGACAGCTCGCATACGCTCAAGTCGAGAGTCTTTTGATCAAACTGAAGCAAAAAATACTCGGCCTCGAGAACATGGTCTCCGCGTCGCTTCATTAGCACATGGGTCGTGAAGACGGAGCCCAAATCGTCTCGTGGGACAAAGCGTCTAGAGCTCGGCCACTGTGGGATTTGGTCGATGTCGGGGAGGCTTGGGCGAAAGATGCTGATACGCTCCCCTTGATATGTGTATTTGGCGACTACCAGCTGGCTCTGCTGCGGCATGTCATCTCTAGGAATGTCGATGACAAACATTAGGATGACTGTTTCCGAATCAGGTTGTACAAAAGGGCACATGCGCCGCATTCTGCTAGACGTTGGTCAGCACGCAAGACAGCTGTGAGCGTTACTTTCTAATGTTGTTCTACATTGTGGCTCAGCAAGTAGCAGAGCTCACTCACTCTGGGCAATATCCATGGAAAAGCGGGTCAGACTCATGCTTGATGTCAAACGATCTTCCCCGCTGCGTGTCGAAGTCCCAGATGAAGACGGTTGTGTGTTTTGGGAAGGATCCCACGCATGCAACAGTCCTTCCGCGGCAAACCACATCGGTCATGATTGTTCTGGATGGCACGGTGAAGGTCTTGGGCTTGCTGGTGGTGCGGAGGTCGACGACGTAAGCCCTCAGGGCAAAGGTTGTGAGAAGTGCAATGTGGTCCGAGGCAAAGACGTCGCAAAACTGTTCACGTGCGTCTCCGGCTATGCTGCGGAGCTTCCAGGCGTGCAAATCGAGTATATGGGCACAGCTTCCGGTTGCCGAGTTTTGTGTCCAGATGAAATGGTGGCCAGCCAGTGTGGGTTTGCGGCAGGGCTTGTCCAATAGTATCTCGCAGACAGCTTCTGGTTGGCCGGTGCGGAAGGCATGGATGCGGCGGGCAGTCTTTTCGCAGAATGCATCATGGGCGTGGTGGAGGCTGAGCGTGCCCTGGTACCAGGCATGGAGGCTGGCCTTGGTCACGTGCGGGCTGCGGAGACGATGGGACCATGGCCTGGAGACGGCTTGCAGGCGATAGGGGGCGGCTGGGTCCAGGTAGGTGAAGATGGTGGCGACCAGCTCGAGGGGCAGACGGCCAACGATGTCGGCGTGGAAGGAGCGGCGGCTGGTGATGGCATGGAGGGCTCTCCACTCGTAGGGCGTCAGCTCTGCGGGGAGAAGGGCCAGGACGTGTTTCCTCTGGTGGGGGAGCAGGCGCCTGAAGGCTCCGAGCACGTCGTTGTCGTCGTCCATGGCTCGGGGCTTGGAGGGCGCGGGAAGGCTGGTCGAAGGGAGCTGACTCGATGACAGCCAGCGACTCGTCGAGCGACTGACGTGCGGTGTGGCAGGGCGACAGGGCGTCTGTGCGCATACTCGGGGTTATCCATGTGGCGAGTCACGACAGAAAACAGCCGTGGAACAGGCGTGTCGACGGCGGAGTAGGTTTGGCGACGGCCGCCTGTGGGTGTGGGTGTGTGTGTGTGCGTGTGTGGAGTCGAGCATGGTTTCGGCCGTGGTGGTTCACAGCAGCAGCAGCAGCTATAGCGGCCGGCACACTATACATACCGCGACCCCGCACCAGAAACGGTTCGCGTTGTAGTCATATTCCAGGCAGGCTGCGATAGTCCAGGCGCGTTTCAGTTGCTCGTCGGGCGGTGCCAGTGCGCTGCCGCCGGGGCCTGAGCAGTGTATCAGTGGTGGAGCGGCGTGGTGGTGGGTGCGCGTGGAGCCAGAGCAGAGGCCTTGGGATCCCCCATGGTTCGACGGCACCGCTCCCGTTCCGCGCCCTCCGCCCGTGCAGACTGAGTGTGCTGTAGTCGGCCGGCTCGCCGCGTGCTGGGAGTCGGCGGCGGCGAGGGGGGGCGTCGTGGTGGTGGTGGTGGTGAAGGGCGCCAAGCAGGCCTTCGTGCCCGCTCAGCTCGGCCCAGCCCAGCGAGCCCATGGATGGGGGGTGGATGGGTGGATGGATGGATGAGCCTCTCTCTCCCTCTCTTCCGCTCTCTCGCCCTCTCTCTCCTGTCGCCCTCTCGGGTGTGTCGCTCCCGCTTCTCGCTCTGCCTCGCTCGCGCTGCATGGGCTGGCGTGGATCCCATCCCGCCGCCGTCAGCACCCAAAAAAAACAAGGGAGCCACAGCCGTCGAGCTACGGCCAGAGAGAGAAACGCTCGGGCCCCTCCCGGCCTCTCCATCGTCTCCTATTCCATCCGCATCCCAATCCCCAATCCCAGAGCTGCGGCCACTCCCGATCGACACAGGAGCCGCCGTCTGCTACGCCCTCTCGTCGTAGCGGTATCCCGACCTTTCTGGAACCCATCTTGGCCGCTCCCACTCGCTCGCTCGCGCGCTAGACGAGGAGCACCTGTTCCTGTTCCCCAGTGCCAGGCTCACTCGCACTCGCATGCACATGGTCTCCCACTGCCACTCCTTGTCGCAACTGCATCCCGGGTCCCTGCATCCACTCGAGCTCGTGCGCTGTGCGAAACACCGCTGAGCACTCGTACGCCTGCGACTGTCGCCCTCCTGTCTGGTCCCGTCTGGTCCTGTCTGGTCCTGTCTGGCTCCGGCATCTGCTGCACCGCCCTCACCAACCCCCAAGCCCCCTCCCCCCCGTCCATTGCTGCTCCTGGATCGCCCCCTCTCCCACAGGCCCCCCAAAAAAGGTCGCTCTTGTGCTCGGGCGGACCAGCGCCTCAGCACTGCGCCCGCTCTCTGCTGATCGCCTCCCATCCGCGCCATGGCTTCTGTTGCAGAGGCCCGCCGAAGTCCTTTCTCCACCGATCCTCACAATCCCAACCTTCACAAGTCCATACCCATCCTGCCCTCGTCCGGCTCGACTCTGGCGCCCCCTCGCGACCCCATGGACATTACGCCCACGACGACGACGCCCACGACCACCACGACCACGTCAATGGGCCCGCCCGCCATCAACTGCCCGCCCACGACCGACCGCAACGGGACCGGCCCCTTCCACGCCCAGGCGCAAGCGCAATCGCAGTCGCAAAGAGAAGGAAACACCGACTCGGGCAACACGTCGCCCAATGGGAACTCCGCGCCCGCCGTCGGCGCTGCTGCCGCTGCTCAGCAGCCAAAGGTCGTGCAGACGGCCTTCATCCACAAGCTGTACAAGTGCGTGTGCCCCACGAAGCTACATGATGCAAAAACATGCATGCTCTACCCCCGTCACCACGACGACGACGACGACTACTAACACGCCCTCGCAGCATGCTCGAAGACCAGAGCATCCAGCACCTCATCTCGTGGGCGAGCACCAACGAGAGCTTCGTCATGTCGCCCTCGAGCGAGTTCTCCAAAGTCCTGTCGTAGGTACCTCTCTGGAGCTATGGCCTTTTTTATATTAATCCATCTAACCCGCACATGCTAGCTCTTATTTCAAACACACCAACATTTCCTCGTTTGTCCGCCAATTAAACATGTATGGGTTCCACAAAGGTCGGTATCTGGCTAGTTTTGTCGCGTGCTACCCCCCGGCCATGACGTACTGACGCCGGCACCGCAGTGAGCGACGTCTTCCACACGGGCTCCCCAGACACGCCCTTGTGGGAGTTTAAGCACGGCAATGGCAACTTCAAGCGTGGCGACTTGGTCGGCCTGCGCGAGATCAAGCGACGTGCTTCGCGGCATGCGCTCATCCATCGCGACTCCTTCTCCGCACCCAAGCTCCCCACCGGCCCGCCAGCTGGCCAGCCCGTCGAGCCAATGCCCGACCCCACCGAGTCACGCCTCCAGAACCTCGAGCACAGTCTCTACGACATGCACACGCGAATGCAGCGGACAGAGGAAACGTGCTCGTATCTCAATCAAAAAAGCTTGGTGCTGGCAGAGGGCATGATGCGATGTCACCAGGTAAACAAAAGGACATGTGTCTAGACCACATCTACAACAGCTAACGTCTCCGATTAGTGGAACCACGACCTAGCAAATTACATCATGGCCATGGTGCCTGATCCCGAAAACCCTATCCACCGAGATGGTATGCATCTGCTGCCGCATGTGAAAATTGGCGCGACACTGACACTGACACTGCTAGTCGCCATGATGCAACGTGAAATCAGTCGCCAGACCGATATGCTCCGGGCGCTCGAAGCACCAGAGGAGCCCCTCTCTGCACGGCAACCTTACTTTATGCAAGTCGACAGCAACAACGGGCCACCTTTGTCACCTCGGCAAATGCCACAGGACAATGTAACAGAATCAAGGCGAGGGTCCTTGGCGGGTATCTCGCGGCAAGCGCCATACAAGCCCCCTGTTCCGGCGCACCTAGCCATTTCTCCGCGAAGATACGGCTCAATAGGCACCGGCAATTACTCACCATCTTCATCTAGAACCCCAGCGTCGCACCAGCCACCCCCACCTCCGCCCCCTCCGCCAGCGCCGGCGCCGGCACCTCCTACGGTCCAGCAACCGGGAACGGGAGCTACATTGGGAAGCAATCTCGCTGCAAACAGCTCTTCCCCGCCCTATAACCTGTATAGGCGACACACATCGGCAGATATTCGCACCCATGGCTGGCAACCACATCCGCCGCCCAATGCCCCTCTCCACTCTCCTTATGCATCTGGCCACAACTCGACACAGTGGCCTTCTTCACCCCACCGCCCACCGGTTGGCGGCGGAGACCAACAGCTTCGTGATGCTCTGGAATCTTATCAACTACCTCGCGGTCCCCGGCAGGTGCCATCAAGACATGGTACTCCGCCGGGGTCAAACGATGCCGCGCCATCCACACTAAGCGCTGATAGCGGTTGGACCTTGCCCGGTGCCCGATATCCTTTCAAGGGCATCGATACGCCAGGGCCCCCTACAAGACGCTCCAGTATGGCGTCCAATGTGCACTCTCTACTCAACCCCGCCGAAACCGCAGAACGCGACGACGAAGATGATCCAGATGATGCACGCAAGCGAAAGCGTCTGCAGTAAATTCTTATGCCTTTTGCATCCCCAATGACCGCTACGTGCCTTTTTTTTTTCTTCTGTTACTCTTGTGTATACTTTGGATTTTGGCGCCCAGCGTGCACTCTTTTTGTTGAATAATCTTGTCTTAACAATTTCCTTCGCTATCTATAGTCGCATTACCGCGCACTCTCTTTGCTATATCCGGCTTTCGTATTGTCCAAGTTTCTTTCTTCAGTCAAAGTCATCATGTATGGAAAAAGCACAGAGGGCCAACCATATGCAGGCATTGCACTCGCATTCTGAGGGGATGTGAAAGACGTTTATCATTATTCTCATCGTCATATCATTTGCTCATTGGTACATGTGGAGTCCCGCGTTACGACATGGTTCAGTCTGTCTCGGTCTTTTCAGTCATTTTCTTTTTTTTCCAGTCTTTGTTCATACACGGCGCTTGGGAAAGGGGGGGGTTTTTCACCGGTATGCTTCTTTGTTCGGAATGGTCCAATGTTACAAGAGAAAGAAGAAACTCTTTTGGTCCTTGTTTACACAGACTCCACAATATACTCGGCACGACTCGGCTTATATAAACAGTATGTGTGTGTGTGTGCGATATAAAAAAAATAAGATTGAATTCTCAACCCAAAAAAAAGTTTCCGTCTCGTACTAGCTTGATAGTACGGAAACAGGGAGCCTCTTTTTTTTCAACGCTACCACGACCGGCAGTGATGCAGCGTCGAAACGATGCTAGCTCGCTATATGTACGTATGTAGGTAAAGCGACCGTTAGGGAGAAGTTATGAACAAAGAAGAAGAAGAAGAAAAAAAACGAAGGATGTAAAAAGGGAAAGAAAAGGAAACAGACCCGCATATCCCCCCCTATCCCAGCCGTGTATGTCGCCCATATATGTTTGTATATCCCCCTTCTTCTCTTCGCACCAAACTCTTTCTGTAAACCAATCAATCAATCAATCAATCAGCCAGTCAGTCAGTCAGTCATATCATTCATATCAGTCATATCCACACGCACGCTCGCATGCTAAAACCCATAGCTCAACCAGCCAATCGTGGTAGGATACACACTCAAATTATCCTTCCACAGCGCCTTGTCCTGGCCCGCAGCCGTAACCATGTACTCGACGCCGACCTCGCTGAAGCCATATGCCTGGACGGAGCTGGAGCCCTCGATACTAAAGATGCGCGTCTGGCAGTTGCGGAAGCCGTTTGCCGCGGTAGGCGACGAGCAGTCGACCGAGTAGTTTTTGAAAAACGAGTACAGCCCGCCACCGTAGATCATGACGTTCTTGGCATTCAGCAGGCGCATGCCCCAGGCCGATGCACCCGTGGATGCGTACGTGGGGTCGCTGTACTTGGACGACGAGACGTAGGGCGCGGGGGCTGAGGGCGTGGGCTGGAAATACGGGGTTTCGGTTTGGATGTAGCCGGCGAAAATGTTGTTGGCGTTGTTGAATTGGTACTGGTACATGGTGTGGTGCTCGACGCCGCTGGCCCACAGCCACGCCGTGTCGGCTTCGATGTGCAGGCCGCGGCCGACGTAGATGTTTACGCGGGTCGAATCCGCGTCGTCGAGATCGTGGTCGGCCGTCCAGAACCAGTTGTTCTCAAAGTAGGCGCCGTTGGCGCCCTTGGTAATGTGCACGTCGGTGTGCGCGGCCATGCATTCTGGTTTGACCTGTCCGAGGATAGCGGGACACTGGGCGATTTGCAGGTTTGTTCCCTTTGCGCCGCCGATGCGCGTGTGCACGTCCCAGAGACCGGAGCCGCGCGCCGTGTTGAGGTTGTACTGGATGACGATTGCGCCCGGGGTCGAGCCTTGTGTTTGCACAATCATGTCGGACCACTCGATGCTGCCGGACTCGCCGGACTTGCCAATCTGCATAATGGGAACCGGGTTGTTCTGGTCGCCAAAGGTGGAGCCCGAGCCCATGATGACGGAGAAGGTCTCGCCGACCATGCGCGAGCCGCCGGGCACGTAGATGGTGTTTGTGACTTTGTACACGCCGAATTCAAAGTACAGCACCTTGTTCTGCGCTGCGGCTTGCTTGATGGCCGCGTTGATGGCCGCAGTGTCGTCAGTCACGCCGTTTCCTGTGGCACCGGCACCGCGGGCGGAGATGAAGTCACTGGTGCTGAGCGTCTCGTACTGGGGCTTCGACTTGCTGTAGTACTTGCCATTGTCCAAGAGACTGCTGGGGCGAGTCGCGGCGGAGATGGGGCCTTGGAACTTGGATGGGCCGGCGAGATTGGGAGCGTACTTGTTGCCCTGGCCCCAGGCCTGGATGGTAAGCGATCCGCCAGCGAGGACCGTGTTGCCGTTGCTCACGACAGCGCTGGGCACGTTGCTCAGCTTGATGTTCTCGAGGACGAGCTGGCCGGCGCCCGTGGGCTGGCTGCCCGTGGTCCACGCCGAGTCGACAAACTTCTGGCAGTTTGAAATCTCAGAGTCGATGATGACGGCAGAGCCCACCTCGAGCTTGCCGGCCGAACCGCCATTGCCCATGGAAAATGCCGTGCCGCAGTTGCTGATCTGGAGCCCAGAGTACAACCAGCCCCAGTCCCAGATTTGCGAGATACCCACGACGGCGTTGGTGATCTTGATGTTGCGCATGGTGAATTGCTGGTTGCCAACGTTCATGCCGTACAGACCACCCGAAATGTCCAGGTCCGCCATGTGGCCACCCGAGCCATTCTCGACAAAGATGCCAGCATGCACAGAGTTGGATGCCTGCGTCATGCGGATCTTGACGTTTTGGATCGTGGTAGCCTGCGAGGCGGGCCAGTGAATACCCTGGAAGCCCTGGGTGGGTGGAACAGCAGTGCCATCAATGATCAAGTTGCGGATCTGGCGCATAAACAGGTTGGTCGAGATCCAGCCAGGCTCGCCGTTCTGGTTGCTGTATGGGTTTCCGTCAATCATGGCAAGGGCCTGAAGCGACGACGCAGCCTTCAGCGTAGGAAGATTGCGAGGGTTACCGATGAGCTGTGACATGTAGTAGAAGATGATGGGCTTGCCAATCAGGTACGTTCCAGACGGAACGTAGATGACGGCTGGCGAATCAGTCGAAGAGTCGCACACAAAGGGGCCGCAGCGGTTGCCATCAGACATGGCGCGGTTGAAAGCATCGGAATCATCAGTGACACCGTCACCTGCAGACTGGTCAGTAACGCACTGAATATCAGCACACAATTGACGTACCCTTGGCTCCATAGTCCTTTACGTTGCGGAAGACCTTGTAGTTTGGGTTGCTGTTGAAAGGCGAGATTCCCTTGCCAGACAAATCGTTCATCCAGTAGCCATCCGGGAAAGAAACGGCAGCACCAGCTTGCGAAGTAGAATTCGAGACAATAGGTTTGGCTAAATCGTGTTAACAATCTGAGCTGGGACAGAGAATCAAACATGAGCATACGTAAAGCCATGGCTTGGACGCCAATGGCGCCCAGGCAGGCGAGCAAAGAAGACCAACGCATGCTTATCAGACGTGTACCGGGAGAGGACCAGAGAAGCAGCAAAGAGGAAAGCAAGTGAGGCGTCTCACAAAGGACTGTCGAGCGTAGTAAAGAAAAGAAGGTAGATGCTGCCTCGTATTTAAACACATTCTTCTTCTACCACACCAGCCTTGGCAGTACGTGATGTAAAAAGCAAGACGCAATTTGCTAGCCCGGGCGAGGATGTGCCAACCCCTGTAGTTCCTTACAAGCAGGCAAGACCTGGTGAGGATCCCTCGCCCGCTGCCGCCCCAGGGTCACACGCCCTGATGGATTATCCTCATGGTGTGAGACTACAGACGCAGTCGAATGGCTGGCTCCACTGCTTGCCTGTGGATATCTGGAGCCGCCTGGGCAGACTATGCATAATCCGGGGAAAGGCGTGGACGTCAGACCTGTGGCCGCCAGTAGAAGCCCCGAGGACGACGATCTTGAAGCGTCACGGCAGTGTGACTTTGTCCTGGCATTTTTTTCATGTCCAACGTGATGACCCGTGGCCGACTAACATGCGGCGTAGGCCGCATAGCGCAGCACTTCCGAAACATCAAGCTTCCAAGACGCCAGTGGAGACCGGGGGGAAGAGCATCCGCAGGCAGGGCGAGTATGGTGAATAGAGGGCCAGGAGTGATGGCTAGCACTGTGGTCACCGGGTCGGCCCTACGCGTATTATTTCCGCCCAGCGCGGGCCAGTCAAGAGGCAGGGCGGGCCAAACCATGTGACTTTGCCGTGGGCGTTCAGAAACATGGCCAGAAGCCGGTGCTATTGGTCCCGCGGCCAGGAGGATCCACGCCCCCCTAGTTCACCGTTCATCTCGGCGGCGAGGCCAAAATGTGGAGTAGGACGTCTTGGTGCGAGCAAGCATGCGTCGCACTGCAGTAAGCCGCCCTATAGTCTGTGTCTGCCGTATAAGTAGCAACGCGCGTGGTCAACTTAGCCTACCGAGTTTCTTGTACACCTCCCCACACCACAGCAAAGACCGTTTGAACTAGAACAAACGTAGTGTGTCGTGTGAGACTGTCGCAAGACACGAGTCGTGTAGAGCTCCGCAAGACTACATTTCTTGCACCTGCCTTCAGAGGCATGTCATCCGAGGACGACAGTTGAAGGGTGCTAAGCCCGGCTAACCCAGGCGCGTGGACTTTTGCTGCATATTGGGCAGCACTTTTCCATGAGCTGCCTCTTCCAGTCGTCGGCGTCCGGTCGTCGGTCCCTGCAAGCCTTGTCAAATTAGAGGCCTCGCCTACACCTTGAGTGTCTGTGAAATTAGAGACTGGGCCACCTGCTCTTCTGAGGCTCAGCGCTTCTCGAGCACTTGCATCGGAGATTGCGACACCGCAAGCGCTGCAACGGTTTCCCCAGACAGGTCGCAAGCGCCTCACCGACTTGCCTACCCCAGGTCCTGTAGAGCAAGGCCTAAGCTAAGGGTCATGCAAGCAGAGAGATCACAGGGCCAGTAGACTTAGATTAAGTGGACTTGCCCACGTCCAGTCAGGTGGTTGCAAGTCGACTCTTCGACTTCAGGTGATCTGTCAAGAGCCGTTAGAGGATTAAGTACCGAGTAGCTTCACACGGTACCAAAGTTTGCTTGTGGAGTACATGTCGCACGCCCACCCAGTGTTAGCATTTTCGACCGGTCAACGACTCGCACGCTTGATCTCGGCCAAATTCGCCAGTCGGCTTGGTTGCAGCCTGAAGGAAATGCCAGGCGAGATGATGCAGAATGTCTGCTCGTCCAGATGCTTCCAGTGACGTCCACGATGCTACCGGCTCAAGTGCTCGATATGGCGTCACGTCTGAAAATCTGTCAAAAGAGCGAGTGGCACCGTGCTACTGCGCACGAAGAGAAATCTATTGATACGTAACCTGTGTGCCACAATGCCACGTTGCCACGCGAGCTGCGCACCCACTTGCTTGTCGACCCAAGTTCGGACTTGTCTCAGATGGCAGAGAGACGAGGCAACCTGGGGTATATTCGAACGCACCTGGGAATGCAGCGACCCAAGAACCAGGTTGAATCCACTAGTAAAGCCATGTCAATACACGCCGCATTTTGCCTTCAGCGCGCATGACAGGATTCGAAGGTGTTTCATAACTTTGCCGTGACCCTTATAAACAGCACTTCAGCGCTTGTAAATACCGTGCCGTTTCCGTCTTCGAGGGTCGTCTGAATGTACATCTTTCGACCGTCTCCTTCTTGTCGCTCAATCTTTGCCGTAGACAGAATTACGGTAGATGTGGGTACCGGCTTCCGATAGGTTACGTTCAAATCTGCTGCTCGGTCAGCTCGTCGAACGGGGATTAGGTCCAGCCATGGCGAACGTACACGCAGTGAAGTAGTGCCACTCATCGAAAGGTTGACCGAGCCCCTCCAACTGCTCCATCCGTTTGGCCCTGTTCAGCATGGCAATGGCGCCACAAGTCTCATCTAGCAAGGCAGCCGCAATCCCACCGTGCGCAATATCGGTGTGGCTATTCAGCTTGTCCCCTAGATCCAGAATCACCCTGAGTTCTCGGTATGGAACAGGGCCCTCCACCGCTTTGACGGGTCGATATGCCAGCCAGCTCCGTATTGTGCGATCCGTCTTGATCGTCTCTGCGAAGAAGGAGTCCTCTCCCCAAGGTTTGGGGTCGCGCGCAGGCGTTGGGGCGAACGTCCAGTTGGGATCGTCGATCAGGGCGGCCGCCCAAGGCGTAGATAATATTTTCTCGGTAACGACATCCATTGTCAAGTATCTGGAGGGTTCGAAGTTTGATTGCGCCAGCGCAGCACAGCGGTATTGGGGGTTTCTGACGAAGACATGCTAGGGGTCGGGGTCGGGGTCGTGGGATGGTAAGAGAAGCCGAGGTGCGACGCACAGTCAAAGCTCACCATAGCAGAGTCAGCCGTTGGAAGAGCTCCGAGTCGTTCTCGGGAGCTTGCCAACCACCGCACATGTCAGCCATCGGACCGTCGGAACTCTGGGCAAAGCAAACAAAGACGAATGTGGAAATACCGCGGCAAAGAAACACAGGCCATTCCACGTGGGAGCACGCGTCAGAACTCCCCTGCGCTCGTATCGAGTGAGACGGGCGCCCTAGCCCTGGGCCGTCACGTGACTTGTTCTCTCCTATGCACCACGTCATATGCATGCACATGCGCTAAGCAACAGACGTCAAGCCATGCACGCTGCCACTACATCTCACTCACGATTGCATGTAGATTTCAGCAATGTATGAAAATACAAGCATTGTCCCGTTTATACTCCGATACTCTCTCCCAGCACATGCATACACATTCTCAAAGGCGGGAACTCGTCCTCGTATTAATACCCACGCTCTCTTCAAAAGAAACACCAGTTCTCCAGCCACAAAGCCAAGACACAACCACAGTAGGAAGAATTTCCGAGGCCAAAACCAACTTTAAAAAAACGACGAGGGGTTTCGTGAAGATAGTAGAAAAGAAAAAACAGATACAGATACGAACGCCTGCCCCCACCACCACCATCATTACTCCCGATAATTCCTCCTTCTCCTAAGCCTCCACAAACGCCACAAAGATAACCTCTGCAGCACCCGAAACACACAAACACGCACAGCACTCTAAAATGCCTCCACTGGGTAATCCATACGTAGGTGTAGTTGCTACATAGCCACCCCCCCCCCCTGTCCTATCCCTGCTTGTTTCCCCCTCTCCTAAAGCGCTTCCCGCCCTATCACGCACGCGCTGCGCGCTGCAGGCATCGGCCCCTCCACCAGCAAACAAAAAATGTAAGAAAAGAGACGAGGCAGAAAAAGAAAGACTTATCTAGCAGTATCCACCTGTTCCACCCGTTCACTTCCTTCTTCCACTTCCATTCTTCCTTCTGCCTCCCCACATATACCCATTTATTTTTTTCCCACACTCAGATTCAGACTCAGACTCAGATTCGGGTCTCGGACGTAGGCGCTTCACCCGTATCTCTAATCAATATTTTTTTGCTTTTTTTCGGGTGTTTTTCGCGACGTACACCTACAGTACATGCCTTCGTATCTGGCAACGACGCCCTAGGCTTGTCTGGGATTATACATGGGTTAGCTAGCTAGCGAGGGAGAGGGAGAGGGGGAAGTAAAAAGATGCCAAGATAAAAGTAAAACAATAGTGGTAGGTCAAGTGAGGCGTGGGGGAAAAAGGGGGATTTCGGGGATTCTTTTTAGTGTATTCTAGGTTTCTAGGTGGAATAGACATGGAGAAGAAGGGGAGGGATAGGCATGTGAGAAAGAAGAGAAAGTAGCAAGAATACTATGTGCCCAACCCAAATCAAAGCAAGACTGTAATAAAAACATAGATATGAGTACGAGTACAAGAATGAAATGAATAAATCATAGAAATATAATAACCCTGTGGATATTATTAAGAAGAATACACATCCCCCCCTCTTAAATCCATCCATCAATCCATCAATCCATCAATCAATCAATCACGCAGACACCAGAAAACACTCGAAAACACTAGAGCAGGAGAGCGAGCAAGAGAAACCAAAAGAAGCAGTATATATATATATGAACCCCCATAATTTGAAATTCAAGATTTCTAAATAAAAGACAAAACTAAAGAAAATAGGAGTTTCTCATGACATGGTACCTACATATTTGGAAGAAAGAAAGAAAGAAAAACCACCGGACAATCACAACAACGAAAGTAGTAGTAGTAGTAGTAGTAGTAGTAGTAGTAGTAGCAGTAGCAACAGAAGTAGCAGCAGTACCAGAAAAAAAAAGAGACTGGGTTACTTGCACCATATCCTCTGCCCCCATTTCTCATCACGCTCTTCACCGCCTTCTTCTTCACCACCTTCTTCTTCCTACTTCTTCCTACTTCTTCCTGCTCCTGCCTCTTCTTCTCCCTGCCCTCATGTAGTATACAATTTGTATATATTAGAAATTCAGAAAAAACTAAAAAAAAAGAGAGAGAGAGAGAGAGAGAGAGAGAGAGAGAGAGAGATGGTAGGTATCTTTCACTTTCACTTTCACTTTCTCGTTCTCGTTCTCTCTGTGTGTCTCTGTGTGTGTGTATCTTTCTATCTTCTATATATGTAGATGTGTAGATATATAAATGTGTAGATGTGTAAATATATAATCGCCATGCTAAATGCTTTTCAAAAAAAAAAGAAAAAAAAACAGTGAAGATGAACGTGAACATGAGGATAAGTGTAACTCTCTGTCTCTCTCTTTTTTGTGTACTTAGGTCAGTTAGTTAGTTAGTTAGTTGGATAAACCAGACATGTTTCCCCCCACCCCCTCCCCCTCTCTCCGCAAAAAAGAAAAAAAAACCGTCCCATGAATCTAACAAATCTAACGAAAGAACGTGGAGAAAAAAAAAGAAAATAAAAAATAAAGTCAGAAGTGAAAAGCATAAAACAAAAAAAAACTCCCTTCAACATGCGTGTGCCCCTTTAACACAGAGAGACAGGATAAAAGGGCTTTGGGAAAAAAATAACTAAAAAAGCGATATTTTTTTTGGGAAAAAAAGTCTCTCTCTTTTCGCAACAAAAGGGTATATATCGTAATTATTGTACAGGAAAAAAAAAGAACTGTATGCATGCTCCAGGGTTTCCCGTTCGTTGCCCCGCCCCGCCCCGTCCCCCCGCCCACCGTAAGTAAAGGTCCTTTTGTACGCCAAAAGTCGAAGCAAAAGGTTAAAAAAAAACAAGAAACACCAAAAAACGCTGCAAATATGCCTATAAGTCGAGAATTCCTACCCATGGTCTGGCCACAAGGCGAAGTGGTCGTAGGAAATGAGCAAAAGTCCTTGCTTCTACTTCATACCCATTTTGCGAAACTTGCGGGATGCGCGACGGCGTAGGCCGTTCATGCCCATGGCCTTCCGGAGGCTATCCCTGTCGCCATCGTCGTCGTCCTCAACTTGGGCTGGGAGCTGTCTGCGGCCGTTGCTGTTCTTTACAGAATTCTGATGAGCAATGAGGGTCTGTTCACGCCAAAACATGCGTTTTTGATCAATCACTTGCTGTGATAGATTACCAAAACCTTTCTTCACAAACGCCAGATCGTGCAAAATGTTGGGGTCCAGACAACGCCGGGGGAGTGTCTGAACTGCCATGAAGATTTCTCCATCGCCAGGACGGTACTTTCGAATCTCCGGCTCACCGAGCTTGAAGATGGCGAGGGCATAGCGATACAGGGCGCGTGGCCCCTCATACAGAAAGGCGTCCCAGACGCGGAGAACCGTTTCAATTGGGAGTACGCCCACAAAAATACTCATGAACCACGATGTGCATGAAAGAGCCACCGTGGGCTGACGTTGAAACTTGGAATTGGGGTGAGCGTAAGAGCCGGCGCCCGTGTTGATGAGATCGGTATCGTTGATGGAAAGCCAGACCTTTGGAAGGTAATCCTTGATCAGCATCATGAGAACGTTGACCTCGGTATTCGCAAGACTGCGAGCGTGTGCGCCGGGGAGATGGTTTTGGGTAATGATCGTCAGGAGGATAAAAACCTTTTCCTTGTCCTGCTTGAGGAAGAGCAACAGGAGGCCGGCGATAAAGTTGAGTGATTGGCAATATCCAATGTGGGGGTTGTGCAAAGCAAAGCACGACAAGACCTCGCGGAGATCCCGAATGAGCACGGGCTCGTCATCCGAATCCCCGTCCAGCAGATCAGTCGCCGGCTCTGGGCGGAAGTGGATATTGTCAGGGAAGGTCCGGTCAAGGTCGCGTTCGATGGCATCTTTGTCGTCCTTGTTAAGCTCGTCCCTGCGCACACGAGCTGCGAGCGACTGGTAGAGGCCGACGTTCTCCTTCTGGGTGATCATGTGCTGACCACCAGAATAAAACCACCACATTGCGCCTCGCCACTCGGGAGGATAACCTTTGCGTGCATATCTCTTCACCTTTTCGCACATGTCGGGGAATCTCGTCGGGTCAGTCGTGGGCAGGCCTTGCCTGTTCATCAAGGCGATCCATTTGCCGCGTCGACGCGCAATATGCTCTTCGTATCTTGCTGCCCACGCATTGTATTCTTGAACGCTAATCTTCTCCGAGGCCTTTTTGAACCCGTAGCGATCCCTTTCCACAGGCGTGACGGTCTTGCGTAAGCCGGGCATAACTACGGGTATGGGGAGGCCAGAAGACACATCAGAGTTTGGCTGTGTTTCAGGCTTATTCTTGGTAGGAGCGAGTTGAGTCATTTTGCCAAGATCAAATAGGCCGCTTTTTCGGTCAAATACACTGGTAGACGCGCGACGCGGTATGCCCTCATCCTCGTCAAGCTCAGGGAGAGGCTGTGATCTCTGGACAGGAGGGGATTTTGGGCTGGTGATGCTGGCCTGGGAGTCGTGCGAAAAGGTGCGCGAGCGACTGGGTCTTTTGCTGTGTCGCTTGGAGTAGGCTTCGATGTTTGCCCAATCCTGACGCGACAGCCGAGCCCTGCTGGTGGGCAACTGGGGCAGTCCCGATATTTCGCGACGGATGTGATCGAGCTGCGAACGACTCGAGTTGAAGCTTCTCGAGTGATTGTGGTTTTTGGAGTTTCTAGGACCTGCGTGGTCAGAGGTTTCGGTGGTTCGAAGTGACAAGGCTTGTAACGTGACAGAAACTCGGCGAGGCATCTCGGCACTGGCGCGTTTCATCGTGACCGACTGCCGCTTCTTAGGGAGCTGCACCACTGCCTGGATGGTCCTTGGGGTATATGGGACCGGTAAAGGGCTGATCTGAGCCTTGGGGATACGTTCCACTTGCAGCGGCTTTTGTTCTGTTGCTTGCGCGTTGTGCACGTCGGTGTCCGAGTCTGATCCAGATGTGGTCCGGATGGTCAACAGCTTCTTTTGTCGCATGTTGCTCTCTGTCGAGTCGTCGGCGCGCGCGTGCGACGGTTCGTCCCATCGCTTGAGGCTGTCGGTGGACTGGAAGGAGTCGAGGGAATCGAAGTCGCGGGATGGTGTTTGCGACAGCTCTGGAGGTTCGGAGTCGAGGCCGGCGGGAGAAGGGCCTCGGAAATGATCATCGCCCGGCTCGACGATGGGACTGCGCTCCTCATCGTCTTCGTCGTAAAAGTACGAATCGAGCACGTCGCTCACCGCATCGAGCTGCTCTTGTTCCTCGGCAATGTCCGACGTCATGACCGTCTCGGGCGAGTCGTCTCGGTCAGGCAGACGGTCTCTCGACTGGTCTCTGGAGTAGACGCCGCTGTGCCTGTCGCTGGCAACCGAGCTGCGAGTGGTGACGATGCTACTCCGCTCCGTGCCGCTGGTCTCCATTATGCTCGAGGACGCGTTCGTCCACCCGGACCTAAAGCTGGCCCGTGGCTCCTCGCCTCGAAACGGTCGGTTCGGAGGAGGGTAATAGTCGTTGTGAGACCAGTTGGGCACGCCTCGATTCGGCTTGTATGTGCCGGAAAGATTGGCTCGCTCATTGCCACGGTACTGTGCGTAGTCGGGGATCGAGGTTGCGGACCGCAGTGGGGGCTGGAAGGTTTGTTGGGAACTGGTCATTCCGCGGGGCCTGAATGGCGAGGCTGGCGAGGCTGACAGTTCCTCATTGGACGAATTCCACGTTGGACCGTTGGAATGGACAGGATTGCTAGCTAGAGGGTTGAAGATGGTGCGAAGGTCAGGCGAGCGGGGGCCGCTGTCCTGGCGAGCCATTGCTGGGGCTATAGTCGGGGACATTGGCCGTGAGCTCGAGTGGGACGGGGGCCCATGGGCGGGGGAAGGCACAGCGGCATGGCGGAGGAGGGAAGGGGCTCGCTGGCGGTGGGCATACTTGGGGGAAGGGAGGGTTGGGCTCTCGACGGGGGTGGGGCTGTAGGCGTTACGCTCGTAGGGCTGGGCGGCTACGGTATCCATTTGGAGCTGTGTCGGGTGCTTCGAGCGAAGGGACCCGAAGCTGTTGCTGGCAGCATACGTCGGGTGTGGCGGTGGAGAGGTGGGGGGCGTGTAGTCGGTAGCTGAAAGACGGTGATGGGAGTATGCAAGGCGGGCGGGGAGGGCCGTCTCAGCGTGTCTGTCAGGACCGGCTGGTTGAGAGAGGCCGGGGGCGAGGCGCAGGAGGGTATCGCCCATGGCGCGGTGCAGGGCTGAAGGACTAGGAGGTTGTGGCCGGCAAGGGCGTTCATTCGGACGGGGAATAGGACAGCTCGGGAGTGGTGATTTGCGATGACATTCTCGGGAGCGGACCGGATATCATCGACGAGGGGAGCAGAGCAGAGCAGAGCAGAGCAAGGCAAGGCAGGGCCAGGCGGCTTCTCGTTGAGGGCTGGATCGAGGGCAGCGTGTGTGTGTGTGTGTGTGTGTGTGTGTGTGTGTGTGTGTTTGCGTGCGGGCGTGTCTGCGTGTGTCTGTGTGCGAGTGTTATGCGGTAATGGCTATTGCTTGAACAGTGTTCACCGGGAGCCGCAGCGCCCGAACCCCAGCTCTGTAAAGCACGGCGAGGAGTGAATGATGGCCAAGTGGGTCCCAACGTGGCTGCGGCAGGTAGAAAGGGTAGAAAAAGAAAATGCGCGCCAGGCTAAGGAGCGTGTGGAGCCTGTGCGGCGGGCGAAGGGGGCATTCAGACAGTAGTGAGGACGGAAGTGCGGCCAGTGGTGTTGCAGAAAAGACTCCTTGGGCGTGGATTGATGCTTGACTACTGACTCTCGTGCAGGAGCCGCCAAGACGCGGCGGCTACCCTCCTCATCCCCGATCCCTATAGTCCGGATAGGGGGTCGCGGGCGGGTAGGAGCTTCTTTTTGCAAGGACCGCTGCGGCACTCGACGGAGGGTTCGTTGCCTGACATACAGTGTGAGCGGCGGCGGCGGCGGCACAAATGGGGCGGAGGGGTGGTGGATGTGGATGTGGACGTGGATGCGGATGCGCATGTGGTGATGATGCATAAGCCCTGCAATACTCTGCTGCCTGTGGTATAACGTCGCGAGACTGACGCGCAGGGGGGCGCCAATCAGCGCTGCCCATGCATGCTCGCATCCTCGTACACATGGCCAGACATGCTCCTACACACAACCTACACACATGCTTTCTGCCCCTCTCCCTCGCTCGCTTCCCTCTGCGCGCGCGTGTATATACATAGCACAGTCATGACCGAGCTGACAGCCCTCGCCCTCGCACACACACACACACACTGGCTCGCAATCTGCCTGGCCAGGATGCTCCCGCCCCGCGCACGCCAAACAGCAGCGTCTCCGCCAGCAGCCCTGACTCGCAACCACGTCCATGACAGCTGGTGGGACTCTACATGTACATACTAGCACTATACGCGCATGCCTCTGTATTCAAGGCCAACAACAACCCACTGCCACGCTGCCTCGTATCCAGTGCTGCCCCCCCCCCAAACAGGCAAGCACCGTTGCTGGGGCTTCTAGAAGGCCCAGCATCAGAACATCCCTGGCCTCACGAGCCGGCTCGCTCCACGGGCGCACAGTCAAAAAGGAGATTTGCACATGACGACATGGAGCGGTTGTCCTCATCTCATTTGGTAAACACTACCCTGCGCATTTGTCCGATGCAGACCGATGCGCGGGAAACATGGCGATCTGCAAAACACCTGCACTGCTTCTTTGCCCACCGCTCAAGAAGCGACCCATCCGCATGCAAATTTCGCCAGACGCCAACCATGCAACCAATCCTTCAAACATTGAATCAATCAGTCAACCAAGTCCATCCATCCGGCCATGCGTCCCTCGTGCATGCTCGCTCCCAGGCCGTGGGCAGTGGGTGAGGGCGGCGGCGGCGGTCCCAACTCTACTGCCCTCGTCTCCTATTCTGGCCGTCGTCGGGCGTGTGCACGTGTCCGTGAGCCCTGCCTCACTTGGCGTAGCGCTTGACCCAGTCCTTTGCGTTCTTGTCAAACTCGGCGCGGTTTTCGCGGTACTCGTTGGCAATCGACGGCTCAATCGCGTCGTCCGGGTTGGGCTCAATCAGCAGCGTCTGGATGAGGCGCAGGATCGACACGACCTTGTTGGGTGGCTTCCACTCGTCGGGGCGCAGCAGCCCCAGGCACATGGACCCCTTGTCATCGTTGCTGACGTTGGGGTGGTAGATCTTGGTGCGAAAGCTGACCACGGGCGGCTTGAAGGGGTACTCGGTCGGGAAGGTAATCTCGAGCTTGAAGTGGCCGCCCTGCACACGTCGTCAGCGGGCGCTACGCTCTTTGGGCCAAGGCATGCACCGCCAGGGTGCACCTCATCAATAACTCACGGCATATGCCGACTGCTCAGGGCCGTCCATCAACACCTCCCACTTGGTCATGTTCTGCTCGTCAAAGTTGATCTTCATGCCGGGCGGTGTGTCGGCCATGCACTCGCCGTATTCCTGTCAACACACAAGACAAGACGTCAGCGGGCTTGCTTGTGGCACGCGAGCAGAGGGCTGCGAGAGGCTTGCCTTGAGGATACGCTTCTTAGCTCCGGTGCTCATGGTGGCGGAGCTTGGGTCAGGGCTCTTGTCGTGTACCGAGTTACGAGACCTGCGGGCAGGGCTACACTAGTGAGGGCAGCAACGAGCGTCGGGGGAGGGGGCGTGAGGCTGCACAGGGCGGGATGGGGAGCAAGCAGCGACAACAAAAGGGAAGGGAGGCTGCGATGGCTGTGTAGCAGCGACAGGTGATATGGGGGGGAGGGGGGTTGGAGGAGAAGAGGGCGGATATGTGGGGAAAGTTGCCTATGAATGACGAGGACCTTGGTTGGGACCTTAGTCAAAGCTCCGCACGCGGGCCGGACAGAAGATCAGCTTGAGCTGCAGCTCAGCCTTGAGCGTAGCAGTAGCGGCTGCCTGCCGGAGCGTGCTAGTATGCCACGGCCGGGTGCGCGTATGTGTAGGGCGAGCATTCGCGGGTTTCGGGGGGTTGCATTTGCATTGCCTGCTGTCCCCTGGCTGTATGTGTGTCTTGTTTGCAGGCTGGCAGCGACGTCATAGCCACACTGGGGGCTGTGCCAGCTATTACCACTACGACTACGACTATTGACACAGCCCTCTCTGCCCGTATTGATATTAATCCACACTTTGCAGACTTGAGGCGACTCAAGGCCGCCGTCTCATACAAGGCTGGCACCAAGCTTGTTGCATGACCAGTCCCTCTGTCGTGACTCACCGTGGCGCATGAGCGCCAGCAGCATGGCCGTTTCAGTGCTCGCCCTCGCCCTCGCCATGAGTCACATGAGTCACGGCCACGGCTCCCCTCCCGCCAGGTCACGTTACCCCGCGACACAGACGCGACGCGCTTTTTCGAGCCATGGCCCGGAACAAGTCGTCGCCTGTCTGACAAGACTACTCGGTGCTTGTTTCGTTCACACACACACCCACTCCTGCCACGCTCGTCACGGGACCAGCCACGCTGCGACTCGCCCCCACACTTCACCTCTACAGTACACCTACACCCGCACACACACCCACACACACCCACACACACCCACACCCACATCTACACCCACCCACTCCACGCCCATGCTCGCACACGGCCCAGGCTAAACCCGCAGGCGCCCGCCGTCCAACGCGCCCGATACGTCCTCTCCTGCGTCCCGGCCATGCCGCCCGCCACCGCCATGGACGAGTAAAATGCTCCATCTGCAGGCTACACAGCCCAGCGCTAGATGTCCTCGCTGCAGGGATGCCAACTTGGCAAGGCCAGAATTACACCTATTTAATCGCCCGCTTCCCCACTCATCCGCCCTGCACGCCTCTCAACAAGCCTGAGCTCGACAATCACAAGTGTGTCCTTGTCTTCACCTCCCGTGCGGATAGGCACACTCAAGCTCTTCGGAGCCTCACTTACTTTTCTCCCCCGAAAGGTCTGCGAGTTTCCAGAGTTTCCAGAGCTCTCCCTCTCCTCCTCTTGCACGTTGCGTCACACTAACCTGTCCACTCTTTTCAACCCTCTCCGTCCATCGCTACTTCCGACACTCGCTTCGGCTGCACCATGTTCGGCAAACGCTCCTTTGCTAGCGACAAGGACAAGGACCGTTCAGGCAAGATCACCAAGCATCCGAAGAGATCGTTTCGCGATGCCTCGAAACAAAAGGCCATGGCCCAAAAGCTGGACACGCGCAACGACAGCCCCGTCATGGAGGCCACCTCACCCCCGCTGACGTCGTCGATTGTCACAGTAGCCGTTGGCCCCGACCAGCGCCTGTTTGCTGCGCACGAGGACGTCCTCAGTCACTCGCCCTACTTTGCCCAGCTGCTACGGAGCCAGTTTTTCGAGACCGCTAACCGCCGCATCGATCTCCCGACGGAGGAGCCTGAAATCTTCAGCTGCATCCTCGAGTATCTCTACAAAGGTGACTACTACCCCCGCCTTGTCCATGACAAGCGCCGCCAGACCTGGATGCTCGAGGGTGCAGTTGCATCACCCGACCCCAACAAACCTGGCGACCGCGCACCCGCCGTCGAGCCAACCTTTTTTCACTCGGGCGTGGGAGACGTTCTTCTCCGCGACACGGCCGTGTACTGCGCTGCCGATCACTACGGCCTCGAACAGCTCAAGAAGCTCTCCCTGCGCAAGCAGGGCCTGCAGAGCGGGATCGAGGTTGGAACCATCCTGCGTAGTGCGCGCTATGCCTACGAGAACACGCCCGACAGCGACTCGCGTCTGCGCGCTCATTACCTCGCTCTGATTATCCGCAGTCGCAAGACATTCAAGCGTAGTGGAACCATGCAGATGGAGATGGAGATGGGGGGAAAGATGTTCTTTGACTTGTTCGTGGCCATGTGCAACCACGTCGATGATCTTGCGGATGCGAGGTACGCCTTGCGCCTTTCCTCTTTGTTTGATGCTCGTTTCTTTGCCGTACATGCTTTGCCGTGATGTGACCTTGTCTACTAACACTTGCCAGCGCCTCGGCCCGCGGCACTCCCAGGACCATCTAAACACCTGGTTGCACACCCACTGCCTGTCATTGCAAACATTCCCCGACAAATACCACACACCCACACACCCAACCGGAGTACCATATCAAGTTGACCCAAAGCCTCCATACTCCGCCTGACCCCAAATTGCCGACAACCGACCCCAAAACGTGAAAACCTCAAAAAACATGGAACTGGAGTAACCCGGGTTGATTCCCCCTCTTCTTTCCTGCTTTTCCCCGCGCAATAGCGTTGTTTGCATCCTTTTGTTCTTCTCTCTCTCCTCGTTCTTATTCTTATTTCCATCCTCTCCTCTCCTCCTGTGGTACTTTGGTCAAACCCCCCACCCCTTCATCTCATCTCATCATCTTCATCTTTTTTTTTCTCTCTCTCTCTTCCAAGAAACCTTCCTCCCCCACATTCACGACGTTGACGACAATCAAGATTCTCTGTTTTTCTTCCTTCCTTCCTTCCTTCCTCTCCTGCAAGCGGGAGAGAGTACAATTGCCGAAACTGCGTTTCCTTTGTATAAGCAAGAGGCGGGAACATTGCAAAATAGCCGTGTTGTCTTTTTTGTTGTGATAAAGTGGAAGGCTCTTTTTTTTTAAAAAAAAAAATGGAGAGAGGAAAACACGACGACTACTGGAACAAGAAAGAAATAATCGCGTTTTATTGTTCGGTGTCGACGGCATGGTAAATCTGCGTTGATTGATCTGGAGCCCCATCGTGCTGGAGGGCGTTGGACGCTTTTTGTTTTTGTTTTTTTTTCTTCCTTTTCTCCCCTTTGGTGGAGAGAAAGAGAGAGAGAGAGAGAGAACGAGAGCGAGAGGGTGTGCCTCTGTCCGATGCGGTGGAAACCAGATTGATTGGAACCGCTTTTGAATGGACTAGCCTGTCAAGGATATCTTAGTGGTGGTAATGAGAAAATTCGGCCGCCTCTATAGTGCTTGTTCTCTACATGTACTTTGCATGTGATGTGTGATGTATTGTATGTGGCTGCAACACTATGTATGACTGGCAGCACTCAGACAACAAGATGTCATCTCATGTCTACATTCCCACCTCAAACGCGCCATGCACCAAGCTCCAAAACTGCTTTACAATGTCCTTTTGGCCTTCTCCACCCCTGACCGCCAAATACCTCTGGCCCTCAACTTTGGGCTCCCAATTCCCCGGATTCGCATCCACCATGATGCCACCAGCCTCCTTCAAAATCACCCAGCCGGCACACACATCCCACGCCCAGCACCCGGCCTCCCAGTAGACATCGAGAGCGCCGGTCGCCACACCACACAGATTCAAAGCGGCGGACCCAAACGACCGCAGCCCATGCACCATGCCGCCGCCGTGCTCCTTTGTCGCGGCCAACCTCTTGAACGTCTCGCTCTTGACGCTGAAATCATTGCCGGAGCGATCACTCCCCCACTCCACCGCCACAAGACAGGTATCGAGCGCAGTCAGCGGCGCGGGCTCTACCAGCGGCAATTTCAGCGCCCCATTCATATACGCGCCCTGCCCTTTAACCGCCGAATACAGCGTCTGCGTAAACGGATTATACACTACACCCACCACGGGCTCCCGGTCCACCGCGAGCCCCAGCGAAATACACACGTACGGGTGCCGATGCACAAAGTTGGTCGTCCCGTCAATCGGGTCGCAGATAAACGTCGGGTTCGCGCTGAGTACGTCGCCCGGCTGATAGGTTTCCTCGCCCATGAAGGAGAAGTGCGGGTATGTGCTGCGCAGGGAGGCTGAGATGAGGGATTCGACTGCGCGGTCGGTTTCTGTGACGAGGTCGGCGGCTGTGGGTGGGTGGGTGTTTAGTTGGGGGTTCAGCTGGGGAGTGGTTTGGAGTATACAAGCGTGTGTGTGTGTGGAGGGGGGGGGGCTTGCGTACAATTCTTCTTCGAACCTGATGTCGATGTCGTTGGTTTGGCCGATACAATGCGCTCGCCGGATTCTTTTGCGATCGACACCATGAAGTCGTGGATTTCCTTGAGATTGAGGTCCGCCATATCTGCTTGTTCGGCGGCTTGAAACACAGAAAGAGAGAGAGAGAGAGACTGTGTGAGAATGCGGGAATCCAGATATCAAAGCTAGGTTATGTTGCAGGAAGAAGACGAGTTTCTTTTTTCTTTTCAACCTGAAGAGCAAGTGTGTTGTTGTTGTTGTTGTTGTTGTTGTTGGGGTGCTCAAGCTGTTTTCCCCCAGCGTCATAGCTAGCCCCCATGCCTTACCTTACGTACCCCTCTGCGGGGCTAACTTACAAGTGCGGCGGCATGCAGGGTCCCCACTCACCACGTGGGGGTAAATGGCAATGCTCAACGGCTGATGTCCATGTTTCCTGACTCTCTTCTGTCCTGTTTATTCTGGCTTCATCTTGCATATCGTCTTCTGGTTTTCTTTTTCTCTGTCACTCTTTTTCTTCGTCGTATTTTGTTGCGTTGTATCACGATAGAATATGCATCAGATTTCATGTTTGAGTTCTGAGATTTTAACAATTAGAAATCTTTATTCAAGTACCCATCGACTGGTGAGAGAAGAATGGCAGGCAATTGTGTATTTAAGAAGCATTGCAAATTTACGAAATACTGGGTTTTAGCGAATGGTACTCTTGTAAATACATTCAATGTAATTGCCCACTACCTCACACCTTCGTTTCAACTTTGACATCGATCTTTTTGTTTTGCTGCTCCTGCTCCTCAGCTATTACATCTGCAGGGATGCGATCTGGTGTTTGGTTGACCAGAACAAGCATTGGCACGAATGCCAGCGCCATTAGACCAAACGTGACGCAGAAGCCAATCATGGGTGACGTCTTGATTTGGGTGTTCATTCCGTAGGAAATGGCCTGGCCAATGGCTTCAAGACAACGGAACGCAGCACCGTTGCGAACGTTTGCTATGTATAGTCAGTTTGTATCCTGCAGCTTTCATTGGACAGACATATCCTACCTTGGGCATCGGTCGCAAACGAGGAGAGCAGCCAGTACATATAGGACTGGGACAATGGGCCTGTGGTCTGAACGAAGAAGTAGGGAAGAAATGTTCGCGCGTATCGCATCTCATCCCAGTCAATCTTGCCAGGGTTTTCACGGTCGAACCCGGCTTGGATGACAATTGACCAGATGTAAACACCAAGATTGAGGATAACGACGGTCAGCAGGCCTATCTGAGCGCGACGGCGCTGGGTAACGCCCTTTAAATCGAGAATGAATCCCAGACCGAAGCAGCCGACGATGCAGAAGAATGGCGATATAAGAGATGAGAGGGCACGGGTGCGGACACTAAAGTATGTGGCAAGGTAGGTTGACCAGGTACCGCTGGTTATTTGTTGGCAAGTTGCAGCTTGAGGATCGAAAAATGTTGACTCACCTGTAGAAGAAGGACCAGATTGCCCATAAAGCCGAGAGAAGTATAAGTTTCGAAGTCATTGTGACTTTGATCAGTTTGAACTCTTTCAGAGTGCTTATCTTCTCCGAGAAGAGAATGCGTGTTCCGTCTGAACGGACCACCCTCTCGAGGGGCGAGATGAGGAAAGCGAATGGTAGGGCCATACACTCAATGATAAGAAAGGCGATATACGTATCCGGCGACACACCTCCGACGGCACCTTTCTCATGATTCTTTGCGAGACTGGTGAAGAGATAAGTTCTTGTTTGAAAAATTACAATGTAGCGACTTACTTGATTGCCCCACCCACCAATTGTCCCAAGTTACGTGCCACAATCCAAAGAGCCAAGTATTTGCCGCGAGAGCCCACTGGAGCAAGTGACATGATGGTTCCTGACTCTGCCACGTACCAGGTGCCGCTACCTAGAAGTGCATATCAGTATTCTGACGGGTCGAAGAATCCGAGACGAGTGCCATACCGATACCAGTAAAGAAGCCGCCTAGGATAAGATACCACTGATTACCAAACTTGGAGTTGCAGTAGTACGACGAGCCTCGAATGGGAAACGAACAAGCACCGATTACGAGAGCCCATTTTGTGCCAAGCTTGTTGACGATAGGACCTCCAAGGGCACAGCAAACTGCCAGCATGGTGTAGTTGATGGCAGTCGCAATGTTCGAGGTTTGAGGAGTGGCGAGACCGCCTCCACCGAGACCTGACCAGATTAGTTCAAAATTTTGAACTTTGACATGAGTAGTAGCTACCAGCGATAGCATCAGCCATGGCAGGACCACAAAACGCTTGGATACTGATCAGAAACATCTGCGTCAAGCTATTCTGCCAGATCCTTTTCCATAGTGGTACATTCCGAGTATATTCTTCCAAATTGATCCTCTCATCCGCGACTTCGTACTTAGAGGGCAGGGGTGCGTTCAACGGGTCATCGCCCTTGGTACGAAGAGCGTCATCATGGCCACCAGCATGGGTGTTGGGAGGAGCAGCGTCGAACTGTGACATCTTGGATGGACTTCTAAAGATTTCCAAACGGTACTACAGCAAAAGGCCGGATGAAAGGACCATACTGAGCTGAGAGGGTACCGAAGAAGCATCATGCGACCTTTATACATGACTGTCCTACCGTCCCTCCTCCCGCATCGCCTCCCATCCTCGCCTACTATCTGATTTCCCGGCTTATCTGTGGATCCTGGTATTAGATTACCCCAACCCGGGGTAAAGTAAGTCGTTCCCATCCAGCTGATAGGGATTGTGGAGTCGGCTGCTTCAGCGACGGACGCAATGCCGAGTGAGATGACAGTCTGGAAGATCACTCAAGCTAGGCCCAATGTGGTAATGCGAACAGTTGGGAAAAGTGGAGGTCAAGGCCAAGGCCGGCAAAGCATGGGAAGACGACGCTAGAAGATGCAGACTGGGCTTGCAAGGCTTGGTTGTCGGGCCTTTGTGGTTGCAAGGCGGGGCGCGAGTCAGTCGTGATATCGCTCCGCGGCAGGCCTGGTACATTGATAGAATATCGGCATCGTGGGTACTGCATCAGATGTGGTATAGACGCAGATTTTTGTTATCGAGGTGTCAGATACGGCCAGGCGAGAGGTCGAGTCCTGGATCTTGGGATGCACCGACACAACCCCTCTTCGTTGACTGACGCTGTGCTGACGTCGGGTAGTCTAACCTTGTCGGGTCATTATAGCAGTCGGGCTCACCAAGCGAGAGGCCAGCACTAGCCCGTGACCGAGCTCATCTCCAGCCGATGGTACATTGAGTCGAAGCATGTGTCACGGCCGTTCCATTGCTGGTGGCGTGTGCAGATTTCGCTGATACTTAACCGACAAGCGTTGAGCCTGACGCTGTGGATTGCGTCTGACACCGACTTGCGCCTCTACCCAGCAGGACTCAGCCCTCCGAGGAGCAGATCAACCTACTCATTGCTTGGATATGGCGTCTTCCAGGGAAAATACGTCTGTCATTGTTGTTGGCGGCGGCGGTACCATTGGCTCTTCGACAGCTCTTCATCTGGTCCGTTCAGGCTACACACCATCGAACATCACCGTCCTGGATACATATCCCATCCCATCAGCACAGTCGGCTGGCAATGACTTGAACAAAATCATGGGCATCCGCTTGCGGAACAAGGTCGACCTCCAGCTGAGTCTAGAAGCGAGGCAAATGTGGAAAGAAGACGATTTGTTCAAAGAATATTTCCACAATACCGGACGAGTACGTGCAGTTAGAATGATGCATAAGTCTTGAATTGACAAAGATGCAGCTCGACTGCGCAAATGGCGAAAAGGGAGTGGAAGACTTGAAACAAGCATACCAAGCTCTTCTAGATGCCAATGCTGGTCTTGAAGAAACAATTGAGTGGCTGGACTCTGAGGACGAAATTCTGAAGAAAATGCCGCTTTTAGACCGAAAGCAGATCAAGGGCTGGAAGGCAGTCTATAGCCGAGACGGCGGCTGGCTCGCAGCAGCAAAAGCCATCAACGCGATAGGCAAGTACTTGTGTGGTCAGGGAGTCAAGTTTGGTTTTGGTGGAGCGGGATCGTTCAAGCAGCCTCTACTTGCCGAGGGAGTGTGCATTGGTGTGGAGACAGTCGATGGCACGAAGTACTATGCGGACAAGGTGGTGCTAGCAGCTGGTGCTTGGAGCCCCGTCTTGGTCGATTTGGAAGAACAATGTGTTTCAAAGGTATGTGTTTGAAAGTTTTCTCTGCACAATGAGATCTAACCCTGGTAGGCGTGGGTATATGCCCACATCCAGCTTACACCCAAAGAAGCAGCAGAGTATAAAAACGCGCCCGTAGTATACAACGGCGATGTTGGCTTCTTTTTCGAGCCCGATGAGCATGGTGTCATCAAGGTTTGCGACGAGTTTCCTGGCTTTACTCGCTTCAAACAACACCAGCCATATGGGACAAAGGCACCAAAACGCATCTCTGTGCCCAGATCAGCCGCAAAACATCCGTCAGACACGTATCCTGATGCCTCTGAAGTGAGCATCCGCAAGGCCATTGCAACCTTTCTGCCTAGGTTCACCAAGAAGGAGCTGTTCAACAGACATTTGTGTTGGTGTACGGATACGGCTGATGCTGCGCTCTTGATATGCGAGCATCCTGAATGGAAGAATTTTGTACTTGCTACTGGGGACAGCGGGTAGGTATTCTGTTTGGTACTGCAGTATTTCATGCTAACTAGGTTCTAGCCATACATTCAAGCTGCTACCGAATATTGGAAAGCATGTCGTTGAGTTGCTCGAAGGCACGCTAGCAGATGATCTGGCGCATGCATGGAGGTGGCGGCCTGGTACGGGTGATGCGCTCAAGTCGAGGAGAGCAGCACCAGCGAAGGATCTTGCAGACATGCCTGGGTGGCGGCATGATGAGTGGGCCACGTCTAAGTTGTAGTAATTCAAAATATCCGATGAGACTATGTAGAGTATCCGTTCAATGTCTTCGGATAATGATCAAATAGTATCCGACCTTGTGACTATACTAGAGTTGATCATGGTCGATTCGTTTTCTCAGTAGAAACAAAACACTTTAGCTGGTTGTCTAAGGGGATTAGGTGTACGGCAAGAAGACTGAGAGTGACTGCTACACGAGCAGCATGAGCCGTTGTTCTTAACTTTTGTCTCCAAAGTCAAGAGAAGAAAGCAGCCGTCGCCGGGAAAAAGGAGAAGTCACGAAGCCCTAGGTTAAACATCAGGAAATTGTCACACGTACGAGGTTAGAAGGCACGCTGCGAGCCTTTTGGTGCTTAAAAGCTGCAATTCTCACTGTTCACACCATTTTTCTTCCACAACAGCATCGCTATCACCCACCCATCGCTTTTACCCGATACACCAATCCCATCGTTAAAGCTACACCACCATTGACTCTTCACACCATCCAGCCATGCAAGCCCTCCACCGCTTCTTCATCCGCGCAGCACGCGGCCTATCAGAAGTACATCCGCGTGCAAACGCGGCATCCGAATTACCAGATCATGAAAACAAAAACCACACCTTCAAAGACTAGGAGCTAGGACTTATGATTGGTATACCCACCGGCCTGCTGGTCCTCAGCCTCGCATTGCAGCGCTGCCGCATCATCCAGTGCCGCTGGCGCCGGTCAGCCGACTACAGGGCACACAGGAACGAGAGGTGGTGGCGCAGGTTCTGGGCTTACATGAACTACGCTGTGAGCCTCAAGTGGAAGAGGCCGTCGCGAAGGGTGCGCATTGCAGAACAGCAGCAACAGAGCGTTGCACTTGCGGATATGGATGTGAGTTCTTCTGACGAGGGAGATTCTGGTGACTATGCAGGACCAGCTGGGTTGTCGACTATCAGGGAATTGGACGAGACGGCCGGGACGGAGCATCAGGCGGGACCTGCGCAGGTGCAAAAGGAGCCGCAGGTACAAACAGAGTCTTCGATACAAGAAGAACTTCAGGCACAAACTGAGATCCAGGAGCAATCAGAGCCGCAACCTCAGCAACCAGAGTCTTCGCAGCCAAGAAACATTTCTTCGGAGCCCAACTCCCGCCGAGGCTCGACGTCGTTTCGATCCTTGTTTATTCGCCCACGGTCCCATTCTGCCAGAATATAATACCGGCGTGGCGTTGTATACGAGATAAATGGGGTATACCAGTGGCGAAAATGATATGCAGGAGTTAGAAGACGATTAGCAGGTGTTTGTTTGTGTAAACGACAGCCAAGCCGTGTATATGAACATTCACACGCATGGTTCTCGCGATTGTTTATCGAGATTCGTTTCACTTCATGCCCTTCTCGAATAATTAGTCAAATCCAGTTCGTTTCACTAGTTGAGGTTCCAAAAGAAGATGCGTGAGGAAGCATACACATGCTGCTAACGGGAGCCTAGCCTATCTTGGCCTAGCGTACCTTACGCAAGTCCTGCGCGACTCAACGACATGGCAAGGCAAGGTACTCCCGCTGCTAGTAGCAGAGTAAAGAAAAAGGATACTTATTTTCAGCACTCTTTTTTCCCAACAGCCTATTCACATCCCCAAGCTCGCCATGCAGACCGAGTGAAACAAACCGGTAAAGGTTAGTTCTGCATGCTCATACATAGCTAGCGATGGACCATCTCGCTTCTCACAGCAAGCCATGTCACGGCGTCCAAGCGCAAGAAACGACTGCATTCCCAAACGCGCACACGTGGAAACCCCAGCTCGACTCGTCAGCGCGCGGCGTTAACGGGGTTTCGGGCGCGTTGGACAAACAAGAAATCGCTGGGTCGAGTCAGGCCAGGAAAAAAAGATAAAAGAGCTCGAGGCCGAGAGAGCTTGTCCGTGCGCGCGAACCTCGGCATGAGGACCAGACATGACATGGGTAGGGCGTTTGTCGCCGCGGTTGAACTTCTCCGCATTTCCCTGGTATTGGCCGGCTTTATTGTTTAATACATAGCTGTCTGGGTTTCTTTAAACTTTAGGTTGCGTTTCCCCCCCCTGCTGAACTCAGTTTACCCCCCCCAGACTTTATTTGTTTACTAGAGCGCATTACGTGCAGAGATATGGCGTCGTCGTCGAAGCGTGTCGACCAGATTGCTGGTCACCTCAACTACCCCAAGGGCATGTTGGCTGGCCAGACTGCCATCATCACTGGCTCGGGACAGGGGATTGGAGCGGAGGCTGCGAAGCTGTTTGCGAAAGAGGGCGCAAAGGTGGTGATTGCAGATGTGGATGGCCGTATGTCAATTGGCGCATGGCGACTTTGATACCAGCATGTACTGACAGCCACGCAGAGAAAGCCGAGGGCGTAGTAGCGGAGATCAAGGCAGCGGGCGGCAGCGCCATTGCAGTGCCCGGCGACGTGCTCGACGATGAGTACATCAAGACGCTCATTGCAAAGGCAGCCGAGTTTGGCGGCGGCAAGATTCACATCATTGTCAACAATGCTGGCTACACATGGGACGGCGTCATCCACAAGATGACGGACAAGCAATGGCACACCATTGTCGACCTGCACGGCACGGCGCCCTTCAAGATTGTCCGCGCCGCAGCGCCCTACTTCCGCGTCAAGGACGGCGAGCCCAGGAACATTATCAACATCTCGAGCACCAGCGGCGTGCACGGCAACGCAGGGCAGATCAACTATGCGCTGGCCAAGGCGGGCGTGCAGGGCATGACCAAGACGATTGCGAAGGAGTAAGTGCTCTCTGGCGTATTCCCTCTTTTCGTCGACACACCCGTCGCTAACATGGCGGCATCCAGGTGGGGTCCGCAGTTCGGTGTGCGCGCAAACACGGTCGCTTTCGGCCACATCCAGACGCGACTGACGGCGGCCAAGGAGGAGGGCGCCTTCATCACGACGCCCGACGGCCAGAAGGTCGCGCTGGGCATTCCGCAGGCTCAGATGGGCGCTGCACAGGCCGACCCGCATGCAGACATTCCGCTGCGCAGGCCGGGCACGGCGACAGAGGCGGCGAGCGCCGTCTTGGCCGTGGCCAGCCCGCTGTTCGGCTATGTCAACGGAGAGACGATCAAGGTGACGGGCGGGCGGAACATGTAGGCGCTGGTAGCGGTGATGAATTGCATTCTTTGCGTGGGCGTGGGCGGCTCTCAAACGCTGGCCGTGGGGGAAGTGAATGGGTGTGGTTTCGAGGGACCCGCTGCACACGGACTCGGCGGGCGGGCGATGCGCTACGCCATCCCCAGACGCCTCTGCTGCCATGCAACCACGTCGAGACGAAACACCAGTCGCTCTTTTTTTTGCTGCCCGTGTCGCCTGTGGCGATTGATCTCGCTACGCAACCTGCCTCTGCAACATGCACATGTGCAAGCCATAGCCCGCCCATCGCGCCCACGCCCACGCCCACGCCTGCCCACGCCTGCCTGTACCGACCATCCGCCGTGGGCGAGCATCCCCCTACACTGCCCGCCGCTCAAGTCAGCGCCCCATCACCCGCCACGCCCGCTTCTCCCCAGCGACGAGGGGCGACGTGCCCTTGCAGCAGCTCGCCATGAGCGACGAAAAACACAACTACGTGCGGGAGCCGTCGCCGCCGCCCATCCCCACGTACGACGAAGCCACCTCGTCGCGCAATGCGCCGGCTCGCCTGGGCCCCAACGAAATCAGCGACGACGCCGAGCGGCAGGGCCTCCTGTCGCCAGATGTTCGCACCCAGTCCGACCCGCGCAGGCGCACCGGCTACTACCAGCCGCCGTCGGTCCAGTCGGTCAGCGATGGCGACGACGACTCGGACCTGGGCAGCCCCGTCCGCGAAAGCCAGGACTCGGCCCTGCGCCAGACCATGGAGGAGATGGAGATTCTCGACCCGGAGGCTGCTGAAGAAGGCCGTGCCAGGCGGAATCGCACGCGCAGCCGCTTCTCCAAGCGCTTCTACAGCATACGCCACTCGCTGTCGAGCTGGCATCTGCCCCGGATACCCTGGCCCTCGTGGCGCCCCAACTTCCGCGCCCTCACTGACCACATACCCACGATTCCCGACGAGTACAAGCCCGGCTGGGCCATGCTTGCGCGCCTGTTTGGCCTCGTGCTCATCATCGTGCTCGTCTACTTCCTCGTCGTCAGCGAGGTCGTGCCCATGGGCACCGGCTTCGGCACGCCCTTCAACCCCGAGTGGATACGCCAGACGGCCATGGAGGGCGTCGAGGGCTGGCGCATTGAGAAGAATCTCGAGTACATTACCAGCTATGACCACATTGGCGGCACCGAGGGCAGCTACGTGCTGGGCCAATGGATCGAGGGCAAGTTCAAGGACGCCCACATGGACACTTTTACACACGATGAGTATGCCTGGCTGCTCTGCCCGCTGTGCCCGCACACGCTAATCTGACTAGATACTATGTCTACATGAACTACGCCAAGAAGAACGGCCGCAAACTTGCCATTGTCGACCCTCCCGAAAAGGCGTGGGAAGCGACCCTCGAAGAGCCATCCGTGTTCAATCCTGCCAAGCCCCAGACCCCCGCATACCACGGCTTGTCGGCAACGGGAAATGCCACTGGGCCTCTGATCTACGTCAACTACTGCGATAAGGGAGACTTTAAGACGTTGTGGGATAGCGGCGTTGATGTCCAGGGCGCAGTCGTGCTCTGCCGGTACTACGGCACACAGCCAGATCTGTCCATGAAGATAAAGGCGGCGCAAGATGCGGGCGTGGTTGGCGTACTGGTGTACTCGGACCCGGCAGAGGACGGTTTCAAAAAGGGCAATCCCTGGCCGGACGGCAAGTGGAGACCGGGCGACAGCGTCCAGCGAGGCTCTGTGGCGCAGACCAACATGATCATGGGAGATGTGCTGACGCCCGGAAAGCCGAGTCTGAAGAAGATGGAGCGCATGTCCCGGGACCGGAATCCAGCACTGCCAAAGATTCCCAGTCTCCCGCTGTCGTGGAAGAGCGCGCAGACATTGCTCAGGTCACTCAAGGGTTCGGGCGAAGAGCTGCCAGAAGAATGGGTTGGCGGAGTCCCAGATGTTGGCGACAAATGGTACTCTGGCCACCCCAAAACCTCCCCCAAGGTTTTCATGCAAAACGACCAGGACGAGGTGGAGCAGCAGCGCATTACCAATGTTTTTGGCTCTCTCACGGGCACCGAAGACCCAAATAGGAAGATTATTGTCGGAAATCACCGCGACTCTTGGTGCTTTGGCGCGGCCGACCCCGGCTCGGGTACTGCTGTCATGCTCGAAGTCGCGCGTGTGTTGGGTGAGCTTCGAGCTCAGGGCTGGAGGCCCCTGCGTACTATTGAGTTTGCATCCTGGGATGCAGGCGAGTACAACCGCATCGGTTCTACGGAACACGTCGAAGCGAACACGGAAGCTCTCCGCGAAGGCGCCATTGCGTACATAAACGTCGACGTGGGTGTAACGGGCGACAAACTCTGGGCCAATGGTTCACCCATCTTCCAACACGCCTGGACACGCATCTTGGACCGCTTGGCCGACCCCCATGAAAACAAGACTCTAAGAGAACTATGGGATAACTCTGGCAGCAAGATTGGCAACCTGGGTGCTGGAAGCGACTATGTAGCCTTCCAATCTATTGCCGGCACCTCGTCCATCGACTTTGGCTTTGCCAGCTCCACCGACAACCACGCGTCTTCCAACCCCATTGCCCACAGCTGCTTCGAGACGCTCTCGTGGATGCGAAAATACGTCGATCCGTCCTTTTCCTACCACACACTCCTCGCCCAACTCTGGGTCCTCCTCATCCTCGAGCTCGCCCAGGAAGCCATCATGCCCATGAAAGTCGAGGACTTTGCTCACGGCCTCCAAGAAGAAGGCAAAAAGCTGCTCGACTGGACCGAGACGGCGGCCGGCGGCGCTGAATACGATATTGGAATGTTCCAGCCGCTCGTCGATGCTCTCAGCATGTTCAAGAAGAAGGCCGAGGCGTTTGCCGCGTGGGAACAGAGCTGGTACAACCAGGTGTATGCCACGGGCGGCTTCGAATCAAGCGGCATCACCATGCAGCGCATCCAGCATAACGCGAAGATTGGGCGCCTCGAAACAGATCTCTTGGATCTACCGCGGAATAAAGATGATAAGGAGCCTCATGGTGTAAGTTCTTTCTCTCTCTCTCTCTCTCTCTCTCATATCACTTCCCTAAACCTAGAATCCTGGCTAATACTATATCTTCCATCTTTCCAGCTCCCAAACCGCGACCAATTCAAACACGTTATTTTCGCCCCGGACCTCAACAACGGCCTCGACGCAACAATCTTCCCCTTTGCGAGAGAAGCAATCGCCAAAAAGGACTGGAACGCCGCCGCCGCTGCGATCAAGAAGACGGCCGAGATTTTGAATCGCGCGGGTGAGAGACTGGGCGGTGGGTAATTTTAATCCCAAAAAAATATATATCAAGGGTGTCGATTAGCCTGTGTGTGTGTGTGTGTCCCAAACCTATATTGCATCGTCGGTTCTGTTTTTGTGTATAGGATTAATCTTCTTTTCCCTTTTCTTTTCCTTTTCCTTGTCTTTTTTTCTTTTCTCTCTCTCTCTCTCTCTCTCTCTCTCTCTCTCTTTCTCTCTTTCTCTCTCTCTTTTTTTTTATTTTGCATACATGGGCGTTTTACTCATCCCTTGTTTTCATCTTTTCCCAAATCTTCTTTCCTTGCTGCATTTCAGCGAGACAGGCGCCTGCGCGCGCCCGCCGTGTTATAAAGCGGGAAATCAATAAAAAAAATTAAAATCACATGGCAGCGGACTCGGTAGTTGACAGAAAGAAAGGAGAAGAAAGAAGGAAAGGAAAGGAAAGGAAAGGAAAGGAAAGGAAAGGAAAGGAAAGGAAAGGAAAGGAAAGGAAAGGGACCCATTTCGCTGTTTTTAGCACCATGGAAAAAATCCCCTTTCTCTCTCTCTCTCTCTCTCTCTCTCTCTCTCTTTCTTTCTCTTTCTCTCTCTCTCGTTGTTTGCAGCATTTAGAAAATTCGCCCTTTGTTTGTTTGTTTGTTTTTATATTGCGTCTAGGCATGGTGATAGGATATGGGGAAGAGACGAGTAGGGAATCAATCAGACTACAAAGAAATCTTAGTCGTTTTTCCTGCCTTTTTTTTGGTTAATGGCCAATTACTGTTGCTTAGTGCTGGGTTAATAAAGCTAGGAGTGCAAAAAAGCCACTATTTCATAGCAAATCTTTCGTCATGATACAAGTGAACGAGGCAAAATGTAAGACGTACTGAATGCTACGCACTTTCCAGACCAGTTGTCCAGCAAAAAACTCGACTGCCCAGCTACTCATCCACCAGCAAAGGCAAAAAAAGTGATGTCGCAAATTTGGCGGTACTGGGAACTGTAGACATGTTAGATGTCTCAGGACTGCCATAATATTTCGTGGTAAAACGTACTCGAACCCAGGCTGGCGCGGATCTGGATCGGGGCAGCTTATTGCCCGCCAGCCACAACGCGACGTCATACCACTAGACCATACCACCTTGTGGTGTTTTTGATGTCAGTTTGGGGAGTTGTATTATTTCAGTATTTGACAAAATTCCCAGGAAAAGCCGTCTTGACAGGCACATCTTGGTGGAATCGTCATGGACAACGGAATTTTGAGTGCGTGTGCGGGGTTGCGGGGTCTGTGTGCCGTCCGCTAGAGGCGGGGCTTGCAGCTCTTTCTGCGAGCTTTGGATATTATGCTCTTCCCTTTTACCCAATCGGTCCACTCAATGCCAAGTAAACACACCATGTCTGCAGGTACGTGCGAGGGTCGTCTGACAGTGCTGTTATAAAAGAGGCTTCAATTGCTGTTGCAAGTCGCCCTCGTAAAGAGTGCTGGCGCTCACACAATCGCTCAATCAAGACATGGATCCCATGCTGCGCTTGCCGACGCGCCTTGCAAATTATCGGGAAACGCTAACGTCAGGCTTGCAGAGCAGTCGTCGCCGCCCCGGCAGTCACGAGGCAGGAATCCAAAGTCCTACCGCGTCGAGGAGGATTACTCGTTTCTCGACGAAGAGGATGACGAGGCGCGTTCTGGGACTCAGACACCGGGGTTTGATGACGATGATGAGGACGAGGACGACTTTATGCCTGATGGCCAGGACGAGGACGCCGAGGATGATTCTGAAGATGAAGTAGATGACGATGAAGAGGAAGACGATTCAGAAGACGAAGAAGAGTATTCGGATGAGGAGCTTGCGATGCCAATGCGCGGTGCTCGCGGGTCAAAAGCCATGCTGCTCCAGCCAAGCACGCCCATCCTTCCACGCCACAGGCCGTCCACGGAGCACATACCGTCGCCCATCACCTTTGCCAAAGGCAGCGGCGTCAAAGTGCGCAATGTGGATGCCGAGCACAAGCTGCGAACACGAGGGATACCCGACTTCGACAAGATTGGTGGCCATGAGCCACGGTTGAAAAACCTGTTCGGGCCGGATGGTCACCATGTCAAGCCTGTACTGTCGTCGCGCGACTACTGGTTCCCACAGGAGACATTCCCGATCCGGAAATCCGATCAGGTAAAGCCGAATGAGCCTGATTTCAGCAGCTTGAGAAGAAGCTTCTTTGAGAGTGAAGGCGCAAGGGAGAAGGAGAATCACGCTTTGAAAGAGTGGTACACGCATACCGGGAAAGCGGCATTTACGGCGGCCCAGGTTACTAGGCGGTTGACTGAAGATGAAGCTGCACAGTACATGTTGAATGCGGGCTCAGACACGTTGAACGTACTCACTGGGCCTGTGGACACACCCCAACTTAGCACACTTGCAAAACGCACATATATGCATATTGGACAGTCTTTCTCTGATACAGCAAACAGACGAGGCTGGATATTCAATCTCGGCTCAAGAGTACAAGATGCCCAGTGGGTGACCAAGGAGGACAGCCGTGTACAGTACCTCGCTGTCGCCGTGGAACAAAAACCCATGGGCGAAGATCAGCCAAAGCCAATGGAGCTACCAAAGGCACCTGCTTTCAATGCCACCGAGCCGTATGCGGCGTCCATTCAAATTTGGGCATTTGAAGCCACTGAAGAAGGGGATATGGATACGTCGAAAGAGCCCAGACTTGAGATTGTGGTTTGCGCAAACTGGGGTGCGCCAAAGCAGCTCCGATGGTGTCCAGTTGCTGCGGCAGATGTGGAGGATGACTCCGATGCTGAAAGAGAAACGCATATTGGCATGCTTGCTGTGATCTCGTCCGATGGAAAAGTACGCATACTGGATCTGTGTACACCGACGCGTCAAGCCGAAAGCAAAGAAACCACATATTTATATTTTTCTCGTGCAGCATTCGAGGCATCCATCCCGCAGACAGTTCCATCCTGTCTGCACTGGCTATCAGGAACCACGCTTGCAGTTGCGACAGCAGCAGGCACTATGGGCATGTGGTCGCTGAACCGTCCAGGAACTCTATCGACGTCTCCTACCGACGACCACAACCCGCGACCCTGGTTCTACCAGCAACTAGCCGACACCTTTATCCTCACCATCTGCTCCGGGTGGCCTTCAAACCCGCAGTTCCTCTCCATCAGCACCGCCGACGGTTTCGCCCGCCTGTTCGACCTCCGCAGCCCAAACGCAGACATGTCGGCCTCGATCCGTGGGCGCACCTTGTGTCTCACGCAAGCATGGCACGAACACACGCAATCGTTTGTCATGCCAGACGAACACTACATCCTGCGACACACGCCCATCCGCCGGTACTACCACAACCTCTACAGCATGCGCCTGGAAAACAGCATCACGCGCGTGGCTACGAGCCCCGTCCACCCGGGCGTCCTGATCGGAGGCATAGACGGCGACATCCAGACCAGCAACCCCATCATGCGCATCGCAAACTACAAAGTGGTGCCGTGGCAGCAGAAATGGTTCATGCACGAGTGGCGCGGCCCAATGCACCGGATGCTCGTAAAACCCACTGCCATCGAGCCCACCGACGTCGAAACCTCTCAATCCCAAGAAAAAGCACCAGATCCGACTGCTGCATCAACACCACCCCAAGACGAAAGCAACAGCAATATCACCCCCGAACAACCCGTACAAGCAGCAACCGTGCCCCCGGAGATCCTGTCGCAGCCCCTCGTCCGCATCTCAGAGGGCTACAAGGCCGTGCAGCAGGGCATCGCGCACAGCGCCGTGTCCAAGCGAAACGGCAACCCGGAGATTGGGCGCTCCATTAGCATTTTCGAGGAGAACTCTGCTGTTACGGCGCTGGCGTGGAATCCTAATCTGAGATATGGCGCCTGGGCGGTGGCGGGCTTGGGGTCGGGGTTGCTGCGCGTGGAGGATGTGGGGATTATGGGGAAGTAGGGAGGTAGGGGTTGGGCGTGTGGGCGTGTATGAGCAGATGAGAGAGAGAGAGAGAGAGAGAGTGTGTGTGTGTGTGATAAAAGGGCATTTATTATTCGATACTGTAATAACAAGTCGTACAATTGGCATCAAGTAACACTATCACCTCCATCTCTCAACGCCTATCCCACCGCTCCATCCACAACGCATAAAAAGCCTGATTTATTTACTCGCAGCCCTCAATTGACACATGAGCGGCTTCTTCTCCCACAGCACATATGTCTTCTGCTCGATCCAGTCTGCGCTCTCGGGGCACAGCGCCAGATCAAAGTTGAAGTAGAGTTTTGCGGCCACCAGCCGGATCTCGTGATATGCCATGCTGTAGAGTGAAAAGGTTAGCATTCGGCATTATTCAAACTAAACAAATGAAATTGCGGGAATATACAAAGACAACAAAAAATGGGAGGAGAGAGAGAGAGAGAGAGAGAGAGAGACTTACTTCTTCCCAACACAATCCCTATTTCCCACGGAAAACGGCTGCAGACAGTGCTTAGCATCTGCCTCGAACTCGGCGTCTCCGAGCCAGCGCTGCGGCAGGAATTCGGTCGCGCGCTTGAAATTCGTTTCGCTCGTGTACATGGCGCGCTGGGGGATGCCGACGATGGAGCCCGGCGGCACAAAGTTGCCTGCGACAGTGCTGCCTTCGGCGGGGACGCGGCGCGGCAGGCTGATGGGGACGGGCGGGTAGTATCTGAAAGCTTCCTTGATGCAAGCGTTGAGGTAGGGCAGCGCAGCGAGGCGCTCCATGGTCATGTCGTCGTCGGAATCAAAGCTCGTCCTGATCTCGGAGTTGAGCTGCTGCATGCAAGCCGGGTTAGCCATGAGCAGGTACGTGAGGCCCGAGAGGAGGGTAGCTGTAGTTTCGGTGCCTGCAATCATGAAGAGCGAGGCGTTGGAATCCATTTCCGAGCGGCTGAGCCCTTTGCCTTCTTTTTGCTTCAGCACCAGGTCCCAGATATCCACGCCCTCGTTTTTGGTGCCCTTTTCGAGGCGCTTGGTTACGCGCGTGGCTGAGTGGTTGAAGTGCTCTGTTTCCTTCTTGTTGACGGAGGGCGGGGCGTATGTGCGGAAGAGGTACAGGACCAAGGGGTAGTACCGCAGCACGCTGAGGCAAGTGATGTTCTTGAGGTTCTTGAATATCGAACTGACCCACGGATCGTACTCGGCGGTATCCAGCATGTGCAGCGACTCGCCAAACGTCAGGTCGCCCATGATGTCGAAGGTGGTGAAGTTGAAGAGTTGGACCAGGTCGAGTTTCCCGCTGGGCTTCTGTTGCACGCTCTCGCGAAGCCGGCTCATGAGCTTGTTGATGTATTTGAGGAAGAGGGGCTCTTGCTGCTTGAGCGCGCGGTCGGAAAACGCAGGCGTAAAGATTTTGCGGATGCGAGCGTGGTCTTCCTCGGGTGTAATGAGGATGCTGGGCGTGTTGTTTGGCAGTTTTCCATATCGAGTCAGGTCTTTGAAGGGTTGTTTTCCTGGAGTTGCTCTGGTGCCATGGCCGTAGATCTGCTAGGGGGTCAGTGGATGCACAACAGTCCAAAGTAGCGTGTACATGTAGTACAAACACCGGGATGGAAAAGGCTGAACTGGCGCAGTAGATGTTTTCCAGGAATCCAGGGCAACGAATAGGCGTTTTCACTTACGTCTTTCCATGCATCAGGGTCAATAAAGATCAGTTCGTCGTGACTCAGTCGAACTATAGGCCCATACTTCCGGTGCAAGTCTGCATAGACCTTTTCGCGTGAGCCATTCAAGATGGATATGAGCATGGGAATACGGGTTGCGGCATAGAGCTTGGGCCCCGGGTATTTGCTGAGAGGATGGAAATAGACTCGATAAATGGCTCTGAGAATGAAGCGAGCGACTAGCTGTTATCCGTTAGTATTGAGCTGTAAAGAGAGTCCTTTTTTCGCAAATAGTCGAGGCAGTACTAACAAAAGCGATCAAAGCACCAACGATTCGCGACATGGAGGCCATCTTGATGAGAGTTTATGGGAGCCGTCTCGGTCTCAAATGGAAGAAGAACGTTACCAGACTTGGAATTACAAAGGCAGGACACCAGCAAACTTTATATGTTAAGAATGGTCAGGCTCCCATTTTCCGAATTGGAAGAAGCGGTGTTGACCGACCTCTGATAGCGGGGCCCGCGGCCAACATGGCGCAAAAGAGCTGACATCGACGGTTGAAGCCACGCCGATCGCCTAGTGCATTTCGTACGTAGTGCCGCTCGACGAGCAAAAGATCCGATAGGTGCTCCACATGCTCAGCTCAGGCAAAGCTTGATGCTCGCCTTGTCAGACCTTAATGTAATCCCATTAGCGCGGACCGCAGTAGGGGATATGTCTCCAGCAGACGGTTCGCCGTATCCCAGAGCGTGGCTGGAAGCCCGTAATGCAAGTGTATCTTTTTTTCTTCTTCCTCTCTTTCTTGAAAAAGTATGCTTTTTTCGGATAATTCATGGTGACGGTGCGGAGTGGTACAGTACCATGTCATTGTGCAGGGCCCCCCAATGCGTGCCGCACGGTGAAAGGAAATTTCTTCTTGACTTTCATTTTCTTTTTTCTTTTCATGTTGACCTGGCAGCGAGAACAGGAATTCGAAATTCAGAATTGCCAGCACAGCCCCTCCCCGACGCCGAATGTACGCGTGGATGAGGGAAACCTTAGAGGGGAGTCGATGCGATTGGTCGGCCTTAACGCAGATGGTCCGTGCGTCTATCAGACCGTGACTTCGCGTTTGTGACGTTCCACTCTCCCACCTCGAGCGCCGTGGACTCCCCCCGCACTCCAGACAAGGACAATGGCAGCGAGACTAGCAAACCGAGGCATATCAGCCCTGATTCCAGGCTCTTCGTCGAGAGCAGCACCGCTGGCGTACCGGATACAGCACCGCGGGTTCTCTTCATCGCACATCAACGCCGCATATGCGACTGCACCAAAGGCTGCGGTGGCGAGCACATCGACGACTTCGGCAGCCAAACCCGCGACTTCAAGCACAACGACTACTACATCGAGTGCGCCGCGAACTGTAACACCGCAATTTTCTGGGGCCAAAGAACCGCCCGTGCCCACTGCACGCAATGTCACTGCAGACTCTGCCGCCGCCGCCGCTCGCCGCCAACGGTCTCTTACTGATGGGCTCTCCGATGCGCCGCCAGAGCTAGAGGGCGTACCGGCTATCGACTGGACACGCTCGTACCATGGCCTGGGCAGCATATCCTTCACACCAGAGCAGTCTGAGGCGCTGCTCGCACCCGTCACACAAGACGATGTCGAGGTCAAGCCCGACGGCATCTTGTACCTCCCCGAGATCAAATATAGACGTATTCTTAACAAGGCGTTTGGGCCTGGAGGCTGGGGGCTGGCGCCACGAGGCGAGAGCATTGTGACTGCCAAGTTGGTCACACGGGAATACGGTCTTGTTGTTCAGGGACGGTACGTACACCTTTGCCTCGAGCCAAATGCAAGGAATGCTAATGATGAATGTGTAGCCTCGTCTCCATAGCCCGTGGCGAACAGCAATACTTTGACCCCGAGGGCATCCCCACGGCGACCGAGGGCTGCAAATCCAACGCTCTGATGCGATGCTGCAAGGACCTGGGTATCGCGTCTGAGCTCTGGGATCCCCGCTTCATCAGAGAGTTCACAAGCAAAATGACAAAGGAAATGTGGGTTGAGCACGTGACGACAAAGAAGAGGAAGAAGATTGTGCTCAGGAAAGACGACAGCCCAAAATACCCCTTCAAGGAGGTCAAACTATAACCATAGACACGCCTTGGTAAGCGCTGAGCGTTTTATCCGTGGGAATGTGCATGTATATATTGGTTGTACCAACATCAGGACGGCCCATCCCACTTGTGTCCAGCAGTAGCTGGAGGGGAAAGGCACTGCTCTATCATACAGTCGCCGTCAGGTTTAGCAGAATCCATCTACCTTTTCAACCAAACGCCAGAAACACATCAAACAATCCCACGTATTTCAATTACCTGGGTTCTCTAGCGATCTCCGAGATCAAACTCTGTTCCCCATGACCTGTTCCTCAGCTGACCCGGCTCTCGTCCATAGGCCAGAGGATCGTCTTCAGGGTGGGCTGGACGTTGCCAGTTCCACGGCATCCACCCGCTGCTCGTCCTTCGATCCATTCCAGGCGGTGTGATGGGGTATGGTGGTCGGTCGGAACCAGAGCTCAGCTCGTCACGCTCAATTCTGTCAAACTCGGCTTCGCTCCTGTTTCGCGAGAGACTTATCGGGCTGTTCCTGCTGGTCTCGTGGGGTGTGTTTCCGCCCTTTTGCTGTGTGCGAATGTTTTCTTGTTCGCGGTCGAACGCTTGGAGGAGGCTTTCGAGACGCTGGCGCTGCGATGTGACGTAGTTCAGACGGTCTTCGTCGTTTCGGATCGAGTCTGGAACTAGCTTTGCTGCACCGCGGCTCAAATCAGCAGCCTGAGCGTTTTTGGTATCAGCAGTGCCAGCAGTGTACAGTGCGCTGGCTCCGCTGAGTGCTTGGTTCACGAGGCCGTACAGATCGTTGCTGCCTCTTGCCGCAGGCATCTGGAACCTGCTCATGAGGTTTTGTGCATAGGTCTGTCCGGCCGGCCGAGGGGCTTCGGGCTTGCGAGGCGCGAAGCCCAACAAATTGACCCTGACCCACTCGATGCCCATCTCGATATACGCCATACCAGCCGCCTTGGCACGGTCATGGCTTTGGCTTATGAAATCGTCAATCTCCCTCTCGTGCTGGTATAGAAAGGGCTCTAGGTGTTCTTGGTAGATGTAGCTTGCTCCCTGTGCGCCAGGCAGGATCAAGTACAAGTGTGCGAAGAACCGAATCCATGAGTAGAAGGGAACCCAGCTAAGGATGAAGTCGAATGTGTTCTCGACCGCGGTGCAGGCAGACAGCACGACAAAGTATATCAGCCACGGGGCGAGGAGGGCTGGATCGGATGTATGAAGAGCTTTGTACGATGCGAAGATGGGGAAGAAGACGGTGGTGACCACGCTATTGTAGAGTTAGCAAGCAAGCCGACTCATGCCCTTTGCAGCCCTCCAAAAACAAATCCTGGATAGGCCCGAAGGCCGGTGTCGCAGGTGCCACGAGACGAGCTGTACACACTCGGCGGTGAAGTGGACCAGAAGCCGCCTCGCAGGGAGCTTGCCGCCACATTGAGAGCTGTGGGGGCGGGGTAAAACGTACGTCAGGCCGTCGGCGATGAAGCCGAACATGATGGCTGTTCTTCCGGGGAGGCTGGCAGAGTGTAGGTGTGGAGGGAAGACACAGGAAGAGCCAAAGTCACTGGTGACGAGAGCTAAAGCTTAGCACGGGTACGCGGCGGAAGTGTGGATTAGCCTCAAGCTGGTGTTCCACAGGTGCACGTCAGTCGTCGGTCACTGGCGGCGCGCTATCCGCTTTCGGTCCTTTGCTTGTGCACCTCACCTCACCTCCCGCCCTCTCTGCACGCCGTCGACGACGAAGATAATATCAACCCTTCTCGAGAACATGGAAGGAGACCTGGCGTGTCCTGGACTTGCCAAATCTGGAAACAATGGATGGAAAGAGAGCCTTTCCAACAACCTACTCTGGCTATCTGTCTCCCGGCGACAACAAAAATGTTGACTTTTTGTATTCCTTTTTCAATGTCTTCCAAAAGCATATTACTTCTTTTGCGGTGTCACCCTTGGATACTCAACTACACATCTTGGATGTCCAATCAGAGCACGCAGAAGAGAGCTGGCCCAGGACGACTCTACATGAGAAATATATCTCTATGATGGATATCAGAAATAGCGACATCGGAATCTGCACGGCTTATTGTAGGCCGACAGCTATGCATTCATTAGTCCCAGCGTTGTCCGGTACTTGTGCAAATCCCGCGCAATCCACTTTGGCCTCACCCAAATGGGCAGGACGCAGACACACCCAAGACGCTTCATGGGTTGCCATGCCTGCCAAGACCACGCTTGTTACCATCCTGGATCCGATAACAAGTCCTCACCCCGCGCTCGCAACTTTGTTACCATTTGACATCATCTTCCTACAGTCAATAGCAGCTAAGCAGAGTAGGGCTGTCCAACTCGCGAATCCCCGAGTTACGTAAATACTCTGGCTCTTATTCCGACTATCACTAGAGCCATGATGGCCTGCTTTCGTTTACTTGGCTCAAGTCTGGACCTGTCAATCATGCCCAAAAGCCAGTCAAGAGTTCCTCAAGCATCCAGTTCACACAAGTCCCGATGCCGGTCGACGTATGCCAATGTTTGGCATTCCATATCTCACATGAACCCCGCATGGTGGATCGAATCATTCGTAGGCACCATAGCATTGCAGGGGTGTTTGATTCAAGGTCGGAAACGGCTGCTTGTAGCACAGGCTAGTGTCGAGACATAAAACCCAATGGATCCCTGGGAAGGTTCTTGACAAATCCGAAATTACTTAATCTGCAGTCATGACTGTCTTCAAGTCCATTATAGCATTAGCAGCTCTCGGTTTGACCAGTGCAGCACCACAAGCCTCGATCACGACATCAGCTCTGAGCTCTCCAACCCCATCAGCGCCGGGCCAGGCAGCCTCCCTCACGACAGAAGAGACCGAGAAGCTTTTCAGCCTACATGAAGAACTCGTCAATATTCCCTCCATATCTGGGGACGAGGCCGAGTGTGCAAAGTTCATCTCGGAGTATCTGACTGAGCTGGGTTACTATGTGGAAGAAGTTCCTGTCGGTAATGCAGGCACCTATAATGTCTTTGCCTATCCACAAGAGCTCAAGGACGAGGGTGTATGGCCGGAAGTTCTCATCACAAGTCATATTGATACCGTACGCGCAAATTCAGAGCCGATGCATCTCTACTCTTACTGACCGACTAGGTACCACCATTCTATCCATTCGAACGTATTGAGAAGAATGGCACGACCTACCACTTTGGCCGAGGTACAGTTGACGCCAAAGGACCGGTAGCAACAATGATTATTGCGTCGCACAAGTTCCTGCAGTCCCGCAACGATACAGCCAGCCTGGGCATGCTATTCGTTGTTAACGAAGAAAACAGTGGTGCAGGAATGAAGGCTTTTGCCAAGTATGCATCCAACACGACGTTCCGCGCTGGCATATTTGGCGAGCCAACCGAAGGCAAGCTCGCAAGCGGCCATAAAGGCAGCTTTGGAGTGACTTTGAAAGCCGTGGGGAAATCTGCACACTCGGCCTATCCATGGCTCGGAGTCAGCGCGATCAACTACGTTGTCGACGCCATTCAGGCTTTGAACGCGCTAGAGCCTGCCCTTCCCCGTGGTGAGCTGCTGGGCGCCACGACACTCAACACGGGTCTCATATCAGGCGGTCTCGCAGGCAACGTCGTGCCTCCTAACGCAAACGCAACTGTTGTTGTCCGGGTCGCTCGCAGCGAAGAGGATGCTGCCGAAGTTGTCAAAGACATGGTGTCGGGCATGCTCGCTCCGATTGTTAGCCGTGCAAAAGAAGCAAACGCCACATTTGAAATCACCTACTCGGAATACGCAAACATAGCGCAGATTCTGGACACGGATATCGAGGGCTTGGAAGTCGCACCTGTTTTCTACGGAACTGACATTCCCAATCTACCCCAAGTGGAGAAGAGGTATTTGTTTGGCACGGGGTCCATTGAGGTGGCTCACACGCCGGATGAGATGCTGAGCCAGGAGCAGCTGGTGCAGGCGGCGGAGGCGTATGGGATGATTTTACAGAAGCTATTTGCGGAGTAAATCATATAATCCAGACGAGTAGCGTAATCGCGGCAGCGATACTGCATAATTCTCGCAAATGCTTGATTCAAGTTTTAGATGTTGCTTATAGGTAGCGAGCAACCGCGAGCAATTCTCTGCATCTATTCTTGGAGTTGGTGATGAAAAGTCGCATGCTAAAGACATTTTCCATTCTCAAATGGGTCATGTGTGCTTTTGATATTGTTGCCATATTCCTAGTCAAGTGTATTGTGTATGTGTAAAACATCTCTGCAGCGTGACTGATGGTGGCGTTGTGATTGCAGCCAATTGCACGTTGTGTCTTGTGACTTGCAGGTGAATCATGAGCAGTTGGATCCCAGTTTGTGATTTGCAAGTGTCCAAGTCACCTGTCCACTAGTAGCAAGCGCACGAAGAAGACGTATAACACGGCGGTGGAAAGTCATCTGGGATAGGCCGAGGCAACTCAGCTCCTTCCCGTTTTGAGGGTAGGGAGCTGAACAAAATCGCTCTTTCCTCCTCCAGCAACAGTGTCCACACTTGTTTGTTGCAACTTAGCCTTTCTTTTCCGCTCTTCGCCTCAGACATTTCTCTTCACTATGACGTCTTTGTTGGGAGTGAAGGGCCACAACGAATATTGTACACTGCGCCTTTGTAAACAACAATCCTCTCCTACATGGTGAACGGCAAAGACAATGGCACAATCCCACTGCACACCAACTGTACAAACAGAACACAGCGCAAGCGAAAGGCAAATCGATCGGTATATATGTTGCTTTCGACATCTCTCGATGGTTACAGCAATCGGCACAGTATATCACCTTTACGAGAATCCTTGGATCAACATCTCTACACATTCTATATATATACCAAAACTATCTTCAAATTTCCTTACATAACAAATCTTGGGGAAGATGAACTCAGGACCTGGATCTGGATCATCTGCCCCGGGCGGGAACGATCCTCGCAAGCCCGGCCCAAACAGACCCCCTGGAGCCAATGATGGCGGCGATGGCTCCTCAAAGGAGAATGCAACATGGGTTGCTGGCACACCCGAAGAGGTGAGGAAAGGGCGCCACTACATTGTGAACCGCATGGGCACGTGGGTGCGATGCAGCTTTAACCACGCACTCATGGACAGCACCGCTGGCTTTCCCGTATATGCCTCCTGGAACGGTCGCCGCGTGCGCTTCCGGTGGAATGGGCCTGGGCCAGCGCAGTACCAAGCCTTTGAGTACCAGAACTGGCAGATTGTCCAGGAAGAAGAGGATCGCATCGCTAGGCATGAGCCACTGGCCAGTGAGAACCTAGCAGAGGAGGCTGAGGCCGAATTCGAAGCCGATGGCGATACGGTGTTTGACTCTGTTCAGCAAATGCCCTCGACGCCTCCAACCAGTTCATACGGTAATGTCTTTTCTTCTTCATTGTCTGGTGGCCGCGGTCGGACCAATACTTCAACGCCTCGTGGTCCCAGTTCCGGTAACCAGCCGCAATCCGGTAGCACTACTATAACCCCTCGAGGCGGCGGCTCAGGCAGCTCCGGAAGACCTCATGCAGGTCGCGAATATCCGACGTCACCTTCGGCGGGCAAAGGGAAAGGCAAGGGGCCAGCGCGAGCCCCGGACAGTGGGTCACCGGGAGCTGGAGCGGCTTAGCAGGAAGGAATACGTCTCTCAACACAGCCCATGACTCTAGTTTGCAGAGCATTGTTTCCAGGGCAAGGGTGGCGTGACTTTTATCCCGACTTAGCGTGGCGTTTGGAGAACCTGGACTAGATACCCCAAGTATATTATTCCATGTTGAGTTTGAAAATAGCATGTTGTTCCCGTCTTCGTTTTGACCTTGCTTTTGACTGCTTTTTGGCTGCTTTTGAGGCATGCTGCCACAACGTCACATGAGCCCGAATCATCTCCCGCATATTGTTGGGCTTGCCGCCCAGCGGCTGAGACAGAGGCTTCGCGTCCTCTGGCTTAGTGTCAGATATGATCCGCATGGCTCCGGTGATTGATGGAGGAGTGAGATGCAGAGGGGAGTAAGTACAGCGGCCGGGTGGGCGCCATTCCGATGCGAGCCTTGCTTGGCACGCCTCCAGAGCAACTCGGGACGTCAGCGCATCGTCTGCAGCGTCCAATGCAACCCACGGGCTGGGGGCCATGGTGTTGTCGGCTCGAGGCCGCGCCCATCTGGGGATACTTGGCATCGACCTCGTGCGGCGCGCATGCCACGCGAGCAATGACGTGCCACGACCCTGCAGCGAGCGCGTGCGTGACCAGCTTGAGTCGCTAAGTCAGTAACCTCACGTCGTATGCTGCTGCCGCTATCCCCACCCCCTCTGGCCTCCGTCCGCACTATTCCGACTCCATGATTACGGTTTGATCAGCATCGACCACCGATGCCCTATGACGCGCCTGCAGCTGCTGCTCACTGCATTTGTCCGTCTCCGCTGGATCCGCTAAATGCTTCTCACGCCTCGCACCTATTCCAACGCACAAATCGCCGACGCCGGCCACAAACTGCCTGAGCCCTCGTTTTTCGTGTGTACAAAGTCGCGCTGCGAGCTGCTCGCCGAGGAGAAGCGCGCGCTGAGAATGCTGCTGCTGCACCAAAAGGGGAGCGTCAAAGTCGGCGAGGTCGTGAGGTGAGTCGTAGCATGTGCACGCCAAAGCGTTTATTAATACGACCCTCGAAACGGTACTAAAGCGGCTTGCGCGCAGGTACACTCTAACATACACCCCCTCCGAAGACCGCATATTACCGCCCCCTCCATATCTCCATGTCCGCATACGCAACTCGTCGGCCATACCACTGCGCGCTGCATATCTCCACGGGCCCTACACGATCCATGTCTCGGCCTATCCCTCCACCTTCAACCCCAACGTCAAGGCCGACGATGCGAAAACCTACGGCGTCCCCGACTTTGAGCCCAACGTAAAGGCGGGCGGATACTGGAATACAAAGTTGACGGTTCCCGAGCATACCAGGACACAGCTGCCGGGCGACGACTCGAATGCTCCCAAGAGCGTCACCTGGATAATCGAAGTCGCTTCGCAGATTATCTTCTCCAATTCGGCGTCGGTAAACTATGAACTGCTTGTGGCGCGCGATGAGCGATCGCTCGACCTGGGTTTCAGTGCGGTTACTGGTAACACCCATGGAACGCCAGGAAAGGTTCAGGATCACCAGCAGGGGAGCCAGAAACATGTTTCAAACCACCCCGCACAGCCCAAGGGGGTCTATTCCAAGGCGGTCCAGTTGGTTGTCGACGACACCACAAGCTTGTGGAACAAACCAGAGTTGCCAGAAGGGAAAGATGACGGACAGAGCACCGAGGGGCATCCCAAGGACGACGACCGCCCGCCGACCCCAGGCCAACAGAAGAAGAAAAAGGTCCATATTGTGATAGTAACACATGGCTTGCATAGCAATCTCGGCGCAGACATGCTGTATTTGAAGGAAAGCATTGATGCGACCGCAAGACAGGCGCGCGAGAGTCGGCGACAGCGGCGCAGAGAGGAAAAGGAGGCTAAGAACACTGCTGAGGATAAGGACATTTCAACCGCGCCATTGTCTGGTGGTCAAGAAGACATATCGGATGGCGAAGACGAAGATGAAGAGGAGGTGGTTGTTCGCGGCTTTAACAACAACGTCATACGCACCGAACGCGGTATTCAATATCTGGGCAAACGACTTGCCAAGTACGTGTTGCGTCTCACGTATCCTGACCAACCATATCTGCCAGTCAAGAGGTCCATGGGACAGAAGATTTCCAATACCTTTTCACCCACAAAAGACAAGGTACCAGACGAAGGCTTCCCCTCTCATGCCGGTAGTAGTATACACCAATCAGGTCAAGCTCGAATCAAGCGTGAGTACGAATTCACCAGTATCAGCTTCATTGGCCATTCTCTTGGCGGCCTTGTACAGACGTACGCCATCGCATACATCCATAAGCACTCGCCTCACTTCTTTGACACCATCAAGCCTGTCAATTTCATCGCTCTGGCAACACCATTCTTGGGGCTGAGCAACGAGAACCCCACATATGTCAAGTTTGCACTGGACTTTGGATTGGTTGGCAGAACAGGACAAGACCTTGGGTTAACCTGGAGAGCACCGACACTAGCAAGGAGTGGTTGGACGGCCATGGGCAGTGTGTTTGGGGGCCAAGCCCAGGATCAGCATCAGGAAGACCCTGGCGCCAAGCCTCTACTACGCATCCTTCCTACTGGACCCGCCCACAAGGTTCTGCGCAGATTCCGGAATCGGACCATATACTCGAATGTCGTCAATGACGGTATAGTCCCACTGCGTACGAGCTGTCTCTTGTTCTTGGACTGGAGAGGGCTGGGTCGGGTGCAGAAGGCCCGCCGAGAAAACGGCCTTATTGGCACGGTCGCTGTGTGGGGTTACGGTCAACTTACGGGACAGAATTCTTCGCCCAATCCTTCCAAGACCGCCCTCCCGGAAGACGAAAACTCGGGACTTGATTCTCCAACGTACAGCGGCGATGACACTACTGTGCCATTGCCGGGTGCCGACGTCACCAACCAGGAGGATGAAACGCAGGTACCTTCGATCGACTCGGCAACCCATCAAGTCATTGAAGGACAGAAGAAGAACCCAGAAGGAAAGGATCCAAACGACTCATACTTTCAGCCGCAAAATACACTGATGCAGCTCTGGAGCTATATTAGGCCTACAGGGAAGCATACCTCGCGCGACAAGAAGATGTTCTCGCGTAGCCAGACGATTCACAAGGATGACGAAGAAGAGCAGCCTGCTGGAGAGCCAGAACCCCCGCCATCACCATCCCGTAAAGACAAGCACAGGAAGAGACCGCGAGCGACTCGTGGTGACTCGATTGTCAACAATCCCAAAGGAAACATGGCACCACCCAAGACAACGATTTTCGAATCAGCTGGTGACTTGATCAACCCACCTGTACCTCCGCCGTCGTGGATCAACGACCCATCCACCCGAGCACGCGCCATCTTCCATGACAGAATCTATCATCCTGAGGATATTCCCCCGCCACCAGTAAAGAAGAAGGCTACGCGCAACTTTTCGGGTGAAAGCTCCGGCAGCCAGGCATCGACAACAAGCATCGACGAGAGTGACATGCGTGTGGAAGAGAAGATTGCCCGCGCTTATCACAGGGATCTTTCATGGCGCAAGGTTTTGGTGAGGCTCGAACCTGACGCCCACAACAACATCATAGTACGTCGTATGTTTGCCAATGCGTACGGATGGCCTGTGATCAAGCATCTTTGCGACACTCACTTTGCCGATACATACTCGGCTCAGACACGCGATGAGCTTGAGCCGGCCATTGATCGAGCACAGGCAGTAGACAAGCCTATCAGCAAAGACGGCGAGCATGTAAAGGGACAAGAAGATCAACATCCACCTATTGAGCGTTCCGAGAGCGAAATGCGCGAAGTAGCTGACGAGCTGACGCCTCTGAAGCTGCCCAGTCTGAGGATCCCCAAGAGGAGCAACACAACCGAATCGACTCACAGTATAGGGTCTGGCGATTGGGATAGCATCTACTTCAACGAGACGAGCGACGATGAAGAAGAGTTCGACGATCGCAACGCTGTTCAGCGTTTCTTCCAACCCAACAACCCAAAGAGCCCGCGGAGCCCTTCGGAAGCGATGCCCAAGACCCCTGAGGGAAAGGGCACTAGCGAAGCAGACATCTCCAGCTTCTTGCATGGATCTGGCGTTGAGTATCACAGAGGTCTTGGTGCAAGCCCACGCAGCAAAACTACCCACCTGACTGCCGAGCCAGAGTCGATGGAGCCTACGGATGAGCCTTCTACTACTAATGGAGCAGGAGAGCAAGCTTACAGTCAGAACGAGCCACCAATGGGCAGGATCAGTGGAGTGGGCTTGAGAAACGCAATGGATATGACTGGCTCACCAGACAGTAGCAAGTCGGAACATGCAAGTAGTGGTGTCGTTGAGCAAGTTGCCAGACTAAGTAGCCCCAAGAGTGACAAGCAGGATACCAACTCGTAGCACCGAGTGGGCGACTTGTTGAGGCGAGCAAGAGCGAGGTGCAATCTATGTGGGGAAATCGATGTTGACAGCGTATAGACACTTGCAGCATGCAGCAAGTCCTTGACAGCGATTCTGGGTACCTCGCGCAGGCCGTCTCTAGAATTCCCACGCGTTTTGGGTTTTGGGTGCATTGGGTGTTACGTGACGTTGGGTTTGAGACGAGTGCACAGAGGCGGATGGCACGCGGACAATGGCATAGGCCGTAGCACCGTTGCGTACACAAGATACCCCAGATATCGAGCGGTTTGTACATGTATATAACATTTTCCTTTCGTCTTGTTATTCTTTAATACCTGTTATAGACTTAGGGAGTCGTTTTCTTCTTCTTCTTCTTCTTCTTCTTCTTCTTCTTCACACACCGTCGCTGCGGTAATATACATTTCAGCTCCCTCATGCATCTTCCATCTGGTGTCTTGTCTGCTTCTCGTTCACTGGCTTTGTTGTGGACGTCACCTTGATGCCGCGCCTTCCCCTTTCACCGCCGCTACTGCGTGGCAACGTGCTCCGTTTGTTGGTGACTCGACAACAACAAACCAAGCTTGGGCTCAGTCTATCAAACACCACCGTCGCTCGGGCACGATTCTGCTTCAATTCGGCAATTCACCGACTGTTGCCTCACTCGGCGTCCAGCTGCGTTTGTGTGTTTTCCCGCATTCACTGCATGTGCATGGACTGGACTGCTTCAGTACGCAGAGAACCGAATACACCGCCGCAATCGAGCCACACTAAACCGTGTCATCCATTGATTGTCAGACTACAGGTTCAGCACGATATCGCATCCAATACCATGACGAGTTCTGGCTCCGTCCACCCCGCAAGGCACCAGAGCCCTCTGGTCGTCGGTGGTCAGAGACGCCGCCGCATCACCCGCAGACCCCAGATGCCACGTCCAAACACTGCGCCCGCTCTCATTCCCGAGTCAGTCTCTCTGCAGGATGGTTTAGGTGCCAGGACCACAGACCGAACTACAGATCAAACAGAACTTTCGATTGCGCCATCATCCTCAGAGCCTTTCCCCTCGATGATTAGCAGTATGCCGAATCGCTCACCTGCGCCTTCGATTGGAAGCACACCGAGTGTAGCATGGGAAGGCAAGAAGAAACACGGCATGTTTGGATTGAAGACAAAGGACATTGGCCGGCCTAAAAGTTCGCATGGATCTCCTCACCAACTATCGCCTCTGCCTCCGCTTACGCCAGTGAAAGCCGCACAGGTATTAGGTGTTGACTCTAGCGCTAGCAGACCAAGAAGCAGTTCGTTGGGCAGTCGGGTGCAGAACAGCGACAAGTGTGATGGGTTGCTGGTAGGACCTATTCTGAAAAGCAAGCTTCTATGTCTGTATTGACCTCTCTCAAGGATTTTACGAGCAGGAAGGACAAACTCAAGGAAGATGGTGGCCAGACTGATCCGCACAAGTCCAAGGGCTTTTGGGAAACCAGTAATAAGAAGGCGCAGAAAATGCTGGGCTTACTCCCGTCACGCGGATCAAGCACCAAGCACCAAGTTGATTTGGAGCCCGTCGTGCCCGAATCTCCGGAGCCGCACGCAGAGGAAGGCAAGACTTACTATAGCAGTGAACCTGACCTCCACGTCTGCCCTCATCTGCGTTCGCCAGCTGCTCGGCCAGTTTCCGGAGCCCGTCGCCGTCGCATGCGCAAGAAGGCGCCTAAATCTCTCGATCGAATGACACCTATCACAGAAGCTTCCCATGACGAGTTGCGTTCCTTCTACAACTGCGAAAGCAATACTGAGCTAGAACTCATAACAGAGTACGAGCACGAGTCTTCATCTCACAACGCGCCAAATCAACCACACACTCCACCGCTGCACACAGCCATTGCGAGGTATGCATTGGACGAAGGCGACCTCTCACCAACGGATGTAGCTCTTGAAGACGATGCTGTGACTGAGGATAAAGAACCTACCGTACACCCTGGCAACCAAGTCGACTTCAAAAAGTTGGATTACCAGCAGCCAACAGTTGTCTACCTGCGCGGTCCATTACAGACGGTTGAAGACCGCCTTCTCGATGCAACAGAAGCACGACTTGCAGCCTTGAGGATCAAGCAAAAGAATAATGACGCTGCTCGGCTGGTCTTAGACACGGAAAACATTACCCTAAGGACATCCCACGAGAAAATGAAAGCGGAATTTACGGCAATGAACCCTGGCATGCTCCCTGAAGAGCCTGTTAGCGATGGAGAGTCTGAGAGTGATGATGAAGACTTGTTCTCGATTCGCAGCAGCATTGATCTTGAAGAGCCTACCGTTCATATAGCCAAGGCCATGACCTTTACACGAGTGACTCCAGGCATGGTAAAGCTTGTGGATATTCCACCGAGAAAGCAGAAGCCTGCGACATCACCTGAACACAAGCCCCTTCTTGCTTTATCTGATGGAACAAATTCTTCCTTCAAACCGACTTACTATTTTGAGCACAACGAGAAAATCAGTCCGTTCAATGAACGCAGCCGCAACGTGGAGGTGTGTAAGTACATGTCATCGTTTCTGAATCAAACTAACGGCATCCAGCCTACCGCCATGCCAGGTCATCTCACTATGCAAAACTACAACCGCATCCACAAAGTGAAGAAGCCGAAGCTTCCGCGAGAAGAGTCGCAGATGCTAGTTCAGAACTGGATCTCTATGTACGACCACACTAAGCAGCGTCCTTTGTCCGAACGTCTCGATGTGGACGTGCTTGCCGACCAGCAAATTCCCCCGGCACCATTTCCAAAAGAAGACCACACTACGCCCACTCGTCCGCCACGAACATCATCCAAAGAGCATTATTGCCTGAGAAACGGCCATATATTTCATCCTATCAATCTCAAAAATGTCCCCGATGAAGTCGCCATCAACCGACTCCAAGTCCGTCCCTACCTCCATACCCACGTTGGACGCAAACAGCACGTCCATGTTCCCGTGTTCTGCGATCGGTGCGACGAAGATGTCAAGGAAGAGCTCTGGGAATGCGACATTGCTGTTTGCAACATGGTGGTTTGTAAGGAGTGTGCGGTGGACATGGACCTGGAGTGGCAGGAACGTGTGATTGCTGCCTGGGAGCATTGAAGACGATGCTGGTATTATGTTTGAATCGAGTCATGTATGGGATGAGAGGAAATGAGATGAGATGATGTAGCGAGCTTTCCAAGAGTAATGGAATTAGCAGATTACATAGTCACGATGTACTAGGGGGTAAAGAAAGCCTTGGTATATGAGATGTGCTGCACCAATCCTAAAACCCCATTTCACTTTGGTCAACTGTATATTTTATGCCGAAATGCAATTACCAGATACTCGTTTTCCTGCATAACTTTGGCGAATCTCGCCTCACTGCTTAGCTGCAGAGGCCCACACACTCACTCACTCACTCACTCACTCACCCGTCTCTTTCTTTGTTCTAGGCCTACGAGATAAGATGCCTGTGTTATCTCTACATGGTAGAGTATAATAAACCCCCCCTTTTTTTGTTTTCTCAAGTGTATCAGTACTAGTCTGTCTATCTAACTGCGCCAGTTAGCTTGAGTAAATAATCATATTTACTCTTCTGTTTCAAACAGTTGGAATACGTACTACGTCATCAGCATCATTCGGAGAACGGTGATTGTTTGTTTTTTTTGGGGGGGGGGGGGAAGGGGGAAGGGGAAGGCAGGGATGTCACTATGGATGTGGAATGTGGAATGTGGATACTAGCTTGAAGATTGTAAAGATTGCGGGATATGGGGGCGGCGGCGGTGGTGGTGGATTGGGAGTAGGAATAGGAATAGGAATAGGGTGGAGTGAAGTATAATGCATGGTTCGAGGTTGTAGTGTTGGAAGGGAGAAGGCGGGAATAGTGGTGGTGCTGGTGCTATTGCGCTTGGGATGTGTGTGATATATTAATTTCGGGGTTGGCGATGATGTTACATAGGACGTGGGTGTTTCTTTGTTGAGATTATGGGGGGATTTGGAGAGAGAGAGAGAGAGAGAGAGAGGGTTGAGTGTGGTGGTGTAGTTCGTGCCTGGGATTTTGCCGACGTGTGAGAGATGTATCAAGGAATGATGTAAGCTTGTTGTCTCATTTTGCTAGAGCCCGGGTTGTCGGAAAAGTCAGGCACAGAAAATACTGGCCATCATAACTGAAAAGAAGTTATTTGGAGTACTACGGAGGGTGATGAGGAAAATGTATTAGTCGCTCATGAATGAGCAGAATATACATGTAAAGGCTCCTGATCATATCCAGCCCATCCAACCCCTGAATCATGTAGACGGGAAATATGTCCGTGTGTCAGCCAGTCTATCAGCAACTGTCTCACAAAGACAACCCATTGTCAATCTACACCTTGGGCTCGACATTGACACCTTCGACGCGGCCATGACCAAGTCCCACCTTGAGCTTTCCATCCTCAATGTCCCGCGTGACACGATCCAGTCGCGACTCGACCTTGCCGGCCTTCCAAGCGGGAAGCCCCGAGTCAAACACCTCGTCCATTTCCTCGAGCGTCTTGCCCTTTGTCTCCGGGGCGGTGAGAAACATGTGGATAAAGGCGACGGCATTGAAGGTGCCAAAGATCATGTACATTTTCCAGTTGATGGACCAGAGGAGCGGGGGAACGGCAAAGGCGAGAGCGCAGTTCCAGGCCCAGTTTGTAGCCGTGGCGATACTGACGGCTTTGGCGCGCACCTTTGCGGGGAAAATCTCTGAAGGGTAGGTCCAGCTGACGGGGCCCCAGGTCGTGGCAAATGTGGCGACAAAGAGGTATGAACAAGCGACAATGCCTTTGGAGACGGAGCTGTGCTCGCGAGGAACAACCCATGAAATGTCCCTGTCAGTTGTGTCGGGGTTGGGGTTGCCGTACGAAGCCTGGAGAGCGCCGGTGGTGAAGAGCCAAACGGCCATGAGGAAGGATCCGCAGAGTAAAGCAGGGCGACGGCCGAACTTGTCGAGGTAGAGAATGGCAGGTAGCGTCATCGCCACGTTGATGATATACTGGATGGAAGCGGTGAGGAGCTCGTCGGCGATACCAGCTCCACGCATGATGAAAATGATGTAGTACATCATTACCTAGATGTATATATTAGCCTCACATCTCAGAAAAAATGGTCATCCCTTCTGTTCAACATACATTCATTCCAGTCAGTTGACTCCACGCCTGGATAGAGATACCAAGAAAAACGCGCTTGAGAATGCGAGGTTTGGCGAGAATAGCAAAGCTGGTGTCAGCGACCTCACGCTCAAAAGCAAGAGCCTCTTCGATCTCCTTGTACTCGGCGAGAACCTTGGGGTGGTGTACGTCGCCGCCGCCATGAAGATGAGCAAGAACATCGAGAGCTTCTTCCCAGCGGTCCTTGGAAGCCAACCAACGCGGGGATCGAGGGAAGAAGAAGAAGCCGATGAAGAGGGCTGCGCCAGGAACAGCTTGGATACCCCATGGAATGCGGAAGGCGGCCGTGGATTGGTTCGGGTTGCTGACACCGCCGTCGACGAAGGAACTACCGTACTGGATGAAGTACTGGATTACTGTATCATACGTTAGCGTGATTCGGTCTATAGGCCCTTTGGAGCGTTTCGAGTAGGTAGTGTCTTGATCGTCGAGTGGTGAAAGCACAACAATCAAGACCAATAACCTGCATCTCGCGTCCTGAAAGAAAAAAATACTAACAGATTCCCCACGTGATAGCACATTGCTGCAGCGAAACAACGCGACCGCGAATGTTCTTGGGTGCAATCTCAGCCTGGTACACGGGTACCATGGCAGAGCAGATACCAATAGCAAATCCGCCAACTACTCGACCAACGCAGAGGAGAGCGACACCATTGGCAGCGGCCTGGAAGATTGCCCCGATGATCCAGATGAGCGCGGCAATCTGGATAGCATATCGACGCGAGAGCCGATCAGCGATGAAGGACGAAGACAGAGCCCCAAAGAGCGATCCAGCAGGCATGGAAGCAGTGATTCCGCCTTGGCGGGTTCCACTGGGGTTACCAAAGTAGCGCTTGTAGGCTGGGGTGCCTAGAGCGCCCGACATTGAGGAGATATCGAAGCCGAAGAGAATACCACCAAGAGCGGCAAAGCCGCAGATGGCGTACACGTTGTAGATCTGTGGAAACTGCAGGGCCAGAATCAGCGAGTGTATTGAGAGAAGTAAGCAGGCGAGATCATTACCTTCATCTTGCGGTTGTAACCAGTAGAGGAGAGTTGAACAAGGAGAGCGGGTGTGAGAGGGCGGGATTGCTGCGATTTTATTTACCAACAGCTTGGAGTGAGCGCGTGATCTTGCTCATAGATAGTCCGTGCGATTCGCCAGAAGAGATTTTAGCATTCACTCGTACCGAATAGGTAATTTGCACATGGTGGTGGTTGGGCCAAGTTTCTGACCCCGCAATAGGCGTTCACCCAGGATCCTATAGAACCCGGCAACACGTCCTGGGGTAGTGCACGGTTGGGCGGCCCCATGTCGCCGTGACAAGGTCATCCAATAAGTGAGGGCATTGGATACGCCATGAATCCTGTAGGGTTGCACATGGTCGTACAACCTCGTGGGGTAGTACTGCCAAGGCATTGAAGCAGTGAAGGACAGGCGTCTGGTTGAACAAGGCCACAGCTTTGGCGACATAGCTGGGGTGGTAGCGAATCACATGTACCAGGAGGTCAAGGCTCCTGCGCAAGTGCCGATCGAGAGATGGCGTTTGGTGCAGTGGCAGGCATCCACGCAAGGAACCAGAATCACATGGATTGCCAGCGAGTTCTTCGTTGTTCCATAGCCATGGCCAGCGGTAGCAGGAATAGGCCGAAACGGGCATCCAATGCTGGGCTCTCCGACTCGGCATGGGCGCGGCGTTGCATGATCATCTCACGACCAGGCTCTAGTGCTAGTGAAGGTGTCGAGCAGTCCCGTTGTGCAGCATTATGCCGCTGAACCAATGCCCCAGACAGGTGGAAGGTCGCCTGGATCAATATTTTCCAACAACATTTTCTCGTATGCGTCTGTGATTCGTACTCAAGTCGTGAGACGTTGGAAAAGAAAGCTGTGGGGAGGAGTAGACGTTACATGCAGCGTAAGTGGCGGCGCATGCCAAGGCTGCAGCGGCACCGCCAGCCGTTGGCACCCAAGCTCTCGGCTGGCTCTGTTCCGCATAGCACCAGTTAGGGATATGCCAGACGCAAGGATGACGGAGCGCTTGAGCAGCCGTTTCTAGCTATGCAGCCGATGAGGTTGTTCCGCGCTGTGGATTGGGTGGCCGAGTGGCAGAACAGCGTACGCGGCAATTCTGATCCGAGGACAGAGGCAGAGGTGGACGTGATCAGCCAACACTGGCTAGAGGGGCCATCCAGGGCTGGTCGAGTTGGTTTTCGACAGTCTCTTCTATGTAGTATTCATGGCGTCGTTTAGCCGGGGATCACCCTTCCTCTTACCAACTTATGGCTACATGGCAGCGTTGATGCTGACATGCCAGGACTTCCCAAGCTGCACATCTTGTCCCACGCATTAGCTATGCTCATGTTGTGTTAGGCAAACTCACCTTTGCTAGCATCATACGGTATTGAGGTAGAATTCGTAATAGCTGCAGCAGTGTTGAAGGGACGCTGGCCCAGTCCACGAGTAGGTGGAGTGGCTGTATCTCGTCTGTCTCGACGCGTTGCCCAGACAGTGCAGTGGTTAGTCGTTAGGCCAAAGGAGATGTCGAACAAGCGCCACTACCAAGCAAAAGAAACCCCCAAAGACAGAGGACATGAGGCTTTTCTTATACAGCCTGTATACGGACCAGTTTGGATGGCAATCACGGACGAGCTACATGCATCTCGCACTTGTCCGCCCAATGCAGTATGGCGCCGGGAGGGTACGTTGGATGCCCCGCTCTCCACTCCACTGCCCCTCTCTCCACTCCATCTTTTGTCTCGACTCTCATCTCTCAGCAAGCAACCCTCTTCCGGCTACCGAACCTTTGTATCGCATCTCTCATTCGCCGATCATTACCGACAGGCGGTCCAGTAGCATGGCCCTAACCCCATGGCCCCCCAATCGCATCGCACAACCGTCTGACACATTTACTCGCCCGACCACAGTCTGACATGACAGTGAAAAGGGATGGCCTCGTGTTGCACTGCACCTCGAAATGGCCATCGCGTTCCTAGTTGGGTCTTGCCGATTGGGTTGGTGGGGCATAATCGCAATGCTCCGGCACAGGTCGCGCGACCCGGCCTGCTGATGCTGACAGCTGCCGTCTTTATATGCCACGGCGACATGTCACATGAAGCGGCTGTAACAGCGTACCGCGGAGTTTATTGAAATGCTCAGCATATTATCACTGACCAGTGTATCGCCCGAGGTCGTTCAGCCGCGCGACACAGTCAGCATACTCCTGCACAACTCCCGACTTGCGTTGTTCTTGTCGATCTACGACAGGGCAACAACCAACTATTCAACATTGAATTCTTCGTCGGCAACCGTTCAATACTTGCAGCAATCTCACAGGGACTTCCAGATGTGGATGCGAGATAACCGACCCACTTGAGGCACTACGAACTTTAACCTGGATGTGGACATCACCTGGAGGCAGTCATCGGGTTCTATCAGCACAACTCGGGTTAGCGGTCAAGTACACCGTAAAGTCTTTTTCCGTATGTCCCGGTCTATATGAGTTCCATATCATAAGCCGTCCGATTACTTATGGCAGCATCGCGACCATCACTTCTGCCTAGTTGCAACCCTCACTACCTCGTTCCACCAAGCTCGTCCCACTACAACAGCGCACAACACATACCCGCCATTTCAACGGGTTCTCGCCAAAAAGGCCGCTGCAATCGTCGCGCCATCTACCAGATACCATTGTCGTTCGGTGCAAACATGCCACACCACATTACCAACTGCGTATTCGCGCGCACGAGCTTAACCACATGCGACGTTTTTGTTATGGCCTTGGCCTATATGAGTCCAAATGCAGCATTATCACCCGAAGAATTGATCGTTGCCGCAAGCCCATGGTTCCTCGACGCCGAGACAGTCTGGTGGCGCACGTTTCTCCTGGGCGCGGGATGACATGGATACCGAACTGAAGCAAAACACTGCAAGGCCGAGAACCAGCACAGGTTTTCAGAGCGGGATAAACTCCATGCAAAAGTGCCATGCTGGACCTTGTTCAATCGAGTTTCTAATCCTAATACGGCGCCTTGGTCACGGCATGCAGATACGTCTTGGTACAATCAGATGCGTTACCCTTCCAGCTCAAGACGTCGGTGGTCAGCGCTCCCTCGCATATGGTCCATCCCTCCCTCTCCCCGTCCACAGTCAATAAATACCCCTCATCCAACGCGATATTGCCCTTTGGCTGCTCCGCCGCCAAAAACCGCAGTTCCTGTCCCGCCTTCACAAGCGTGCTGTTATACCGCAGCAGTCCGCCGCCATGGGGTGCTTGCGCAAGCGTAGACAGGGTGCCGTCATTGAGGGTGAAGTTGGGCAGAGAGCCGTATCCGGGGCCTATGAGGCGCAGAAGGAGCGCGGGCTGGTTGAACGGGTCCTGCATGACGTCAGTTTTTGTCCGCCGTGTGCCAAGTGCAAAGCAAGAAGATGGGAAAGCGAATGGATAAATCACTTACATAGAGCGAAGTTGCAGATACAGCTCGAAGCTCCGCAGGCTCCGCATTCGCATCCACCTGGGACGTTGTGACCAGCAGGAAGTTCTTGACATCGGTAGGCAGCGCTGCGCCAATGCATGCGCGGGCCGCTATGAGGTAGATGAAGAATACAAAATTCATTGTTGGGTTTTTCTTTCTTTGTATCTGCAGGTGTATTGTAGCTGGGGAGGAGCAAGTGTCGGCGCCGCCGTTTTATGTTTTGTTTGTATACCTTTGCATGTATATCGCAATCCTATTGTACGACTCACGTCTGTCTCTGTTGATCAACACTGGCAAAACCCTGTTTATACCTGACTGCGAATTACCATATACCAACCATGCTCCCGGGTTCTTCTCCCTTGCCACTACTTACTAACTACTACTAGCTACGATATATATCCACGTTTCCTCCATCTTGGCGACCAATAAGTAAGTATATTCCTTCACCCTTTTTCGTTGGTACGGGTACGGGTACGGGTACACCTATGCCTATAGAGTGGCACCAAACAAAAACAGGTACCACGGGAACAATGGCGTTAGTGATTAGCTGTTAGCCATTCCCCTTGCAGCCCCCCCAGCTTTGAATTTTTAAAACCCCCCCCCCACCATACTAGTGCTAGCACCAACACATGTGTATGATATCACGCAACTATCAACTATATATAACGTGTTTTACAAGCGAGCGCCGCGTACAAGCGAGCGCCGCACCCCACTAACTTTGTGCACCTCTCTCATCTCAATACATAATGGCTCAACGCAACGCTAGTTAGTTAGCTTTAAATAAAGCAGATATCCAGCTCGCTATATCCTCTATTAAATCTAGTTAGATACAGAGTAATCGCAGTGCTGCTGCTATCTATAACGTGTCAGAACGAACAATCCGCTGCTAACGCGTCGGCAAGCCTGCCTAACGCGATTGCTAGCCCAACTTAAAGAAGCTTACTAAGCTAGAAGAGCAGGTGATAATTAATCATGTACTTAATCTGGATCTACGTGGATTTTCGCCTACCTATGCAGCTGTGCGAGATATTGTAACGATGTTACAACTTCGCCAAGTATTGAGCCAATCCCAGAGCCAGATCGGAGGAAGTACCTGCCGCCCTTCATAAGCCATTCGCCCGAGGTCGGATCCGAATTCGGACCCGACTAGGATAGGTATATATTGAGACACTCCCTGTAGCTAGCTCTGTAGACTTTTGATATCCTTTCGTACAA